TCAGTATCTGATGTATTTACAGTTTTCTGTAGATAGGTATCTATCGATTCTACAGTTTTCTATGTGTATTTACAGTTTTCTGTAGATAGGTATCTATCGATTTTACAGTTTTCTATGTTCACTGTGAAGGGTTTCCACAGTTTCGTGCAGTATTCTTCACTGTTTGAATGTATGAATAATGTTTCTACTTTTATATGTCACCGCAGTAGACACTGCTGCATCTCCATTCAAGTTCTGCTTCATTCATTCATCAGCATTGAATTGATACTGCAGACTGTGTAGTGTGTAGGTAGTAAAGGTGTGATTTCATTCATTACTCTGACATTTCCCCAACAAGATCGACGATCTAGTACTGTAATTTTTCGGGGTTTTAAAGATCGGGTTGTATGAAATTTTGAAAGTACTGCCCACCTGTAAAACTCAGAAAAAATTATATCTATCCATTTGTTGATGGGAATTTTTCAGGTGTCGGTAAACCAGGTAAAAAAACTATTTTAGTACTTACCCAATCTTGAATTATTATTGTTTTCATTGAATTATTGAATTAAGTAAATATGTACGATTATTTTCAGTTATTTACCTACTTATCACCTACATAATATATAAATTCTTTCTTATTAATGACAGTATATGCAGGTATATGTACGTGATTTTATAATTTTATATGAATTCCCTTTTTACTATCAGTGAAGTATGTAGGTAGGTATAGGTGAGGCTGGAAAAATCAAAACAAATGAGATTGATATATTAAATATTAATCACTAACTCATCAAGTCTAATAGCATTGATTTAAAAAAAAAAGTTCATCAATATTTCACTTCAATGACTCTAAATAATTTTTGTTCACTCAAAAATTAACATTTTACCAATAATGATGAGTTCTGATCCTAATAACCGATAGCAATTACATTCGAATCAGCAATGACAATTCAAATTAAAAATCAACATTCATAAAAATGGCAGAATTTATTTCTAGTAATAGTAGTAATAGTAGTGATATACAATCAAGAGAGAAAATGCGTGAATTCTCATGTAGATATATATATCCTTTTGTTTTCATTTTCATCATGTATCTGAAAATTTTCCTGTTCAATACTTTCCTACCCAAACAAGGGGTTCAAACTTCAACGATGGAAATATTCGTGATTGGGTTTTTTTTCCACGCCCTGTATGATGAAACATCAATTCATCGTACAAGTGACAGTATTTTTTCGAATACCTATATTCATTCAATCAAATAAACTATAAGAAAGAATTTGGGAGTTTTATCAAGGTTTTATTTTACGATTGATTTTGATCATATTCAACTAAAATTCAATATTTCTCGTCTGTACATTTTTTGAAAATATAAAAGAGCAATTTTCACTTGATGTAACATTTATTAAGATACATTCACTGATATATTTCCATATTGTTGTAATAATTCGTATATTGTTGTTATTAGGTAGCTGAATTATACAAATCAATATAACCGGGATAGATTCAAATTTTGCGTGGGAGTTGTACATATACCTACGCCATTTATGGTTGCTCGTTTCGCGTTGGCGGTCTCAACGCAAAGCGAAACCAAAAAGAATATTTACCCTCTGCAGACGAGAATTCATCCCTCCCAATCCCTAGCAACATCAAAAAGGCATACAGGGTGCTTTAAAGTTTATATTCAACTATTCCAACCTCGATAGTACAAATCAGATACTATCTGTTGAAATTTTGTTTCCAAAATATTGTTTGAATCTATACTGACTTTTTTATCTCAGATATTCCGAGAAAAAATAGTGATGAACACGCATGGAATCAGATAAATATAGTATTTATTTATTTTCATTCTTTGCTATAAACATTACATTGCGTCCTGTATAGATATACAATCATATATTTTATTACGATTTACAATGAAATAACATGAATAATCAGACATATTCATATCTGGTATGAGATTATTCATGCGTTATTAAATCTAAGTTATAGAAATAAACAACAGATTCAAAAATAATAATAATAAAACAGAAATCTCATGAAAAGTACATTATGACATTATGAAATAAATTAGTGAATGAGAAATCATTCATTCAGGTTTGATTTTCTCTTTGCAAGAGGATATGTTTCTTGACTTTAATTTCGAATTGGGTGATATAATATCATCATATCATCAGGTAATTTATTGAATTTTGAGATAGCTCCGTGAGTGAACTTTTTTTGGCCAAGTGCAGAATTAGCAGCATCAAGATGAAACAAGTCATATTGTTTAGTATGATGTTCATGGATTTGAGAATTCCTTACCAATATAAGTTAGATTTGAGGTGTTTGTTGATAATATCAAAAGAAATTCTGAGAGTATATTTATCAGATAGTGCTCTTCCAAAGAAAATGTATTTTTTTCTTCATAAAGATGATTTGATGGGGTGTCATATGGAAGAGGATACAGTACTTTTAATGCTTTTTTATATAGTACAGATATTTTGTTAAAATTATTCTTGAAACATGAACCCCAAATATTAATGAAATAGTTCATTTTACAAAGGATGTGATTCTTGTTCGGGACATCGAGAACATCTTATATACAGTTTTCAGTACACTCTGATGCCTCGATTTGAATGAAGGAGTTTTTATTTTTGAGACCTCAAAATCAACTTTGTCGTAGGGCCTTGCAATTTGGGTTACAGGGTCCTGAAGGATTGCTCTAATGCGGAATAGAAGCACAGCTCTCTCTAGCTCTGATAGGAAAAGTTGCCCTTTTTTTACCATTTTTTGCTTTCCTTGCGGTACCTTTAATATAATATGGCTTGATCTAGTACCTCAATTGACTGGAGATCGAAGTAATGGGAACTACTACCATCGTCCACCAATTTGGCGGAATTAATTCATTTCACGTGTTTTGCACACGAAAAATAAATTTTTGTCCATCATTTCAGCCATCATCTTTCAGACACTTTTTGAATTTTTGTTCGAAATTATCTCGGAAACCAATAAAGATAAAAACGGACTGCAAATTCTTGTTTAACACATCGAGAATACCCTGTATTCAGCCTATTCTGACACTTGGAGTTGAATGAAAAAAGTTCAAAGGGTACCTTGTTCTTTTTTTAGACCCTGAAATTAACTTTGTCGTAGGGCCTTCAAATTTGGTAATACAGGGTCCTTAACAGAAGCCCTATTGCGGAGTAGAAGCACAGCTCTCTAGCTTTCATAGAAAATTTCTACCATTACACAGGTCAGAGATTATACACTGTATAATTTCTAGTTCAAATAGTTCGGTACATGTCCGTGGACATACCTGAATATCTTGTTATAATAATTATCAAAAATGAAAAATATATGTGGACATAACAAATGAAAGCAACAGGTAAACATAGTTACAAAACAATTTATGGTTTAAAATAATATGTTAAAAGTAGTAGGGGGATGGGTGTTTTCCATATATATATGATGGTGTCAGAAATTCATATACCGAGTAGAAACTGTGTTTCAGTAGAAGCTGTTTGAAAGCTGATTTAAATTGAAAGGAGCTGAGCTTTTTGCATAATTCTGGCACCTAATTATATACATATATAAATTCAGGTTGAGTTTTTTTATGAGATTTCAAGATAAACCTAGGATTGATGAGCTGGGAGTTATTTCAGATGGAATAGCTATGTAAATCTTTGTTGAAAATTGGGCGGAGGTTTCAAATATTCAAACCAGCTCTCATATAGGTAGATACTGATGGCCACTTTTCCATCCAACCAAGATTATTTCTGCTTTGGTGAGTGAAAATATCAAGAAAATAGTCATCTGAAAAACAATGGGAGTAACGTATACAGGAAATCTTAATAACACCAAAAAAATAAAGTTCATATAAATATGTGTCCGAGCTTGCTTCGTTTTCGAGATACAGGGTATTAATATTTCCATGAAAGATCGTTTTTTATTCATTACTAAATTATCTTTCCATCAATACAACGTTGTGGTTTTGTTAATAGTAATATGGTGGTTCTTCTGGGGCAATTAGAATCGAAATAATATTCTCAGTGGCGTCACAGTGGGTATATTTATCGATATTTATGGTGAATGTCATTGTACGCCACCGGCTTTCCTGAGTTAAATATTTTTATTAGATTCAATCATTGAAATAACAACTTTTTTATCCTCTGTGTGATTTTTGTATCTAGCTTGGTTTTTGAGGAAACGATTGAAATTCGATTTGACTCCAAATTTAATGTAGGTGTTTTTAAGACAAATTTTTGGGCTTTCTCAGTCTCCAACAATACTGAATTTTGGCACCATGAAAGCTTATACAGGGGGTTACCCACTAAGCAACGTTCACAGCTATATTGATGCATAGATCTAATTGTAATTAGATCTATGATTGCTGCAATGATGAAGGAATAACTGAAACGGACGTTCAGCAATATTGCAAAGGTGAAGTTTGATAATGTAGCGTTGCAGCAATGTTACATGTTGCAGTGACATTGCTGGAACGTTACATTTACAAATTTACATTTGCAATATTGCTGAACGTCCGTTTCAGTAATTGCTACAACCTCTTGTATCAACATACCTTCCAAATTTGCTCAGTGGGTTGTAAATAAAAACAATTAATAATTCCAACTTCAACATCCTGTATCTCAAAAACGGAGCAAGTAAGGATACACATGTTCATGTGAACTTTATTTGCTAGAATATCACAAGGAATCACGCCTTGAATTCTTTCGGCATCATTTAGATAAACTCTTACACCCTGTATAGATATTAGATATATAGTGTTATTTCATGAATGCAAAGATAATTCATATATTAGGAATAGGTATGTTGGATATTATCTTTGCCAAGTCATGTTTTAAAAATTAATATATCGAACCATGATAACAACAAGCAAAACTCTCATCTACTGTATATAAATTAACTCACAATTACTTCCCCCCATTCTATGAAATCGTTCAAAGGTTATCTGTCGTCTGTTTCCAACCGAACGTACACAAATTCATCAATACTGATCTAGTCATCGCGCTGCTTCCTAAACAATGGCACCGCCAAAGCCTACTATCCTGGTGCTGCTCTCCATTGTTTTGGCTACCGCATCCAGTGATCTGCTGGACTTTAGGGTCCAAAACGAGTACTGCGATCTACCGGATGAGCTGGTATCAGAAATCCGGTCGTACCAGCCAACTGTCAACAGGATCATCGATGCAGTGACCAAAGGCAAGTTTAAGGGTGCTGTTTACAAAGAATTGGCGGATTTTGTAGACAAATTCGGGGCTAGGGTGTCTGGTACTCGGAACCTCGAGGATTCCATTGATCACGTGTTGGATTCCATGAGGGAAAAACAGCTGGAGAATGTCCATGGCGAGAATGTCACAGTTCCGCATTGGGTAAGGTAAGTTTCCTGCTCGGTTTGCTGGGATTGAGAATTTTGGCGAAGGCGCAGTTATTTTGTGTTCAGTTACCTATATCGATTTTCTTGACTTAATAAAAAAGTTAAATCACGATGCTCTGAATATTCACTTGTAATACCACTAGAGGTCAAATTATTTCCGGAAAATTTTTCGAGCTCATGGAAATTTTGAAATTTATTCAGAGTCGAAGACGAAGGATAATTTTCGAAATATATACATGAGCGAGAAAAATTCCCAGGAAGTAATTTGACCTCATGTGGTATTCAGCAAGAAAATTTCACACCAGATTGTGTTTGGAAATTGAATAATTTCAGAATGTATTTGTTCATGTGATTTACATACAGGTTCATGAATAAATTTAGTTTTGGTCGCAGTTTCGGCACCAATAATAGATTTTTCTGATTTTCACTTATTACATATATTTGAAAATACTAGTTTAAAATGTAACATATTATATTCTTCCATTCTATGTTAACTTCGGGATACAACAAGTGATAAGAAATTATTAATTTTTCATAGGTATAGGTACATACTAGTAGTAGTAGAGAAAGGGAAGGTGGTAGCCTAGCAAGTAGGCCCCATTGAGCCTTTTTTGCCGACCCCTGCTGCACACGTCATGTGCCTATAATATCTACTATTCCTTCTAATAATTCTCATTTTCGAACCTCCGTGGATTTCTGATGAAGGTCAGTATTTCCGTCCACCTTAGTGATTTGATCTTCCTGTTGAAGCGTATCAGTACCAGAGATTTCGAATTTTAGCCTTCCATAACGCCTTTCACTGGCCCAGGTAGTGGTATGACATTCTATACAGTGTGTCCCACTCACCATGCTCACCATGGGTATCTTTTTAACGGTGAGAGATACGAAGTCGGTTAAATGACACCAAATGTGGAGTTTGTCAAGGCCAACTATAATGTGAAAAAATATTTTGATAAAATCTATTCGTTTTTGTTTTATACCCAAAAAACAGATTTTGATCATTTTCATGTCTCCTCCGTAACTTCTTAATTTATGAAAATATTCGAATAGGAATTTCACATTCCTCAAGGCAGTTTTTCAAAGTGATTTCGAAAAAAATATGAAATTGATACCAACTCTTCTAGAATTTGAGATACCAGCACCAACTTCAGTTGTTCGAATGTAGGTCATAGCTCACTATGACTTAGTTACGAATAACTTTTTTTCTCTTACAGATGATATGTCGCAGTAATAGTTTTGTGTTGATAACAACGGAGTTATCGTCATTTATACAAAAACAAAAAATTATTTGGAAGCCGACATCTTGAATTTATAAATTTTAACAAAAAAATTATGATCTCCGACCTCAAAAACCCCCACTTACCAATTTTGAATTGGAATCGGACCAAATCTTGTCCGCCATCTTGGAGCAGCCATTTTTTTAAATTTCAACAAAAATTCCATAACTCCGATTAACTTGAAATTTGGCAGGTGTTCATAATTTCGGTGACAATACATTATGGAATTTTCGTTGAAATAAAAAAAATGGCTGCTCCAAGATGGCGGACAATATTTGGTCCGATTCCATTCAAAATTGGTAAGTAGGGGTTTTTGAGGTCGAAGATCGTTAAATTTTTTTGTTTAAATTCATGGATTCAAGATGGCGGCTTCCAAATAATTTTTTGTTTTTGTATAAATGACGATAACTCCGTTGTTATCACCACAAAACTATAACTGCGACATATCATCTGTGAGAGAAAAAAAAGTTATTTGTAACTAAGTCATATTGAGCTATGAGCTACATTTGAAAAACTAAAGTTGGTGCTGCTATCTCAAATTCTAGAAGAGTTGGTATAAATTTCATATTTTTTTTGAAATCACTTTGAAAAACTGCCATGAGAATGTGAAATTTCTATTTGAATAATTTCATAAATAAATAAGTTACGGAGGAGACATGAAAATGATCAAAATCTGTTTTTTGCGTATAAAACAAAAACGAATAGATTTTATCAAAATATTTTTTCACATTATAGTTGGCCTTGACAAACTCCACATTTGGTGTCATTTAACCGACTTCGTATGTCTCACCGTTAACAATATACCCATGGTGAGCATGGTAAGTGGGACACACTGTATAATAGATGCAGTTAAGGCAATAATGGATTCTTAGCCTATTAATTGTTGATTTCTACCAATTGAAGTTGCACAAAATCACTATTTTAGGACGTCAAAATATTATTCTGTCATTAAAACGTCATAAAAAATTTCCGATTTCATACGCTGGTGGGTACCCACGAGAAAAAAATGCCCACTAAAATACATACGTTGCTATGATAATTTGTCATAAAAACCCAATTTAACTGTATAAAAATCACTGGTGTGGAATTTTCGAGGTAATTCTGTTGCTTCATTGTTCAAGAAAGACATAATTATGAGAAGATATTCAGAACCGAGTGGTATTTTGCTAGACTATTTCACATTCACGAAGCATAAAAAGCATTTATCATAAATGAGTGATTGATTCTGACAAGTGAAGCCATAATTATTTAATGCCAAACTGACAGACTGCTTCGCTGTCCATGGTTACATCAACGCTGATAGACCAATCAGAATTGTAAGACATATAATGTTTTCGCGATAAGCACACGTTGTATGTGGCTTGTGATTGGTCATATTATGTGATGAATGAAATAGTCATAAGTACTATCACGATGTCCTGAATATTCGAGATAATTCTGTTGCTTCATTGTTCACGGAATTAGGTGTATTTAACACTCAAGATAACATTCAATAGGTACCTACCTATCACAAATTATGAATTTATGAATGAGATGTCTATCGATGATTAAAAAACATCAAATCATGCACTCAATCATCTTTTGATTAGATATTTGGGAAGTCTTCGGCAATTACACTGTACAAGGGTATTGTTTCGAATTCTACATCTGCTAATATTTCGATCTTTGGTCGAGAAAATATAGAAAATATTTGATACTTACATGAAAAATTTGGTCTCTTTCATTTTAATATTCTTCTGGGTAAATGGAGTAACGATGTGCAAAGAATACTAATACGAATTAGTACCTGATTTTATTTACTTGATTCCAGTGGCGTCATTATACAGGGTGTTTCATTGGAAAAGGTAAATACTCCGACTGTGGATAGGGCAGGTAAATGAGATGATTACAAAGAACCCATGTTTTATAATAGGTCTTCGGTCTGTATAGGGTGTAAATTGTAACTTTCATGTGAAGCCGGATCTGGATTCTATCTTTTGTTGATGCCTCATTCGATTCGACAGTATTGATTGAGCAAGTGTATCAATCTTCAAAAAATATACAGGTTGGTTGGAAATATATGAGACAATAAAAATATCGGCAAAATTGATCCTGTATCTCGGTTATAAGATGTCGAAGACCCATCAACCATTGGTTTTTTGAAATCACCTCGGTGACCCCTATCCATAATTGAAATATCTACCACCTGGATAATAGCCAGGAAAATAGTTGCTTTCTGTTGAATATTCAGAATGGAATGGAAATTCTCAACTTCAGAAGATTTTGTTTTCAAATTCTTATCGTCGTGGCATATAGCCAGGAAAGTAGTTGTTTTAAGTTGAATAAACCGAGGAAGAATCAATATTTTCATCACATGGAGAATGCGAATTCTCAATGTATATCTTTATATATACAGTGTGGTCATTTAAGTGTGCAACATATGGGAATCTTTTTAATGAATTGCACAACCAAAATACAGATAGTGCCGAAAGTTAGTGCATGTTCAGTAACCATTTTAGGTGCACTCAGAATGGTTGCAAGTCACACAGCATACAGGGTAGGTCAAAAAATATGAAAATTGCTCAAGAGTAAAGTAGCCTTATTTCAGAAAATTCAGCAAAATGTTATTTAGAAAAGTTGTTTACAATTGGGAGATATGCTCAAATATCAAAACATGGCCTCCTAAGACATTTGTTAGTTTTTCAATTTTTTCCCAATTTGTAATTTTTTTCATATTCACCCTAAATACTTCCATGAATTAATCATAACAAAATCAGTTGAGCATACTTTCGTTTGAATTCAAGCTTATTTGTGCAATTAACTCGAATTTAAATTTTTTTAGGGAATCACAATCTTTATCTGTGTTGCAACGATATTCAGCTCAACTTTAAAATTTCGCAAACCATATTTTTAACAAGGTAAAACATCATTAATGATAATATGCATATCCAAAAACTTCCATTTAATGTGAACATTTTGTATTTAAAATATTACAAATTGGAAAATTATTAACGATTTTAATTTAAAAACTAAAAAATTTCTCAGGTGGCCATATTTTGGTATCTAGGCAAAGCTTTCAATTGTTAACAACTTCTCCCAATAACATTTTGCTGAATTCTCTGAGGTAAGGGTACTTTACTCTTGAGCAATTTATATATTTTTTGACCTACCCTGTATGCTGTTTGACTTGCAACCATTCTAAGTGCACCCAAAATGATTACCGAACATGCACCAACTTTCGGCACTATCTGAATTTTGGTTGTGCAATTCATTAAAAAGATTCCCATATGTTGCACACTTAAATGACCACACTGTATATATCCATTTTTTTGTGTTCATGAATATATCTGAGAATATTCCTTTTCAATACTTTCACCCAATCAAGGGGTTGAAGCTTGAACGATGGAAACTTGTTACTTTTTACAGACCTCAATCGCAGATTCATGATTAGGTTTCCTCAATTCAGATTTTTTTTCCACGTCCTGTATGATGAATGTCAATTTATCATACATAAAAAAACGAATGGCATTCTATTTTATACTTACTGGATTCATTCATCTGATTCCAGAGGTAATGAGAGTGCTGAAATGTTAGAACCAAGAAAAACAAACATTGCAGTGATTTCTCTTGGAAGTTCTGTGGGAACCCCAGAGGAAGGCATTGAAGCAGAAGTTTTGGTAGTTCGTTCTTTTGAAGAACTCGATCAAGCAAATTTTTCTCAAGCGGCAAAAGGTATAATAAACAATCATTGTAGAAACTTTTATACTTTTTATCAGTGACATTTTCCTATTGATAAACGAACGCGTGGAATAATTTCTCTAGGTAAAATCATCGTTTTCAACTCCCAATACGAGAGTTACGGCAAATCTGTTAAATTCCGTTCTTCCGGAGCTTCCAAAGCTGCCCAACACGGGGCAGTAGCCGCCCTCATCAGGTCAGTCACCCCTTTCTCCATGTACACTCTCCACACGGGCGAGCAATTTTACGACGACGGAGTTAACAAGATACCAGCGGTCTCCATCACCGTTGAGGATGCCAGGATGTTCCAGAGATATCAAGTAAGTCATGGCAAAACGTTAGAACAACTATCCGTACTTTACTGTTTTCGAAATTTGAGTAGTAGATGAGCTGTGATGGTTCTGAGACAAAGTGGGCGTGGTTCAGTGAGTCATAAGATTAGTTGACATAGGGGGCGGACCTATGTCTAGATTCCTTTAGGCCACGCCCTATAAGGTCAATGTCATAGTATTCAGGTTTATCTTCTTCACTCATAATCTTTGGTAACGGTTTGTGTTACTTACGTATAGTCAAGTGATTCAATCACACTGAAAAATCTTTTGATTCCAGTTCATTGTATTCGGATATCTATAGGACTAGAAGTTCAGAGGTTCACGACTAGATAAGTCTATCATTCTCACATGATCATTATCAGTCAACTACATGAGTATACAGGGTGTTCGTTTTCTCAAAGGTGAGGCATTTTCAACAGAATGTAGAACTCTCAAAATAGACAAAATCATCGAATCGAAAATTGACTACATGAATGAAAGTTGGAAAATAACGAAATTCAAAAACTCATCGATGAAATTGGCTCTATTACTGTCCTAGAATATTCACCATTCAGGATAGTACAAGCCTTCCAACATGTCCTTGTCTCCCTGTGTCACGACACCTAATACCATATCAACGAACATTCGCAGTACTGGATAATTTCTTGATAGAAATCTTTCCGTGTAGAAAGGAAATGCTGTTGTTGCACTTTGGCAACAATATTAATTGATTGAAACGTACTACATTGTTCGACAATACACAAAAAAAACAATCGAGATAGAGGATCCGATGACTAGCCTTGAACGAACAGAATTCTACTGTGAACGGTAGTAGAGGAACGGGAGATCAGAGATTTGTGCGGAAAAAACGGTAATGACATTCTTTCAAAATGTATGGAATGTTGAACTGATAATATCTCCGGTATTGTGCAACTTTTATTGAGGCGATATTTGGTGGATCTGTATAATTCACTGAATCCTACATCCTCTTGAACAAAATGCCTCCACTTTGAGAACACCCTATCTTTATCGAACTAGTGCGCTAAATAGCCACATGTCGTGGGTATCAACTCACTAGTTTGTTTAAAACTATAACATATACATACCCCATTCAATATTGGCTGAAATCGCCACATGTCGTGGGTATCAACTCACTAGTTTGTTTAAAACTATAACATACATACCCCATTCCATATTGGCTGAAATCATTACCACAGTTGAGGTTATGGAATCTGGATTATTTTCAGGATAGAGGAGAAAAAATTGTGGTCAGGCTCAGAACAAACATTCAATCTCTACCGGAAGCCACGTCCAGAAACGTGGTGGGAGAAATAGTTGGTTCCGAGAAGCCAAAGAAAGTGGTTCTGGTGTCGGGCCATATCGACAGTTGGGATGTAGGAGTAGGTGCCATGGACGATGGTGGAGGAGCCTTCATCTCGTGGTACTCTTTGGCAGTTCTCAAAGCCCTCGGGCTCAGAGCCAGGAGAACCCTAAGGTACTCGTACAAAAAACTATTATTTGTTTAGGTTAAGAAATGTGTATGTATGGCGTCGATCCACTCCACTTCACTACGACAACACTATACTTTCCTCTATGAACTACTTCCTAGTCGAAGTGGTGGGGGAAGCTGAACCGACGCCATCCCTACGCAAATATTTCATGTTTACTCACACTATTATATTTCCACATTTTAATTAGTGCATGTCCATACTTCTCTCCTATTCCTCCGTTTAAATACATCGATTGCAGCTACTTCAGAATGAAGCAATGCGAATTCTACTTCGATGTAGCAGGTCTACTGCAATAAATGTTATGCTGAAGCTCTTGAAATCTCTCAATATTTTGCAACTGATTGTAGAGTCTGTTTTGATATTGGATTTCAAAATTGTTAATAAGTAAGCTTACTCTTACCTGCAAAAATATTTCATCAAAAAGGCAGATATGATACATTATAATTAATTAAGGTTCAATGATAAGTTCTACATACAAGGTTTCAACACAAATGCTTTGGGAGAAACCCTCTTCATGAAAGGTATGCGAATATATAATGATACTCTGAGTTGAGACATCAGGAAAGATTGAAATCAAAACAAGATTGAGAAAAATGTATTTTAATGTATAGATTATATTTCTTATGTAGGTTATATCAAATGTGTAAGTTGGATGTATGATTATGTAATAGCAATTGATGCTAAATAAACTTTATTCTATTCCATTCTATGGAGTACTAAAAATTGTTCGAATCTGAAATTCGATTATTTTTCAGGGCTGTTCTGTGGACGGCAGAAGAACCAGGCCTGATAGGCTTTCAGGCTTACGATGCTGCCCACAAGAACGAATTGGATGATTTTATCTTTGCCATGGAATCTGATGAGGGTACTTTCACACCTCTCGGCTTAGAATACGCTACCGGCGCTAAAGGAGGTTGCATATTGAAGGAAATTATGCAGTGAGTACACGAGGTTTATTGTCACAAAGTCAGTTGAGACACTTCCGTTTCTAAGGATAATACGAGAATTCATCAATCAACATTACATTTTGATCAGAATAAATTAGTATATTGTTTAACGAGCACGGAATGATAGTGATTTCCTACGAGAATGGCTCATGCTGCAATCATTCGAGTGTGGCCAGTTATTTTTTTTTGTGATTTTGTAAAGACTATACATACTTCCTTCCCGAAATTTCAACAGGAATGAATAAACATGGTGTATCTGAATATCTGAATAACGCCAAAAAAATTCAAGGGGTTATTCCTTGTGATATTCTAGCAAATAAAGTTCATATGTCTATATGTCCTAACTTGCTCCTTTTTTGAGATACAGGATGTTGGAGTTAAAAGTATTGTTTTTATTCATAACCCCCCTGTAAAAGCTTTCATGGTGCCGAAATTGGAGACTGAGAAAGCCCCAAAATTTCAAGATGATTGTAATTGGGGTTATTTCGAGTTAAATCGATTTTTTATTGTTTCCTCAGGAACTAAGCTTGATACAGAAATCACACAGAGGATAAAAAAGATATTATTTCAATAGTTCATCTAATAAAAATATGAAACTCAGAAGAACCGGTGGCGTACAGTGACATTTACCATAAAACTCGATAAATTTACCCACTGTGACGCCACTGGAAATATTATTTCGAATATATTTGCACCAGAAGAAGCTCCATATTACTATTAGCAAAACCACAACGTTATATCGACATTGAAAAGATAATTGTGTAATGAATAAATCAACGATTCTTTATGGAAATATTAATATTCTGTATCTCGAAAATGAAGCAAGTTAGGACACATGTTCATATGAACTCTATTTCCTAAAATATCACAAGGAATCACCCCTTGAATTTTTTCGGTGTTATTTAGATACACCCCGAATGCCTACTGATCCCTGCAATTAATTATCATTCCGTTTTTTTCAGGTTACTGGCTCCTATAAACGCGACTCGAGTGGAACCAGCCGACGCAGTCGGTTCGGACATCTCGCTATGGGCCAAAAAGATTCCCACAGGTAGCCTCCTCAACGCCAACGAGCGGTACTTCTGGTACCACCACTCAAAGTCAGACACGATGGATGTTCTGGATCCGGACAATCTGGACAAGGCCGCTGCCCTTTGGGCGGCAGTGGCGTACGTCATCGCTGACCTGAAAGAGGAGTTTCCCAGAGACTTCGACGAGGTCAGGTTGGATAGGTCGAAGTTGATCAAGAAATTGATCAAGGTTTGAGAGGAGGAAAAATTAGAAAATCAGAGAATTCGAACGCATTCTCAAGCTATACCTCCATTCTACTAGAGAACCTGTTGATATTCAGAATAATTTCAAAAACTCAAGGATCCAAAGACTTACCTCGAAATTTGCATAGCCGATCGCTGTCCATATCTCCATTCACTCTCTTCAATCTCATCTTCAAACTCTACTTCTGCTGTTTTTGCACACATGTTATTATATTAATCTGAATACTTCATGAATGAGTGAGTTGAAAAATACAAAAGCAGGCGCAATACGCCTAGGAGCATTTTATTACAATCTGGAAGAGGTTTAATACAGAGGACTATCAATGTTACATAACGATATATTGTTTCCACTGAGGATAATGTTGTGTATTATTACATTCTATTCTTCATTTTATTTCAATTTGTATTATTGACTCAATGAATAATCAGATAACCTTGGATTTGCTTTATCAGCCAATTGAGAAAATGTAATAACAGTTTTTGTTGTAATAAATTATTGTTGTTGTTGACATTTGTTACTGGAGCGATTGATTCACCACCAATGTGTTTCATTTACGCATTGGTCACAAAACCAAGAAATTTGAGTGATTTCTTCCAAGGAAGCTGTGAAGATATTCTTCAACACTGATTTTGATTTCGTACGTAGAACTCTATAACGAATATACAGGGACTTCTCAAAGATGATGCAATTTTTTCAACAGAAACTCACCCATGGAATTGGCCCTATAACGGTCCTAGTATATTCATCATTTCGATAAAGATGAAGTTTATCAATCTGTGATATTATACAGGCCTTCAAACACCTTATATCACGACACCTCTGCATCGAATTGAGTGACATATTCGTGGTATTGGACGTTTTCTCAACGGAAATCTTTCCATGTACAAATGAAATGATGTTGTTGCACTTAGGTGACACTCGCAACAAATTCAATATTTTCGTAAACATGCTTCATTGTTTGACAATGCATTGAAAAAATAATCGAGGAGAAGGATTCGATAACTGACGTTGGGCAAACAAAATTTCACTGTGGACGGTAAAAAGGGAACAAGAGAATCAGTCGAATAATCACTGAACAAACATTCGTCCGGCCAGGAAATTGATGATTATTCTGGAATAAATGGAATCTTCAATCGATAGTATCTCTATTATTATGCAATTTTCATTGAGGCGATATTTTGTGGATCTGTCTTTCAATGAATACTACATCCTCTCGAAAAAAATATGTCACCTTCAAGAACACCCTGTACATTTACTCCGATTTTTCGAAAGTATCACTTGATCGACTGTGAACAATGTGGAGAAAGAATGCAACAGTGATATTTATTCTCCTATAACAAAATACTTCGGATTCGAACTTTCAAAAGTTTTTTCATGAAGTTTCATATTCATTCGATATCAAGTAAATTGGATGGGGGTGAACTTATCACCGGTTGGTACTACTGGTATGAGGCGTGGTCTAAGTGGGAGGGAATGATTGATTGGTCTCAGAGCTGGAGTATTCAATTGAACGAAGTTAAGGATGAGATGTTTCAACTGACCTAAACCTCAACGTATTTCGAAGTTTGGTTTTTGTTTTCAGAGTTTAGAATTCTTTTAAAACATTTTTTTTCACCACTCGAAAAAATGGTCAGTTTTTACTAGTATGCACCTTCATAGGATGGTTCGGCTGGTATGCAAAATTGTTATGTAATATAATTTTATTCAATTCTCAATCTTATCGTTTGCTTTCACAACAAACTTATGACTAGACTCTGCTAGAGTATCTCGATAGATTCGACGTTTTTATAATCCTTCGAGACACTCTAGACTCTTACCTTTTCTCTCTGTGTCACAACATTATTACAGCTACCTACTAATACATTTTCACAATTACTATATGGCTAGAATCTAAACGAATATCTATGAGAAGACTTCATATAATACTGAATCTGGGTAGTTGAGCTATAAGGGATCTGAACCAAAATTTACATTCTGAGTGTGCTCTGTCGAATGATTCATGTATCTCACCCCCTATATCTTTGATTCATCACCATTCTCCACTTTGATTGACACTCCTACTTCACATAAATTCCAATCATTTCGCTCCTTACTCACGAAATATTCAATTTTGACCAGATTGAATCTTTAAAAGTTTGAAAGAACATAAATATAGGGTTTATTGCAGAACTCGCATACTTATCTACCAATCTGATCTCAGCTAAATTTGATACCAACACGATATCAAATGAAAGTATCACCGTCCTGTCGATCGAAAACCAGCAGCAGCGATTGTTGGGACCCAAATTTCTGATCGACCATCAGCCAGTGACGGCTCCTCAGAGGGAGCCACGGAGGCTGAGCTTCCTCAAGAATTTCCATACACCAGATAAGCTAACCTACGTTCGTTTTATTTGGCAGCCATGCTTAAACCTACTTCCAAGTGAAATTTTACTTGAACGTATTCAGAATAGAATACAAATCTGCGACTTGGCAACATCCAACAGAAAGCAGCCTCTGATCAATGAAATTCTCCAGAATCGCGATTCGCGAGGGAGCACGTGTGACTGAGATGTTTATAAATATATGATAAACAGTTGAAAGTCGCAATTCTTGTTACATCTTATTCTGATAAATGTAGCTTTACGAATTCTTTTTAAAATTGAAATAGAAACTAATTTATCAAAATGTTATTGAACACTATCAAAAATGGACCTACTTACACAATTTCTGTATATTTTTGTCGTCAGTATCAGTGATTGCTGTTACTTGGTCCGACGGCCATCGAAAATATGACGATACCAGAGCCTCTCACGGGTTTTCTACGAACAAGAACCTTGGGAGTGTAATCAGTTTTTTTGGTGGGATTTCAAATTCACACTTCCCATTCAGCCTCCCCTGTTTTAAGAAGCACGAGCTGCCACTGCCGTCAGCAGGCCCAAATTCCCATGTATTTTCTTGTAAAGCCCCATTCTGGTCAGAGTTCAACATTCTATGGTTGCTCTGTCGAATGCTTTAACTATCTATAAATCCTTATATCTGCTCCCCACCCTCGAAATATTCAATTTTGACCAGATTGAACCTTCATTTGCAGATAAATGCGATTCTGGTGCAGAACTCCCATAGCTCATCTACTAATCGGATCTCAGCTAAATTCGCTACAAACACGATTTTAAATGAAAGTATTCTCGTCCTGGCGATCGAAAACCACCAACAGCGATTGCTGAGACCCGGATTTCTGATCGGCCGTCAGCAGAGCCCCTCTCTCCCCGTTCTCGTTCAAAGAGCAGTCGGGCGACGAGTTGTCGATGAGCGAAAAGTTGGGGGTTGCCGTGGTGGTGGTGGTGGCGCTGCTGGAGGGTAGGCTGTGCACGTCGGGGGAGGCCAAAGGGGGCGGGAAGGCCTTGGGAGAGGATTCGAGCGGCTCCTTGAGCAGCATCACGGGGTAGGACTCTCTGTAAAACACACACATTGGAGCAAAAAAAATCCTAGTTGTTCAAAAGTACTTACGTCAATGGAGTAGATGGTTAAATATTTAGACCAATCAAAATGTAAGAAAATTGCGCTCTCTTGAGCTTCAGAATGTTTTCTGTATAAGTCGTTTTCGTACACATTCTCGCCATACATACAAGTGTTCATACAGGGTGATTGATTGAAACGGTTCATTAGGCGTTCCTGGCGAGCCAGTCGATGGATCGTTTTGAAAGTTGGGGTGATCACGTAAACGAACTCGCTCTATCTTTCTGACATAATTTCAATAATGCGTTGTTGCCGCTTCATTTCAAATGAAACACCATGTATCTAATTGCATTTTTAGATTCTCCCCGAAGAGCTGATTTCATCAATGAATCATTCTTGGGGTCTAGCGGGAATGATTTTTGGTCGAAACGGCTTACACGTCCCTATATTAACTTTTGATTTACCATCTACTAATTGAAACAAATACACCCTATTTCAGAATTCTGAATCCTTAACCACCCTCTATTTGTTAAAATGAAACGTCCCTAGATAGTGAATCGAAAGTTGGGATAGAACATGTGAGCCGTTTTCAAAAAATCCTAAAGTTGAAGAATTTCAATTTTGAACACCCTGCTGCTAGACGTGTGATATATTGATGGAATGAGCTCTTCAGGAATAATATAAAAATGCAATCATTTTTCAAAACGATCCATTGTTGGTTTGCCAGATGAGTCTAATGAATCGTTCCAATCAATCACCCTCTAAAACAATTTTTTTTGTTTTCCCGAAGTGTTTAACTAAAAAAAATACTGTGAAGACATTTACTGTTGTGGCCAATAGTGATTCGCTATTTGGATGGCGATTTGTTTTCAGGATCGAACGCTTGGTTCGGAAATGTCCTGTAGACCTGCTAACAAATTCGAATTCACGTAAGTTTCAAGAGTTAAATAGGGGTTGTATACATGAATATAATACAGTGTATGTTTTTTATAAGACGTCATGAGATATATCTGGCATGGTTTTAATTAAAAAAAGTCTAACGCCAGTCTGCATTCCGAACGATTTATGGTCTATAAATCGTTTGGAAAATACTGTTGGGAGAGAAATGTGCCGAAGGATCTCGCAATGTGAAAAATGAAAATGCTAGACCTGTTGTAGGTCAGATATAAATTACAGCAGGTAACCGATTCAGAATAGTATCACTTAGAGAGCGAGATCGAATTGGTGAATTTGTTAAAGGTGAACTTTGTGTTATGATAGAAAGAGATGTAGTTATTGTGATTTGGTATTGTAGTGTAGGTGTTCAAATCAATGACGGCTAAATATCAAGTGAGCTGCCTGAATGTCATGACAGCCCAATAACTAAGTTCAGTGTATGATTACTTGGTGGCAGCACATACGGGTAATCACAAAAATTTCATTTGTTTTTTCTCGATTTACGAGAATTTTTTTTGAATTATTGGTTATAATATGTAAGTATCTCATGAAATGTCAAACTGTTGTCATTTGCCTTTCGCTGCTGAGCTAATCTCGTAATTTCATTGATATTTCCTCTCATTTTGCAATCTTTCTTCGTATCATTATAATATATTGGTTGGGATGGAATCAATATGTTTGAATTTCCCAGTGACATCAGTTTGCGAAGAGAATCGTTGTCTGCAATTTTGGAAGGAATGTGTAAGAATAACAGTTCTGTAGCTGTACTTCTGACCTATTGAATGATATTGTTGATGACTCATATCATGTCATGAAATTTTGCACCAACTCCAAGCCTCCTAATTTCATCGAGCGAGTGTTCACAACACGTTTACACATGGTTTAAATTCTAATCACAGATTAGCTAAAATCTCCAATCAATAATTAGAGAGAATTACCAGTCTAAAAGGAAAAAACATCATAACCTATAATCATAACATAACAAGCAAAGCAAAAGTACATTTGTTATTGACCACAGAACACAGAATGACGGCTAGGCCGTCATTGCTGTAGGTATCTGTATCTGTCACCAGTGACATCTCTCAATTTCTAGGTTACCGTAAAAACGCTTGAAGATTTGTTCAATAGATGTCGCAGTATACGGAGAATGGGCGTGGCATGGTGAAAAAAGAACAGATCCCTAAACGCGAAATCCGATAAATGGACAGTCATGTTCAGGTCAATGACGGCTAAATGGACTGTCTGACGAGTACTAGTACTAGTATAACCCGTCAGACAGTCCATTTAGCCGTCATTGTTCAGGTCGGCAGCTCACAGCTAACTTGATATTCAGCCGTCATTGGTTCAAATGAATCGTTTCAACTTTCATACTGGGTGTTTGTGCAAAGCCGAACCTGTATCCGGACGTACTCGATGTCTGAGAGACGACAGAATCCTCGTCCCACGAGCCCTCGGTCGCTCTGCTTCTGGCGGCTATCCTCAGCCGATGTGGATCCGTCAGAGGCTCCTTCTGAGCGTTCTGATCGGTTGTTTCGGAGCGTTTAAGCGGCGGTGGAATAACTGGTGGAGTCGGTGGAGGCGAATCGACATCGAGATTTTGATGAGTCGGGAATGCCGGTTCGGAATCCAGCTTGGTGTGAGCGAGCTAGAAAAATAAACATTTCTTTCTATAACAATTTTTGTTATATCTCCATAACATGGGCTTTGTGCTATATTGTTCACCTCCATGAGTGATAAATCAAAAATAAGATATGTCACGATCATTTACGCGATCATTTACAAAAGTGTCTCTCACCTCTACTCGTCTATTTTTCTTGCTTCTCCTCAAACGGAAAGTTTTCCTGCTTTGCGGTTTGATTCTTTGCAGTCTCGGCTTATTCGGATATATCTCACCGGAACTGTCGTCTACCGGACTGCTCGGACTCAGAGGGGTCGTAGAAGTCTCACCTTCACAAATCATCAGGAAGAAAAATTACCGAAATGTTTTTCGGTTGGAGAAACCTAGCATCATATCTAATGGTACAGAGTCAAGCAAGTGCGGGAGATATACTCTCCAAAGATTTGGGTGTATAACATTCTACTACGGGTAGATTTTTCAGGTAGGAATTCATTAGTCATATACGGGTGATCTATGTGAGGCAAGGGTGCAAAGTTTGAAACTTGAAAGCAATCCTAGTGAATTTATGACATATTCAAACTAGGACGTTTGTGGGTATGACTAATTTCATCATCATCATCTTTATTCGCAGGGTATAAAATGAAGTTATAGTCATGTTGTAGCCATCTAGTGGCGAAGCTCTAAGGTAGGATCCAGAGATCGCGACACACACTGTATGGCGCTGCCATCTATAGTCACACGTACAGACCCTTACGTTCATACGCTACAGAGTGGTACTACCAGTAAACCACTCTGCTGACAGATGGCACTACCTGGCATACTTGAGTGGATTTATCCACCGACCTGTTCAACTGCTAGATCTCATAACTGAGAGATCCAGGATGAACAGAGTTGCTTCAATTGCTAGCAGGAGCGAGACAGTACTGTTTCGACCCACCAGGTCTCATCAGCCGCTCTCGATCTGCTGACAACTGGGACAACTCTACGCTCCGGTTATATCGCCCATTTCGAAGACGCAGGGTATAACATAAAGTAATAGTCATGTTGTAGCCATCTGGTGGCAATCATCATCTTTATTATTCCCAAGAAACAATTGACGTATATGTATATAACAGGGAACTTTGAAAAATGAACCATAATGTATTACATTACATATGAAATGTAGTAGGTATAGGTAAAATAATTATTCTAGTAATTTGTCTGAGTTTAAGCTGATCCTTGTTTGAGTGAATGAATGATTGAAATAATTGATATGTTGTATGATCTCTATATAGATGACATGACAAAATTCAGACGAATAAATATTTTTCAAGTTCTTTCTAGAATTTTTGGTACTGATATTTTGTTGGCAATTCATTGTAAAGTAATAATCCATTGCAATATATATGTCGGCGTCAAACAGTGAAATCCGTCATTCTCTGGAATGCCTAGTTATTTCTCGTATTGCCGGCAAACAGCGTAACTCTAAATTTCGTACACCGTTTGCCTAATAGTTTCAGGCATTCCCTGTAATGACGGAAGGAAGGTTCATTCAGGCTGAGTCAGCTTAGGTTGCTTAGAAGCAGTAGTCTCTTCTGTTCTCTCAAGTAATTTTCTGAAAAATATACTTTCTAGGAAGAAGGTTCCTTCCTCAACCCTCCGGCAAACAGAGTAACGGCTGAAAATGGAAGTTACGCTGTTACGCTGTTTGCCGACAATACGTGAAATGACTAGGTATTTCCGGGAATGAAGGATTTCACTGATTGACGCCGACATATAGATCTCTTGCCAAATTCAGATTTGATTTAAATGAAGGAGTCGAGTCGGTGATAGTATCGATATGGCAGCCTTTATTCCGCATGAAAACATTTGCAGGCATAATATTCGTGAAAACAATGAAAAATGTCCTGATAGGTGTCAATGAATGAATTTCACAACTTGTAGATTTGGATAACTCGATAAGTACTTTGATAATCAGTCAGAAGGTTGGTGTTATTGTGTAACGTGGTTTGACGTATTTTCCATGAAAATCTTTTTCACCCATAAAAAAAAAAGGTGCTCGAGTCGGAAGACCTTTAACGTCATCAAGATGGACGATATCTTCAATTCGAGGAATATCAATGTATGATCCGAGTGACGATTTTTAGTAAACATTCAATGAGAAAGATGTATATTATATTCTCCGCTAAAACCAATACGGAGTGTGATGGTTCTTTTCACTTATATTGTCACGAAAGGATATTTTCCAAATTATTCTCAAATATTACTACCACTATTATTATTATTTCACTGTTCTAATTTATCGAGCTTGTTATATTTCTCAGCAATTCAACTGTCCTCATTCGTGACAAAACATTTTTCAATAAAATAAACATTTGAGGTGATCGATCGGAATCCACGTACCAAGAGGGACTCGACTTTCGGTCCGAATAGCGGACGGTTGCTTGTGGCAACGCAAGTTTTTGTGTTAGATTATTGTAAGTACCATTTTTATTATTCATCAAATCTTCAACCTAATGCCTCTTCAAAGAATGTCAAAATTGTAATTTATCATTAATAAATCCATATTTGTTTTTGTTGTTCAAACTCGAGTCCTTTTACTGAATATCAACCCTCTGCAAATCCCAACTAGCAAAGGCAATAAGTCACAGTCGTGACAATATTCGTGGCGTGTTGTGTATTGTGTTTTGATTGGCAGTTCACAAGAGTGAGTGGAACCAGTCACTTATATCCTCACCAGCTCAATTGTCAGTCTCAAGTCTGATGTGTTAGTACCAAGATAGACAAGTGAAAATATTTTAATCCTAATTCGTTTCGAATTTCACTTCAATTCAAAATTATTCCAACTTCATCCGGTGGACACAACGCAACCAATTCTTCGCATTCTCAAATAGATCACCCTGTATATCCCTAACTGAATCAATATAGTACTAGATTTTCGGTATGCTAGATTTCCGTATTAGATATTCGAATGGTGAAGGTTCTTCTGCGAATGACAGTTACCTGAGGAGTGTCTAAATTCTACTGAGGAAACGAAACGCAGTTTATGGACCTTGTGTAGGGATTCGGATTTGGGTAGAGGTACGCAGTGTTCGTCACTAACCGATGACCTTTGCGAGGAGCGATCTGAAACATCCACATGCACAATCAATAGGTACAGCTAAATCTAGGTAACATTCTTGATCATCTACACCAACAAGATGAACCATCCTTCTGAGAGCGATAAAGCCAGAAATTCTATCCAGTAGGCGGCGGTAACTATGAGCGACGAGATGGACTACTTTTTGTTGAGTATCGAAGGGAAGAGATCGGTAATGCAGAATATATTTCAAGCTGACTTTTTGAGGTGGTCCAATGATAAAATAAGTAGTTTTTGAACCACTCTTTAATAAACCATAATGAATTCGTGGGCAAACATAATTGCTTTCGTAAACACTTTGTCTGTTCCCGAACAGGAGTGTTCTCTCGACAAAACTGTATCTCTTCCTCTTCACGAAAACACAGAATATTTCCTACACAGAACTGTGACTAACCTAAGATGTAGTCTAATATAATTCAAAGAGAATGGCGGGACATTCAAAATTTAAAATCGAATAACAGTTGGGCGTGGGTCCCAATCCCACTTCTGAAACAGAGGTAGTCCAATGATAAAATAAGTAATTTTCGAACCACTCTTTAATAAACCATAATAAATTTGTGGGCAAACATAATTTCTTTCGTTAACGTTTTGTCTCTTCCCTAATGGCAAACAAGAGTGTTCTCTCGGAAAAACTGTAACTCTTCCTCATCACGAAAACACAGAATATATCGTACACAGAACATACATTGACATATTGACATGGAACATAGAATTGTGACTAACCTAAGATGGAGTCTAATATAATTCAAAGAGAATGATGGGATATTCAAAATTTAAAATCGAATACAACAGTTTATATTTTTTTATGCAAGAAGGATTATCGGATCAGGGCCCGATTGAAATACTTTTGTTTGAAAGCCTTCAGAATATTGAATTTTGTGCTTTTCCTGCTTCATATTGGCTCCAAAATTGGCTTCAACATTTTACATCTTGTTAGTGTGAATAATCGAGAGTAATTTGCCAAAGTAAGGGCCGGGTCCAAGTAGGTGAATTAAGGATCAATCTTGAACTGGATAGGGGAGAATTTTAGAACAAAGTTGAAGCTCAATGAAACCTCAGAAATACTCATCCAATGCAACTGAGTCAGTTGACCCATTGAAACTCCAATGTTGCACTGAAATTCGATTAAGTAATGCCAGCAGTTTTTACAAAATACTTACCGGCTTGTGCAGATGGTGGAGGAGAGCTACCGTTTTCATTTCCTTCTTGTACGTCACTCATGCTCACGTTAGTGGCTTGGTTTGGAGAAGACACGTGACTTGTACTTGTTGAAGATTCTGAAATCAGCAAGATTCACATTTTTCCATCACGTACTGAAGTTGCATCAAGAACATGAAAAATAATTTCCAGACCTATTCAGCTATTCTGACAAATATTATTGTTAGAACTAAAATGGTTTCCAGGCTACCTTTGACTTGTGCTGGTGCAGATTTCGATCCATGATGGCCTTCGCCAGTAAACAGACCAATCAGGGAGTGCCTCTGATGACGAGATTGTGATATTTCTGACGTCATTTGACAGGTTGGACCGGTATCTTTCTTTGGATCACTAGTTGATTCAGTCGCTAATAGAAAAACTGTTTCGTGAAATTCCAAACACGAACAAAATCAAACAATACAAAAAATGTGATTCCAGAGATTAATGAAAAAATGTTCGGCAAAAAATAGATCTGTTCGTGAGTGTTGCTCCACCTGCTGAAGTTGACTGTTTATTGGACATTGCAGGACGCAAAAAATAAATATACTATCGAATTTTCACATGTAAAAATATGAACTAATAATTTTCACACATAATTAGAAATGTTAGGTTTTACTTACACTCCTCGAGTTCTTCTTTTAGAGTTTTCATTTCGTGAGCCAACTCCATGAGAAGGGCTCCTCTGCTCTTTGGCAGAGGTAGCCCTATGCTGCGCATCTTGTTGCGTATTTTTGTGTGCACGTTCCTCTCAAAGTCAGATATAGGAGGTTGTGCCAACTGAAGAATAATTTTCAGTCATTAGTGATTAGTAGTATAACTATGAGGACACCAAACCACTTTGACGAAAGAGATTTTCACCATGCTTTCCTATACATTTTTACGACATTCTACATGTATATGAACAAAATAAATCTCGCAAAAGTGGTCTGGTGCTCGTTCAGTTCAACTACTGTGACCTCTCACCTTCTGGAAGATGAAAGGTTGCATCAGAATGTACAATACTGTCCTGTGAGTGACAACGAAATCTAAGAAATCCCACAGATATGTCGCTGCCTCATTCCTTTTGCCAAGCTCTCTCATCGTCCTACCTATTTTCAACCATTCGTTCATCAATTCTCCTTCGAAGCAAATCGCCATAATTTTCAGAGCTGAAACACCAACTCGAATCACTTTCATACTGAATTAAAAACATTTTAACTTGATGTTAAAGTGACTCTAAGGTTGAAAACTTGCCACTAAATGTTTCCACTTACCAAGAAAAGAGACTTGGTAGAGAGAAGTGTTGATTTTGGCAGAAGTCTTAGCATCTCTCGTACCGGTAAAAGTCAAACTACCGGTCCTTATTTCAGCTGTTGGTTTGACGTTGGTGCCAGAAGGACCCATAGTTTTGGTGTTGGGAGGACTCATCGCGTGAAGCACCAAAGTTAGGGCGAAACTTATGTCGCTCTGCTTCATTTGAGCAACATCTACAATAGAAAATATATCAATCGGCATATTTGAGGATAATGCTCGAGAATATAGAAGTAACTTGTTAAAAAGAGTGATTTATTCATTTCTTCTGCTGAAAAGACATCACATTCTAAGAACCTTTATGAAACCGCTGCCAAATCGATGATTCAAGAGGATTAAATCTTATTCAACTCGACATATATAGCTTTTGTCATTTCAAAAAATCCTTTTCGTCCTTGAGAATTTATGTTTGTATCATAAGTACCTACATAATGAAATACAAAATTTGAATTACCTATGCAAAGATGAACGTGACGACAACGCGAAGTTTCGTAGTAGACGAGTCATAGATCGTTGTAAGAAATGTCATTTGTCGTTTTATTTTGTTATTAATGGTTTTCCGATGTTGTGTGATTAGTGTTTGTAGAGAAAAGTAGTAGTAGAGAAAAGTTAGTTTCAAATATCCTAATCTGACATTTCACAGGTCCGTAGAAATTTGGTTCAGTGGCGGTCTTGTTGAGGGTTTGCTTTTGCGTTGATCAGGAGCGTGTTTGAAATATTAAAAATATCAAATAACCCCACTAAGACGTTACAATACGTGAGATTCATTTGTTTAATGGAAATATCCATAGAAATCTCTATTTATTAGGCATATAAAGAATATCAATTTTCTGGCAATAATTCAGCAGAGTTTTTCCCACCATTCGCGATTCCATTCATCTACCAGTGGTTGGCGTTTGAGATTGTTGGCGTATACTTTTTGATAATTTATGAATGATTCGCGATGTCTGTCCATTTTTATTTAGTCTGAGATAAAATCACACCTTTTCTTCCTGAGCCGACTCTGAGGCAGAGAGGCATGATGAGATTCATGATGATGCTCTCGCTTTTGTCCTGAGAGGTGAAAATCGAGCTACCACCGCACACTTGCTCGAGAGTACAAGTGTCTTGATTGAAGAAGAGAAGAAAGTCTGGCACGTTGAAAGGACCCTGCAAACGAAAAAAAAACTGTCCTTATCAAAAATACGTTTGCGACCATGGTACCTACCTGGGTGTTTTGAATTTGCAGTCCTATGAGACGAACCACCATCGAACAGAAATGTGCCGGTGGTGCTTGACTCATTAGGGCTGCCGTAGATCCTGGCACGCCTTCGGTTGAACAGCAATCGCTCACAATCAGCCCCTTGCAAAATTTTATTTAGGTATGAGAACTCAATGTCTTTTCGAAACACTGAACGACAACGAGCGAAAAACAACAATTGTCCTGGCTGGTACCACGAAATCCTCAAGCAAACTCAACTATTTATTTATTGAAATTGTGGCTCACAGTCAAAAATGAGTTTATGTACGAGGAAGTGGAAGTGGAATAATAATAACTACCCAATTACAACGAATCTTGTGGTGTGCCCCATGGATCAATTCTTGGACCTATTTTATTTTTGATTTATATAAATTCTATCTCAAGTTCAAAATTACAAATTAATCTAAAATTATTTGCCGATGACAACTCTCATTTATTACGGAAAAAATATTCAAGAAATAAAGAATAAAATGGAACAAGATCTCGCTTTAATTACATTATGGTTACAATACCATAAATTGACACTCAATTTCGATGAATCTTCTTCCATGTTCTCATCTCAAGAAGAGTTTTACCAGATAACCAAATCAAACTTTGAAATGCGGGAATTTTTGCATAAATCCTACAAAAATTTCCAAACTCTTAGGTTCAACTATAGACCAGTCTCTATCTTGGACATCGCATATTCAGATGCTCAGGAAAAAAATATCCCCCATTGTTGGTATATTATACAAATCGAGGTCTTTCATAAATACTTCAATTTGATCTATTTCAGTTTGATTTACTCTAAATTGCAGTGTCTGATATCGATCTGTGGTAATACAGCAAAGTCTGTTTTGAAACCTATGAAATCTTCTGAAAATTCAAGAGTGAACAAAAGAAATATAATTCATCAATTTAACTCTGCTTGTATCAATTAATTCTGATTGAACTGCTTATCTTTCATCCTATTGCATATTTCATTCATTAAATTTTTGGATCCCTCTACCAACAAGTATGTTAAGGTATAAAAAACATGAATCAATGATCTATCTCGTTCAGAAATGATTATTTATTTGAGTTTATATTTGAATTCAATTATATGTATAAAATTTTTCATATTATTGGGTAATTTATTATATTCAAATAGGTGTGAATCATTTTTATCCTATGGAAGATCAAGATGAAATAAATTATGTTGTCTAGTTTGGTGTTCATGAATTTCATAGTTTCTTGTTGAAATAAAATTGGACTACAATCTTTCATTTATGTATAAACTCTTCATACTCTCAATTTTGAACATTTATTCTGATAACAATGATCCTGTTATTTTATATAATTGAATTGTTGGTGATATGATACATATGGTGAACGATGCTGTACTTTTGATGAATTTCTATATAGGAAATGCAAATATTTTATATTTTTCGAACAATTCAGTTTAAGAGAATAACAGATTTCATTCGCAACTCTTTATCGAGTTTGGTTCATTGTCTAAGGGCTCCAATAATAGGAGATACTCTTTTTCATCGATGCTCTTATATATTCGTCCCACTTCAATTCTTCATCAAACCAAATCCGAAAATAATTTTCCTCATTATAGATTGTTTTGAAGATTCATGATTAATTTTAAGATCGTTAATTATATTTATTTCCAGAATGCTTGTGCTCGAATTGTGGTACACCTAACCACCTGCAAACAAATTTCGTTCTATTGGCATTCATCAGTTCAATGCAGTGACCTGACAGAGACCTAAAGCCCTTCGTCTGCGTAAAAAATGAATGTTTTTCGCTCGTTGTTTACCATTTTTGTTCAATTCATCGAACATTCCGTGGAAATTACAATTTGAGATTTGAGAATAACTCACTTGACATGTACCGATCAACGCTTTGATGTGGGACCAATGAACAATGTAGGGATACTTGACCATGGTATCGTAGATGCCCTTGAGTAAACCAGCAGCAGCATCCCAATCAGTGTTTCTCTAACACACGAAAATAAAAGGTGAATAAACTGCTCAACAATTGAAACGCAACGATGTACTGTACCTATAAACTTTCGAAGGAAACAACCGATTCTAGCTCCTATAGATACATCAATACTGCACAGTTCAGTGGAAAAATCGCATTACGCAACCAAGTGGTATTTTTTCAAGAATAACGAATCCACTTCGAGAAAACTGTCCAAGCAATACCATTTTGGGGTTGAGAACAATATTTTTTTTCGAAGCCGTTTGATACATTTACATTGATCACCCTGTGATAACTCAGTTACAAAAATTTTCGGAAATCGAATATGATAGCTTCGTGAAGATGTCCTGAACTTGATAAAAAAAATCAAAAACATAGTACTTCATTCTCATATACTCAGTCGTATTACCTATATGATGAACGTTTGGGGATCTTGTTCAAAAAATTATTTCATTAAAATATCTGCACCTTATAGGAAATCTCTGAAAGTATTGTATTGCCTCTCATCTGATATCCCAACAAATGATCTATATGCGATAACAAAAATAAAAATTCAATGGATGAATCGTATAAAATATAAAATCATAAACAAAAATCTGAAATCCAATTTTTTTTATAAGAAACTCAGAAATTCATGGTCATCACACGAGACAATTAAACTTATTTCATCCTGATTCTGCTACTTCTATAATTATTGTCATTTACTCACGCTGCTCTAGCTGAATTCAATAAATTGCCACATGATATGAAAAATTGCAGACTTATTTCAAAAAAAATTTCAAATCGCATTAAAAAAATGATTTTATTACGAAATGGATGAAATTGATACTTTGCCATCTACTGATTAGTCCCTGTTGCTATTTTTATGATTTGATCGATTTAGTATTTTCAGATTTTTTTGAATTTTTTTTTTGTCACCTTATGTTATTTTATTGTTGTTTCTCGTAATCCACTTCCTCATACCAGAATTTTATATCTGACTGTAAGCTATTTCCTCAATAAACAATAAACAATAAATAATATACCTCGATACCCAATGAAATAATCTTCCAGGAACTGAAAACAGAATTAAAATGGGGTGTGTCCTTTGAAAGTTATACAGTGTTGAAAATGAATGAAATAACGCATTGTTACGTTTCAATTGTTTATCGGTTCAGAACGAATGTTTTTTTTTAAAGGATTCACATCTTACCCTTATTGATGGTTTCTTCGCTATCTTCTGGAAAACTTTGTCCAGCCTTCTCAAAATGGTGACCAGAGCCGGTCTCATGGCGTCGTTAGCCCAATCGGTCGATGGCAAAATGTAGCTCATGTAATGTTGCAAGCCACGACAGCCCATTGATTCCGGATCATACGGGGATACTTTCAGTAGGGTATGAGCTATGTCAGCCAGTCTCTGGAAACGTGAGGATATATCGAATTCGTGTAAAGGCAGACAAGATATTCCCCTTACTGTTAAGTATACAGTGTTATTCATAAAGTTGGCGTCATGAATGAAATTACAAAACATATCAAAGAAGTGCATTTTTCATCTAGATTTTCTGAACCAACAGTAAATTTATACAAACCTAGAAATTTTCTAAATCTGATTTCGTTATATAAACGTAATATAATATATTACATATTATGTTGTTTTACTCATTTTGTCAGGATTCTATTTAAAATATCAAACTTTGCTTCTGATGAAGACAATACAGTCCGTACTTATGAGACTAGACAATTGAATTACTCGATAGCAAATACATTCAAGTCGAACATTAGCGAACAATCTATATTTCATAATGGAATAATTTTAATTAATTCATCACCGAATGAATCGAAAAATATACATGATGTAAGCAGATTTGAAGTCGATCTTAAACAATGTCTGGTCAGGACAATTTGATTGAAAAATATTTGGTATGATTTGATCAGTCAGAATTGAAATGTTATAACTTTCATCTTGAGAAAAAGTATGAATTTGTTTTCACTGAGTGGAATTTATTAGTTAACCTTCCAATATTATCATCAGTATTCTTATATGTGTTCATGTATCCCTATTATGAACAGATATGTTTTTTGGGGTAATAAAAATAATCAATCAACCAATATGGGTGAAAATTAAAAATTTATTTTGAAATTCCACTTGGTCGTTAAGTTTCTGCTTCAAAGGAATTTACTAAAAGAAGTATTGTTTTAATTCCAATTTCACGAAAGAATGTGTCTTTAATTTGAACGTTCAACTGCAACTTTGAGTTCTTGATATTTTTTTACCTCTTCCAATTTTAACTTGGACCGAATTGTCCCAATCTCTGGTAAGGTAAAGGTATTGCGATGATACTTCAATTGATGACTTTGGCATAATGTTAGTGTTGAGGAAATCATTTCGAATAGATTTTGCTCCTCACCGATAGATGATACATCAACTTTGAATCAAACATAACAGAAATTTTACACAAGGATTATTATTTGATTACTCCCATAGTTTCGACAAAGTTTAAATTTCAGTAAATTGAAGCATTTGACAACATTGAAACGATTAACAAGTATTTCATGGTCATTTTTAAAAATTTCCATCTTTCCACGTATAAAAAGATCTATATACGACGAGGAGAATCGAACTGTGCTGTCAGATATTTTTTGTATTTTTTTACTGAGTAAGCGAGAACGGTCTAGCCCCAGACTGAGTAACTCTGTACTGAGCAGAGCTTGCTGGCATCTATCTCGTTCATCGTATCAATCTTTACGTGAAAATGATGAACATTTCAACTGATGCTTTGAATAACTGAAATAAAATTTTGTGGAAACCATGAGAGTAATCGAATGTTATCAACAGTACATTTTTTGTACTAAACTAGTTACGGAATCGAAATCTCATACTCCAACCTTCCCCTTTCCATTGTTGTCAGATGTTTATTTACTGGAAAAATAAAGTTCTACTTCCATGGAATTGGAACGTACCAAATTTGAGTAAAATCTCATGAGCCGTTTCGAAGTTATGCAGCAAAAACGAAAATTGTATCTTCAGAGCCGTCTAGCTCCCAAACTATAAGCAAATTTTTGCCGAGGTAAGTTTGCTCTAATCTAATTGTTTTGTTCTGAGGAATATGTGGCAAATTTTATGACCTTTCAGGAACACTCTGTATATCTGCAATAGTTTCATCCTTCAAAAATAATGGATGATGCCTGTAAAGTCATCATCAACGTTGTCATATACCGTGAGATCCATAACATAATATTCCATTCAAAAGACAACTATATGATCAAACACTCACCACATGCGATTTGATATCAAGCAGCTCCACCACCTTCCCCTCCGAACCGTTCTTCTTCCCCAGCTCCCCCAACCTCACAGCCGCCCTACATACAAACTCCCCCACCAGCGACAGCAGCACGTCCCTAGGCCTCCGGTATTCCGCCCTTAGAGCCTCCGAGTCCTCCACGTCGTGCTCGTACATGCTTTTCGCTCGCGAGTGCTCGCTCATAAACTTCGAGTGCGAGTCGTCCTCGAAATCGAAACCGGGCGAATAGGGGCCGCGACTGTAGTTGCGCTGGCTGGAGCCTTTGTGCTCGGGGCTAGAGCGGTAGGGGCCGTTATAGCTCCTGGAAGAAATCTACTGTACTCGCATGCAACTGAATGAGGTTTTTCAGTTGGGCGAATAGGGGTTGCCAATAGGGGTCTGGCGAATAGGGGTGTGGTGAATAGGGGTCTGGCGAATAGGGACTTCAACTTCAGTTGCACTGAATGGAGACCTTGTGCTCGGGACTGGAGAGGTAGAGACCGTTGTAGTTCCTAGAGAAGGGTAGCGAACTATTTTTAATGTAACGGATGACCCGTTATAGAGAACCAGCGGCAGCAGTACGATCCTAGGCCTCCGGTGTTTTGCCCTTAGGGCCTCCGAGTCCTCCACGTCGTGCTCGTACATGCTTCTCACTCGCGAGTGCTCGCTCATAAACTTCGAGTGCGAGTCGTCCTCGAAATCGAAGCCGGGCGAATAGGGGCCGCGACTGTAGTTGCGCTGGCTGGAGCCCTTGTGCTCGGGGCTGGAGCGGTAGGGGCCGTTATAGCTCCTGGAAACAATTTACAGTACTCGCATGCACCTGAAGGAGGTTTTCTCTGTTGGGCGAATAGGGGATTGGCGAATAGGGGCCCGGCGAATAGGGGCCCGGCGAATAGGGGTCTGGCGAATAGGGACTTCAACTTTAGTTGCACTGAATGCAGACCTTGTGCTCGGGACTGGAGAGGTAGAGACCGTTGTAGTTCCTAGAGAAGGGTAGCGAACTATTTTTAATGTAACGGATGACCCGTTATAGAGAACCAGCGACAACAGCACGTCCCTAGGCCTCCGGTATTTTGCCCTTAGGGCCTCCGAGTCCTCCACGTCGTGCTCGTACATGCTTTTCGATTGCGAGTGCTCGCTCATAAACTTCGAGTGCGAGTCGTCCTCGAAATAGAAGCCGGGCGAATAGGGGCCACGACTGTTGCGCTGGCTGGAGTATTGTGCTCGAAGATGGAGCGGTAGAGGCCGTTATAGTTCTTCGAAGGAATTCACTGTACTCGCATGCAACTGAAGAAGGTTTTACAGTTGGGCGAATAGGGGTCGCGAATAGGGGCCTGACGAATAGGAGCCTGGTGAAAATGGATTTGCTTAATAGAGACTCCAATTTTATTTGCACTGAATGGAGACCTTATGCTCGGGACTGAAGAGGTAGAGACTTTTGTAGTAGGAGTAGGGGATCGACAAATAGGAACCGAGCGAATAGGGGTCAGATGAATGGAGATCAGGCCAATAGGTGATTCAACTGTAGCTGCGCTGAATTGAGCCCTTGCGGGGGCCATTAGAGTTCCTGGAAACGGTACTCGATGCAACTGATGAAAGGTTTTTCTGAATTCAGAGATTTTCCAGTTGGGCGAATGAGGGATGGATATGGAGTCGGTGCATAGGGGCCTACAAATAGGGGCCTGATGGCGAATGCAGGGTCGTGTTAATAGAGGTCGCGTGAATGTAAGTTGTAAGAATAGGGGTTAGGAGCAGTAGGGGACATCGTAGCTTCTGTACTTGAATGCGAATGAAGGAATATATTGATTTTTTCTATTTATTCAAAGATTCTTGGTTGGGCGAATAGGAGTTGGCGAATTTGGACCAGACCCATAGGGGTTGAACATGGGACGGCGAATAGGAGACGAATAGGAGGGTCGGTGAAATTATAGTTGAGCTGAATGAAGATATTGTGCTCGGGGCTGAAGAGGTATAGACCGTTGTAGATCCTAGTAAAGGGCAGAGGAATATGTTTCCTGTACAATTAACAACTCCTCATTTTTGACTCAGAATCTCTTCCTCGAGTCAGGATTCTTTACGAATTCAGACTTCTCTCTGAATGTTGAAATCAAACATTTTTACAGCAGTGAGACAAAATTGAACGAATGTCTTACTTAGTCAGAGCCTCGGAATTGTTCACCAAGGTTTTGACAGCCACTGCCAGCTGATTTATAATCTCCTTCTCCTTCTTGCCTTCCTTGTTATAAGTGGGCAGCTGTATCTGTTTCACGTAACACGGAAGAATCGCCTCCAGAATAATCTACAACAAAAAAACAATCTTCAATTCTCGACTCATCGACTGTCAATCTCATCTCTCACCAGCATCTGGTAACCTCTAATACTCTCCGACGAATAGGAAACGACCATCACGCACATGGAGATGCAATCCAAAATGGTCACCATCTCGTTCTCATCGTGGTAGCAGAAATCGATAGCCTTCAAAGGCTTGTCTTCCTTAACCAACTCGGCAATGTTCAGGGGATCAGGCGAGGGCGTTTCCAGGCTCAGCAACAGATTGAACAGGCAGCTCGACTGGATCTTGTGCGCATCGCCATAAGTGCCTTCTTCGTCCGTATCCAACATGGCGGACACCGAGCCGAACATCTGTAGGATGAACGGTTTTCTGTTCATCATGTAGAACTGCTTCACGGCGTACTCGATGGTGGTGGTGATCAGTTTGTTGGCTTGGTGGTTGGAGTAGATCTTCAGCAGGGTGGGCATGATCAACAGGTACCTGTCATGGATGGTTGTTTTTTATCAAGTGAATTATATCACAGACTACAGCCGGTTGAAATAGAAGTTTTAATGTATGCAGACGATATTGTACGTATTGATAGCTGATACTGGAGAAAAAATGCAAGGACTAATTAATATATGGACAGAACAAATAGAACAATTGAAAATGGAAATCAACACGGAAAAGACTAATAAAGATTATACCAACACAAGTATATTATGCAAAGAAACAGAATTGGAAGTAGTAACAACATATGAATAGCTAGAAAGTATTATCACAGATGATGGAAAATAGAAGTGGTATTAGCCAATAGAGCAAGAAAATCAAACAAGATATATTATTCATTGAATAAGTTATAAGGAAAAAGATAATTAACGCAAGAAACTATACCAACCATACTATACGGTAGTGAAAATTGGACTATACAAAAGAAATACGAGAGTAAAATAAATGCAATGGAGATGAGATACCGATAAGAGATATAGATGGATAAACGAAGCTAGACAGAAGAAGAAGAAGGAAAGACCACGGAAAACAGAGGCAGGAAAAGAGAGAAGTCGTTGAGAGAGATGAAGATACTGACAGAAAATAGGAAACCATGGAAACAATGGGTAAACGACACAACAGAAAATTAGCCCAATTCCGACGACCAAGAGGGTAGATAGATAGATAGATAGATAGATAGATAGATAGATAGATAGATAGATAGATAGATAGATAGATAGATAGATAGATAGATAGATAGATAGATAGATAGATAGATAGATAGATAGATAGATAGATAGATAGATAGATAGATAGATAGATAGATAGATAGATAGATAGATAGATAGATAGATAGATAGATAGATAGAGTTTATTTAACTATGTTACATACAAGTATGTTTATAGCAGGTCAGCAGGGCAAGGGAAAAGTAGCACAGTAAAGTATCAATACTAACATATTAAAATACAATATAGTGGTAATTTTTAAAATGTGATAAAAATAATTAGTATCTGTAATATATATCAAAGAATTACATGACAAGCGTATAAGATGTGATAAAAAATGTCAAGTATCAATAAAATAATTTGAGAAAATCACATAAATAAATAGATAAATATAATAAGATCAATTAAAAAGTTATAAAAACAATGTCAAACATAAAAGCTATGTTGCCCTATGTAAGTCTAAGCTCTAAGAGATTTCGATTTTTGGAGGTATAGATAACTAGATAACTTACTAAGCACCTGATCTACATGACTGGACCAGTTTACTCTATCATCAACTTTTAAACCCAGTAGTGTAATATTATGCCCTTTTTGATACAGAGGATTTGAGGAGACGATCAAGTTTTGAGTTTTGTTCTCGTTCAGTTTGAGTTTATTTCGCGTAAACCAATTTTTTGCAATGTTCTTTTCGAGTTCAGCAGCTACTGGTAGTGCGTCATGCAGCTTACCCGAGCTTATGAGGGTGGTGTCATCAGCAAATAAAACGCATTTTATAGGTTCGATATACTGACATAAGTCGTTTATGTATACTAGGAACAGAAACGGCCCAAGGACGGATCCTTGAGGTACGCCATGTTCGATATGTTTGAGATCTGATTTCTTGTTGTTTAAATCAACATACTGATACCTATTGTTCAGATGAGTTCTAAAATGGTACCTCTCAATCCGTAATGAGTCAATTTGTCTGTATGTGATACACAGTCAGAAGCAAGAGGAAGGGGAGAAAGAAAGAAAGTAAATTATTCACAGAGTGATATGTAATGAACGCATAAGGCCTCAACCTTTATCATCACGAGTATTGATGCACTCAGGAAGTAGAAGTCATTTTAAATCAGGACAGTGAACATTCAGGTACATAAACTCGAAATATCGAGCAATATTATGAATAATATTTTACTAAGAACGCATATAACTACTATCTGAGATCACTTCAACTGAACGAAGATTTAAAGGATTCCGTCCAAATTCAAGACCAAATTTTACTATAAAGGCGGAAGAAAAAGGAAAAAATAGACAATCATTAAGTTAGGGAGTTCTCGATGGTAGTATAGTTTATGCAAAGTCAGTTGAACAGATCATCAAATGAATATCGGGTCGCGCTGCCGCACTCTTTAAACTTCCAAAGGGACCGACGGCTTGCGGTGATGTCTTTTTCCAACTCAACTGACTTTGTATAAACTATAGTGATCATAGTTTGTTGCCTTGGTGTTTGGAGTAGATCTTCAGCAAGGTGGGCATGATCAGCAGGTACCTGCCATGATGTTTTTTCCAGAATATGTAAATCTTTCACGGAACGATTGTAATTACCGCAGGAAATCAACTAAAATTATTATTACGAAAATTAATGCACCTAGGAAATAAAAGGTCGTTTCAAACACGGGGCATAGATAGAATTTGATACTGAGCAATATTATTACGTGAATGAACTCAGGTTAGGAACCTGAATATTTATCTATGCATGCATTCAAGAATATGAGAATTCAACTTCGACAAAAAAGGTTACACATGAGGCGATTTCGAAATTCAATAAATTACCAGATGATATCGAAAACAGCCCAAATATTACACAATTCAAAAATGAAGTGAAGAATAGTTATTTATTATACAAGGGAAAAAAGTAGTAGATTTTAGCTCTAGGTTGTGTTGTCTACCGAACGCGTAGCGGAGGGAGACAAAAAACCGTGAGCTAAAATCTATAATTTTTCCCGTGTATAATACACTTTTTTTTATGACAGAAGAACGGACGAATCAATATTGGGAAGATATTAAATTATTTTGAAATCTGAAAATTATCGACGTGAAATTTTAAGTTTTTAACAGTAGGGACACCTGCTTTGTAGGCATCTTTATCTTCTTTCTTCCTTTTGAAATGATCAAATATCTGATGTCACTTCTGTCAGTCATATTCTGTGATTTGATTTCAAAAAATTGCGAATTTAGTGTTTTTTTAGTAATATACGTAACCGCAAATTCGAATGGAAGATAAAAGGACTTGCAGTTCTTTCTCGGAGACGGTATTATTGACTCATTTTTCGGAACTATAGCACAACAAAGGCCATCAACAGTGTATATATATGTGATATATATCCGGGATAAAAGTACTCACTTCTTTCCCACGGGAAAAAAGTAATTTATGAAAAGTGGCATTTTATAACCTGCCAACAGAGATGAAATGCCAAACTTTTTTCCCGTCACAGAAAAAATATATTTTTCTACAAACGTCAAAAAATGACAAGGTTCGCGCATTGATAACAAATTGCGAAGTGACACTTTTTTTCAGTTTCCTACGTTATCATGATACCTTGCACAAAACAATGCGCGAAGTAAAACAGTGCGCGAAGTACCTACTTCGCGCATTGTTATGTAAAATATATGAGATATTTATATTTCAACTTTATGGTCCTCAATCGAGCAAACATCCACGAAATCATTTATTCTGAATGTTCAACAATAACTTTGTTTTATCTATTGGAGCGCACGAAAGAAAATTCCTATTATGTTCATGGAACATCGTGCGTACCTATAGGGAGGATAGGGGGAAGGCTTTTAAGCCAGTTCAACACTATTGTTTTTATCAAGATGAGCATATTTTCACTTTAGAACTATATTTTTTGACGTTTGTAGAAAAAAATGTTGTTTGCAACTCGAGCGCGAAATTTATTTATTTATTTATTTATTTATTGAAAATGTTACTTCCAGTCAGAATCAAGTTCTGGTATAAGGAAGTATAGTTAACAATAATACCTAAAACTATACAATTATAATAAACTGATGAACAATAAAATATTTGAAAACATTAATTATTAAATTTTGACAAATCATTTCATATTGCTGAGCAAAAATCAATTTCAATATGAATCAAAAGTAAGTCATCTATTTCGTTCAGAAATGATAAATTTTTTAAGATGGTATTTGAATTTTATTGTATTTCTGCAATTTTTTATATTATCTGGTAATTTGTTATATTCCAAGAGAGCAGCGTGGGTGAATCTTTTTTGGCCTATAGAAGTATTAGCGATATCAAGATGAAATAAACCATGTTGTCTAGTTTGATAATTATGAATTTCATTGTTTCGTGTTAAAATAAAATTAGATTTCAATCTTTTATTTATGATATTGTATGTAATTTTCAGTCTTTCGATTTTGAACATTTCTTCTAATGAGAATGATTCAGTTATTTTATATAATTGATTTGTTGGTGTATCATATGGTAAACGATACAGTACTTTCAATGTCTTTTTATATAATGCAGATATTTTATTAAAATTGTTTTTTGAACAGTATCCCCAAACATTTATCAAATAGTTAATACGACTGAGTATATGAGAATATAGAATTATATTTGCAACTTTTTTATTCAGCTTGGGACATCTTCTCAGGGCTCCAATAATAGGAGATATTTTTTTCTTCAAAACATTTATATGTTTGTCCCACTTCAATTTATCATCAAACCAAATCCCAAGATACTTTTTCTCATTAGTTTGTTTCAAAGATTCATTTTTAATTCTGAGATTTAAATTTATATTTTGTTTATTTTTTTGTTGAAAAATCATATATTCAGTTTTATCAGTATTTATTGATAAGAGGTTTGAATGCAGCCAATTTTCAAATTTATAAAAGTTAGATCTCGATCACCAAAGTAGCATTTCGCGCTCTAGATACAAAAATAACTATTATAAGCAAAGAAATGATCGAAGCTGGAAGACTATGAGTTTCCTTTTTTTTTTCAATGTTTTTTTCCTTCTTGTTCACTATAATATGACTGTTATTTTGAGATATCTAAATGATATGTAAGTTTTGTTCACTATTTGTAATTTCAATTATACAGTAGTCGATAATACTTCATGAATGATCTTATACCAGGAATAACTGTCTGATCATTCATGTCATTCCTACTAGAAAATTAATTATACTTTATATATTATTTTTATGAAATGTATCAATGAAGAAGATAATGTAATGCAGTAACTGAAAAATAAATGAAAAAAATAAAAAAAAAGTTTTTTACGGGATTCATGCATACCCATTGGTAGAGAAGATGTTCTTGAAGTGGAAAGCCGCGTTGATGTAGGTGGCCATGACGTATCTGAGGATGCAAGCGTCCTCGGAATGCAACACCAAGGCCCCGTTTAGCACGTTGACGAAGAGGTGGATGTCCCCGGAATAAGCGAAATTGCCGGCCATGGCCTCGAACATCCGGGCGATCAGTCGCACCTGAGATACCCGAAATTTCAAATGAAGATACAGTATTTACAAAAAAAATATTTTCACTTGCTATTTCCGATACAAAAATCACAGATATAGATAATATCATTCCAAAATTGAATATATGCTTCTCCTCCATCAAATTCACTTTTGAATGCTAAAATAACGGTCAATTACCATTTTTAGATTCTCTGGTGATCAAAAATGTCAATAACAACGATTTATTTAGGAAAGAAACTAACACACTCAGATACATAACTATTGACTCCAATCACTGTTTTCATTACAAAAAGACGGGTTCGAATTTTGTAGTACATAGACTAGTTTCATTTCCTAAGAGAAAAGAAATAGTCGATGTTGAAAGAAGTGTTGTTTATAAAGTGGCTGGCGTCAATGGTTATGATATCAAAATAGTAAATGAATGAATACGTAGACATAAATTCAAGTTAATACTTTGGAATAGGCGAGTGGACAATTTTTTTTTCATTTCTTAAATAGAATCATCACTCGAATGAATACCTTTCAATTTCATATTTTTCAGGAATTTTTCGGTCAATTTTTAGGTGCTTATATCATCAATAATGCCACAGTAATTTTCAAACGGCTACAAATTTTTCGCCAGTTGCCATATGTTGAAACACAATTGGGAACTTCAGAAATATTAGTTATTCAATAATTCATAAATTCTCAATTGAGTATTGGTAATATTTCTAATTAGCAACAAGAATTCAATTGTCTCAAAATCTTCCCTTATGCTCCGTGACTTATTGCTTGAAATGGACTCATGTGAATAATAATTATATTAATTTACACTAAAGTACATTCGAATCAGTGAACGTGGCAACCCGGCGCACGACTTGTGGGCGTGGTCTTGCCAATTCTCAGCATTCAGCATAATGTTGCCAGGTCTCCAACATTCACAAGATATTTTGTTATGGAGAATAAGAAATATTTGGACATGCTGATTGCTCGAAGAAATCAAGAATGAACTATAATATCATGAAATGGAAGATCATCTGACCAATAACGAAACAGCATAAATACAGACGTCAGCATTCATTCGACGTATCGCTCTGAAATTCAACAATTTCGAACAACGCATCATTTACATAAAAAAGCGCGAGAAGTGTTGCAAAAATTAATCTAGGCACACTAGAATAGAATACTCAGTTTTAATCTTCTCCTGAAGATGCTAACATAGCGGTTTGAGTAGTGGTAAAACAGGGTAGTGTTCACAAGTTGGGTTTTCGAAAAACTATTTTAAAAATCATCCCTCGAATTTGAACGTGTAAGTCTTCGCCTGCTCTAGCAGGCCAAAATATAATATAATTTCAATTGCGAAACAAAATACGACAACATTATTATTGGAAAATTTCAAACAGAATCTAATTTCTACTAAGTGACAAAAATATAAAGTTTCTAACCCTAAATCAACACTCACCCACATGAACTTATGCAAAACATCGAGGCCCAACAACTCCTTCCCCAAGGGACCACTCTTGTAGAGATCCAAGTCCGATTCTAATGCCTTTCTGGGGAAAGAGGGCAGCTTCATCAGCTCCTCGTGCAGAAAAACCACCCTTTGGACAACCTAGACCAGGAAAGTTAGCATTTCTCTACAGGATTCGGTGAAGAAGGTTCAATTTTGATGAAGTAGAGCGCGTTCTATTCATACTGCATCTACATCGAAAGTCTACGAAGTCTCATGCGCCGCTAATTTGTCTATTTATCAATACATCAATAGTTAGGTAATTTGGCAGTTAACGAGGAGTCAAATTTTAATGCGGTGAAGCCAATTCTTGTTCTCATCAGTTGAACTTCCACTTTACATGACTTCTGGTGATCTTCATTCGTTTATTGATTCTTATTAGATTATTACAAGCAAATTAGGTGTTTCATCTGTGATCTGACAAAGAAAGACATATTTTCACTCGCTAATCGACGTTCTTCTCGTAGTCGGAGGTGGATATTTGCTGTATGGTAAGTTAGTATGTATGTACATACATACCAACGAAGTACATATACTTATACTTACTTACCTTATTTAAATGCAATGAATAAACAAAGTAATAGTAGTATATGTACTTGGATGGTATATGTATGGTTTCAATCAATTCTAGATGCTAATTATTTTTGATAATCAATTCGAAATCGATGGAATAATGAAGATCGTCTGAAGTCATGTGGAGTCGAAGTACAACTGATAATGTAGAAGGAAGGACTTTGAATCGCATTGTAATTGGCTTCTCCTACTTCTAACAGACGAAACACCTAATTTGTTCGATTGTTTATTTATAAATAACTAATTCAGCGGCGCATGAGGCGATGTTGACTTTGATGTAGATGTTACGAAGAAAAATCTCTATGTTTCATCGAAATGGAATCTTCTTTATCGAGGTTTGATCCAATTTTTGTCTCAACTAACCATATCGACGTTCTTCAGGATGGCCCAGGTCAACAAGACCTTGCCGATCTCCACGAACTTGTGGACGAGCTCTTGCTTTTGCAACGCGTTGAAGGCCACCTCGGGCTTCATGTGGACCAGTTCCAGTTGCGGGTACTGCGATCGCTTGAAGAAGTAGTAGTCCCGGACGTAGGAGGCTGAGTTTCTGATCTGATCTGCCGAAATCCCGAAATCGTCAACATACAGTTTTCTCAGCTCAAAGTGATTTTTATCTGCCTCTTCTACATTTACTCGTGGAGGAGTCGACGAAGAGAACGACATACTGTCACGGAGTTAGCATGCATCCCTGGGATGTTTTGGGATGTTTTGAAAAGGTTGGCATGAAGATGTTATTTTGAGACGTAATATGCACTGACCAAAGAGGTCTTTGAAGGATATTGAAGTATTGTTTTTGTTCTTCTGTGGCATTTCTTTGTTTGCCTACTGAGAGGTATCCCTGGGATGTTTTGAGATGTTCTAGAAATGTAGGCATGAGGATGTTTTTTTGAGGCGTAATATGCACTTCCCAAAGAGGTCTTAGAAGGATATTGAAAGTATTGTTTTTGTTCTTTTGTGCCCTTTCTTTGTTTGCCCCACCACAACGTCTCATGCTTACGTCACAAAACGATGAATTCTGATTCGTTTTCGATTTTGTTCTTCTTGTTCGCAATCGGCATTCGCGTTTGCAGCGTGTCACGCTTACATCACGCTACTAACGAACAGAATGGAATTTGGTAAAGTTTATTGTGTTAGAATAGAAGACTTATTTAGTTTGTAATAATGACCATCAGATGCAAGATGTGTTGTTCGGTGCCTCAGTGTAATCAATATATAAAAGTACGAATTTATCAATACACAGCTTCTCCACAGTTGCAAAATTATGCATTGTGGAGAACATTTCAAAAATTGGGAAACCTATTTCCAATTATATGTCTGTGTGTAGTAAACACTACTCAGAAACCGATTAAGAAGGTAATTTCATATCATATCATATTTAATGCATTTTTTCATTCAAGGGAAATGGAATCCTAATGCAAAAGTTCATTTTGACAAAAGGCTTCAGAAAAGTACCTCAAAAATGGTTTTTTTACAGCGATTTAATGTGCGCAAGACGCGTTGAAAATGTTTTGTTGTGTCCATGAAAAGGCTTCAAAAAGAACTCGGGAGAATGTAGTTTTGTGACATATCAAGGACATCTCGATAATTGCCGCCTGCGGCGGACATTGGCTGTTCTATAATAGTTATATTCATGTGCGAACAGAACATCGCAGTGGAGGTTCAATGTCTCGAAATCTCGTACTTTTAACATCTCTGAGATGTTTTTGTGCTCGCTGGGTTACGTCACAAGGTAGGGTGATTCTTCCTACCTTTGTACTACGGGGCTGACTTCTCCGTGATGAGCTACACCTCCAGCTACGTTCCCTTGTGGGACATGCCGAGCTGTGAGATTCAGATTATTGGGGGTCGTAATGGAAATGCGAGAGGTGATGTGACCATAGAGGAGTCACAGCAATTAAATAACGAGAGTGTGAACAAAGTTGATACAATAAGAAGACACAAGAATGATTGAAATGATTGAAGAAGGAGTGATCAAAGGCTCACCCAACCAGTCAATCCAAGATCTGCCTCAAGATAAGATGAAGATAAAGTAGAGAGGTTTGTGGAGCAATTCACCACGAGGCTGAGCTGCAGAAAATAATGGAACAGTGGATCCATGGGTATTGAGCTCAAAGAAGGAGCCAAAGAGTACCCAGATGGCTCCGAAACCGGAGAAGGGACTGCAATAGGAGAGTTTACGTGCCCCGTACCAAGTACTTCAGATCTGCACAGTTGAATCTAGAAGCAAGCTAGTCAAGCAGCCATTAAAGCGCTGAACTCTATGGTTATATCATCTCTAAAATGGTTTGGGAATGCCGACAAAAACTGAATGAGCTATCCCACAGAATTACAGTCACTCTTCTATGGGTCTCAGGACATTCCGGAGTAAAAGAAACTGAAGAAGCGGACAAATTCGCTAGAGGAATAGATCACATATCCTTCATGGGGCCAAAACGCTTCTGTGGGATCAGGAGCAGTACTATACCGGGTGGCTACGGAAGTATTGCCTACGGAATATCTCAGTTATTGTATGAAGTAGGTTTGTGAAATTTGGAGCGTCGATATAATGACATAAGAGCTGGAATTTGAGCATATTGACATGTCGAAGTTAACTTCCGGTCTGACCGGAAGTAACATCAACTTTCTTATTTTAAATGGAAACCCTATTTTTTTTTCTTTTCGCTTTATTCAGCATTCAATTCCCTTTTTAATGACATATCACATGTTGGTATCTAACCAGAAACTAGATCAGAAAAAAAATATTGAAATTCACCCAGTAGGCCGTGGAAGCAAAATGAAAGCCAAAAAATTACTTTCTATTATATCATTAGGAAGGGATGGTTATGCTGAATAGTACAGGCAAGAAAAAGTTGTATGTTCCTATTTAAGTTATGGACCTACAGAGTATTGTTTTTTTCCCAATTTTTCCAATTTTTTTTTTGGCGGCTTTTTATAACGCCGACGAATGAAAATAAAATATCACAGTAGTAGCAACTGTTATCAAGTGACGTATGGTTTCCATAGCCAACTTTTCAATTTTTGGCTTTCATTTTGCTTCCACAGCCTACTCGGTGAATTTCGATAATAATTTTTTTCTGATCTAGTTTCTGGTTAGATGCCAACTTGTGATATGTCATCAGAAAGGGAATTGAATGCTGAATAAAGTGAAAAGAAAAAAAAATAGGGTTTCCATTTAAAATAAGAAAGTTAATGTTACTTCCGGTCAGACCGGAAGTTGACTTTGACATGTCAATATGCTCAAATTCTAGCTCTTATGTCATTATATCGACGCTCCAAATTTCACAAACCAACTTCATACAATAACTGAGATATTCCGTAGGCAATACTTCCGTAGCCACCCGGTATATCAGAAGATAAGAAGAAGCTAAACAGAGATGAGATACCTGGGAAAATCTTCAAGGTCTCAGACTGGATAAGATACTACTGGGTACATATGACCCTAAAACATCGAACGCATAGTATGTCACCCTAAGGAAAACAAAATTCGTATACAAACGAAAGTCCAAACAGAGCATTGCCGGTCGAAAGAACTTAGGATGCTCGGCTCAGAAGAGGAAGACGAATGCAGGTTCTTTGAGGAAGAGGAGGAAATCCCTATCCTCATACTTACGGAATGTGTCATACAACAGAACCCATGAGCAAAAAATGTAGAAGCACACATATAAGAGGAGGAGGAGGAGCTACCTTACCTGAAACCACCTCATACCCTGAAATTTCTTGAGGGGGAGCTAGGGAGCTAGCAACCTCACCGGTATAGCAAAAGTAGGGGGTAAATAGACATTTTAGGTCGCAAAATTTATTCACCCCTTAAGCACACAATACAATAGCTCATAATGTTACGAAATCCATCTACTTCAATGCTGCTTCAAGCCGGATGATTTGAGCTCACAAAATAATACAGAAAGATCAATGTACATTATGTAGGGAAAAAATGTCGGTTAATAGGATTTCCATTGCGTTTTGACGATAGTTACTGTAGGTAGTCGACACTATTATATACTGTGAGTTTGATTAATTTAAAGAATTCACATTCTATGGTTTGCATGATTTAATGATCAGCAATTTCAGCATCTACTTACGTGTTTTGTAGTCTACGAGGAAGAATTCCTTCTGCTTACTCTCGTCTATACCGAAAAAGTCCAAAGCTTCGCGCAATATCTGACAGAATTGAGTGTCTTCTTGGACGGGAAATTGCGATGGGATACCACAATCGTTCGGATCTGAAAGAGAATGATATGGTACAGAGTGCTCCTCTCAAGATGGAAACCTCCCTCAACTTTTTTTTAATATTCGTCATTCGTTTGCCCCCTTAAGAGCGACCCTCAGAAGTCTTCAAGATACTTGTGCGAGCAAGGAATGACGGCCCCCCCACCTTTTAACGTGTGAACCCAAACACTTTTTTGTTCCGGACAGAAATCGAAAATTGTGCAATATGTATAATAGTTTTTTATCAATAATATCCATAACTTACCTTGTGGGCCATGGACGATGATCTTCTTGGCAGATGGCACGTTTGCAGTGAGCAATATGGAAGCATCGCACTGTTCTTTTCTCAAAATTTGCTTCAGATCTTTGAACATTATTCCATGCACACTATGCACCACCTGAAAACAAAATAAAATGTGGAACTGCAAGATAATGGTACAATCCTCAAGTATTCGATGAATATTCTATTCAAATACCATCCATAGTAGCGATAGCGCTGCTCCGATCAGCTGCTGCCCCCCCTCGTGCGGACTCCTCACGTAAAACATCACGTAGCCGATGATGTAATTGTACAGAGCGAAAGCGGCCTGCTGCGGCAGCTTCGGTATGAATCGGATCAGGTGCCTCAGGATCTTGAACATCAGCTCTTGCTTGTCCCTGGTCAAGCGCTCGAGGATGTAGCGCAGGAAGAGGGCGCTGTCCTCCACCAAACACGTCCAGATCACCTAGAAAATACTATAATGATAGTGTTGATATTGCGATATAGTGATGAAGTTATGAGGTGATAGAGTGATGAAATGATATGACAATGTGGTAATAAAGTGATAAAGTGATAAGCTGATATTGTGATATTGTGATATTGTGATATTGTGATATTGTGATATTGTGATATTGTGATATTGTGATATTGTGATATTGTGATATTGTGATATTGTGATATTGTGATATTGTGATATTGTGATATTGTGATATTGTGATATTGTGATATTGTGATATTGTGATATTGTGATATTGTGATATTGTGATATTGTGATATTGTGATATTGCGATATTGCGATATTGTGATATTGCGATATTGCGATATTATGATATTGTGATATTGTGATATTGTGATATTGCGATATTGCGATATTGTGATATTGTGATATTGTGATATTGTGATATTGTGATAGTGTGATAGTGTGATAGTGTGATAGTGTGATAGTGTGATAGTGTGATAGTGTGATAGTGTGATAGTGTGATATTGTGATATTGTGATATTGTGATATTGTGATATTGTGATATTGTGATATTGTGATATTGCGATATTGTGATATTGCAATATTGTGATATTGTGATATTGTGATATTGTGATATTGTGATATTGTGATATTGTGATATTGTGATATTGTGATATTGTGATATTGTGATATTGTGCTATTGTGCTATTGTGATATTGTGATATTGTGATATTGTGATATTGTGATATTGTGATATTGTGATATTGTGATATTGTGATATTGTGATAAAGTGATATTGTGATATTGTGATAAAGTGATAAAGTGATAAAGTGATAAAGTGATAAAGTGATAAAGTGATAAAGTGATAAAGTGATAAAGTGATGAAGTGATGAAGTGATGAAGTGATGAAGTGATGAAGTGATAAAGTGATAAAGTGATAAAGTGATAAATGGTGAAGCGATATAGCGATATAGCGATATATCGATAAAGTGGTAAAGCGATAGTGATAAGGTGATAAAATGATGAAATTATGAAGTGATAAAGTGATAACGTGTTGAAGTAATGGAGGGATAAAGTGATGAAGCGATAGAGTGGAAAGGGGAAGAAGTGAAGGGATGAAGGGATGAAATGATAAAGTGATAGATGGATAAAGTGATAAAGCTATAAAGAGAGTGAAAAGAGGATGAAGTGGAGGAATGAAAGGTTAAAGTGATAAATGGATGAAGTGATACAGCTATAAAATGATGAAGTGATGATGCGATAGAGTGATAAATTGATAAAGTTGTATAGTGATAAAGTAAGGTGATAAAGTGATAACGTTATAAGATGATGAGGTGATAAAGTGATGCAGTGATAGAATGATAAGGTGGTGAAGCGGTTAAGTGATGAAGTTGTGAAGCGATAAAGTTGTAAAGTGATGAAGCGATATGGTGGTAAGGTCCGTAAGGTGATGGAGTGGGAAAGAGATAAAGTGATAAGGTGAAGAATAGATCAAGTGAGAAAGTGATACAGTGCTATATGTGATTGTGATTAATGATTAGTGATGCAGTGTAGAGAATTACCAGGTGCCAACGAAATCATTTGTCAGGACGTTATTCGGTTTCTTGATGTTACACTTTTGATATCCAGATCAAAGATATTGTTTCTTAAAATTCATAGTGATGAATAATACTGATGCATGATATTGAGGGGCTTTAGTGATGAGATTTAGTGATAAGCGATAGTGATGTGCGAAAGTGATAAGCGATAATGATGAGCGGTAGTGATAAGTGATAGTGATGAGCGGTAGTGATAAGTAATAATAATGTGCGATAGTGATAGACAGTAGTGATAAGCGATAGTGATGAGCGGTAGTGATAAGTGATAGTGATGAGCGGTAGTGATAAGCGATAGTGATGAGCGATAGTGATCGGTGATGATAAACTGGATAGTTTCAAGCGTCAGTGATGAGCATGTGATTAACGATAGTGATAAGACTGAAATGACTGGTTACCTGGTAGGCGACTTCGTATACTGCGCAGCCGTCTGCTGAAACAGCAGCATCGTCGAGCAGATTGATGATCTGCACCACTGCTGAGCAAAGGCAAGAGGGGAAGAGGGAATGAGCGGAGTGAAGGTGGTGTGTGGTGTTCCTAGTTTGACCGTCTGGTTGATCTTCGTCTGCTGGAAATATCACTAGTTAAGTGATCTTGAAAGAAATATAGATTGGATTCAAAGAGATACCTTCTTCGTGTTCTTCACTGGTGTGGTACAAGCTCGGTTCGTGTGCAGCTTGTATCGTTATAGGAATAGTTGTGATCAGGAAATTCTCTCTTTCCTCCCTCTTTTTATCATCCTGAGCTTGCAGCGCCATCTTTATAAGCTCGGTTTGCTGCTTCTTCCTAGTTTTGGTAGCGGTAACAAGGGATCTCTGCAAATGAAGTTTACGCTTTCATAATTCACAATTTCTAATACAGGACTGGACAAAAATTGATGCACTAACATGTCTTTCCTGGTTTATTGTTACTTCTTCGACTTTGGTCTTCACCAAAAGCTTCCAAGGCGAATCGACGACATCCAGAGATTCGATTCCAATTTTGGGGGAAGGTAGGGTGAATTCGATGCCAGGGGGTGGCACTTTGAACAACATCTGAGCGCTCTCCTCCATCCTGGGCCACACCTGATATCTCATCTTCCACAACACTTGGAACCTAAACCAGTTTGTGTTATCGAAATACCGTTGAGAATTATTTGTGGGGGTACCACAAGGATCAATCTTGAGTACTCTTTTATTTCCCATTTTTATAAATCGGTTGTCATCTCAGAGAAACCAGTTATAAATAGTGATTCATTTTACTTCCACCGCTGCCAAATCAATAATTCGAGATGATTTTTCGGATGAAACATCTAATTTAACTCGGCATATCGGAGCTTATCTCAAAGAATAGAACAACCTTTATAACATGATGGTACAACCAATACAACATTATTATCAGATATTCACTACTAATAACTATGACCTTATTATTATTTATTGTGGGGTATGTTACATAATGAAAAATAAGAATAGATCAAAGATGAACATGGCGGCACCGCAAAGTTTCGTAGTAGGACTGTTGTTTGATCAGTTTTCGGTGTTTCAGTAACAAATTCAGGATATTTCGTTGATAAATATGGTTCGGCAGTGTCAAATCCATAAGGCAAGTTGGTTACAATTTTTTTTTTTCTAAATGTTATCAAACTTTTGATTTTTCACTTCATGAAAACCTCCTGAGGGTATCTCAGAGAATTCATGCCCCTCTTAAAATAAAAATACCTGTTTCAATATTGTAATTTCACTATGTTTACCATTTGAATTTAATAAGATTCAACAACTTCCAAGAACATTTTGCATCCTCATGTAAGTAATTTTATCTATTACCATATTCCTGTTACAAGTTTAGACTAACATGTCCTCATTTGCAACATAATTCTGTTCACCTATTAAATGTCGTGGAGATGATTTTTGAGATTTATTCTCCCTCCTATTTTTATTTAGTCTGAGCATTCACCCGCAAATGTACAAGCACGTGTCTCATATTATCCCCACCATTCGCGATTCCATTCATTTATCCGTGTTCAAAGTTTAAGATTGTTGGTCAATGATCTATTAATGAACTGCGGTGTCTACCTTCTGATATTAATTTCAGTGTGAAATTCTCACCTTAATATCGCGTTTATTCGCACTGCGCAATCCGGATGCGACAAGCCGTACTGCATGATCTCGGAAACTTGCTGTGGCGCCTTGACAGCTCCCAAAATGAATAAGGAAGCTGCACAGGCTGCCACCTCTTGATTCGTCTCTAAAAGTAGCTCCCAAGCGACAGGTATGATTTCCGAAAAATTCTCCTCCGTCATGATGACAGCTCCTTTGAGGAGGATGGCTAGAGGAGCATGGAAAGCATCTTTCACCTGAAACGAGAATCTATTGCACTTTGAGGGCGCACACGATGATATTTTCACCTGAGTTTTTATGTACTTCAATATCGGAGGAGGCTCAGTAGGTTTACGCTCAGAAGAGGTCTTCGAGTCGTATACGGTGTCCGATTCAGCAATGTCTCTGGAGGAATCCTTGGAGGATAGTTTTCCCATTTGGAAACTCTCCAGATTCTTATCGATTCTGAAAACAACGTTTCGGTTTCTGGTGATTTACCTTTTGTAACTTGTGAACAGAATGTATAACGAATGTTTTACATCCTGCATATCTTCCAGAAAGTTTGCTTTATATGAGAAAATAGTTTATTTTTAAATCCGATTTGGATTTGAGTTTTTTTAGAATGGCCTAATCGGTAAGGGTCACGTGACTTTCGCTACATGTCAAAAGTTAAGTTTTTTCCAAAATAATCGCTGGAAATAGGATTATTTGTTAGAATTTTGAAAACTTCCACAGAGAAAATTGGTTTCTACTTTCTTTAATTTCTACGAAATTTTTGTAATATTAGGAAAATTGTAACTTCTGTTCTGTTCCAGTAGCTTTATTAACTAACTTTCATTACTAATCATCACAAAAACATGATTTTCTTATGAATTAATAATCTCGCTTCAATTTCCTATAATGTTTGCTGCCAAGATCGTCAACCATATACACAGCAAACACAGTTACATCACAGAGATATCGCAGCGATGTAACAATGGTGACTTGCGATATCGCATAGACATCGCTGCGATGTCAGAAAGATGTTATTTTGTCCTACTCAAGTTTCATGTATGCGACGTCGCTGCGATAGGTTCTATGTGCGATAAAACAGCGATATATTCCTTGCAATGTGATTGCGATATGTTATTTTTCATGAAAAAGCGATGTGTTTTCGAGATGAAACTACGATGTGATGCGAGATGACAAAAAAGATTTCTTTCCCCATTGACTCCTGATGACATCTTATAATAATTATTATGTGTTGCTGTGACTTGTTGGTGGTCCTTTGGGTTTTCCGTCTATTCAACCGTCTTTTCAGCGGCGCCATTCTTGGCACCTAAGAATCTTTATAAAAATAATATCAGTTACTCGTATTTGTATAAATAATTATATAGTGTGTGTCGGCGAGATGTAAGCAAACCAAGAAAAATTTGATAACGATGTATAACGAATGTTTACGAGTTTAGCTCCACTTTCTTGAGTACCGTATATTCATGTATTGTTTCAACCAATCAAGAATATAAATAACAAACAAATTTCCGCAAATGAGTTTGCTTCTGTACATCGCAGCGATGCAACATTTGTAATATCGCATTGTTGTCTCATCATGACGTGTGAGATGTCATGTCACAGATGTGTTCGCTTCTGTACATCGCAACCATGAAAGATTCATAATATCGCAGTGTTGCCGCATCACGCGATCTCAGAGATGTCATGTCACAGATGTGTTGGCTGGGTAGGAGCCGATTTTCTTATGGGTTTGTTCAGTACTAAAATGATTACAATATCATCCATCAACAAGAATGTCCTCAAACTACTTCACATATCTAATCAAAGTTCAGGACAGTTTCGTCCAAGTTACAAACAATTCTCTTAATATTACAATAATTTCATAGAAATTGTAAAAGACTTGAAGTTCAAATTTGAGAAATATGTGTAGAATGAGGATACAAACAACTTTTATTCTATGTTAAAGGAAACCTTAACGCCCAAGTCGAATACCAAAATAAATTATTATCAAGTTTTTTCCATATGATGCCAACTCTCCATAAGACCCTGTATATATGTAATATAACTCACCTATCCTTTTTACCGACACTATCCTTTCTTCTGATGGGCGAAACCGTAGAACTCGTCTGATCAGATACCTTCCTGTTCTGATTCTTCTCCTTCTTATTACTCTTCTTCTTATCCCCGAAGTCCATCGACAGCCGATCCTCCAACAACCCAAACTCCTCCCCATAAACTTTCCTTACCGCCTTGATCAGTCTGTTACACCCTCTCATCACCTTTTTATAGCAAAATGGGTGGCAAAAATTCTGATGGGGGCAAAAGTAGTAGAACGAATTGGCCACTTGAACCATGACCTTCAGCCACGGCATGGTCTTAGTGGTGTCGTCTGTGTCGTTGCTGTCGCTGGGGCTCTCAGGGGGTTGGTCGTCACTTAAAACCCCCGGAGATTCCTCCCCGCTTACTTCCCCTGGGGCTCCAGGTTCGGAGGTGTCGCTCCTGTCGGATATCGAGCTCACTTTCCGCTTGGACTGGATGGAATCTGTGCGTTTTACCGATTCCGGAATTTTCCCTAGGAAATATTAATTTCTCACCAGTTCTACATAAACATTCATGGTTAGATTAGATTAGGTTCCATGTGGGTGCTACCCCAGATGGGTCAATGTTGGCTCACCCCTAGAGGTCATAGTTCACTGTACAATCCACTTCTTTTCACAAAGTTCATGCATGGGTAAATAGATGAGATCTGTCTAAAATCGATAGGTTTCCAGTTGGTAATGCCAAATAATATGTCCAACCTTAGTTTCTCTAAACAAGGAGTATGTGAACATTCAAACATCCACATGATATCGAAGGCAGGCTAATGTAGCCATCCAACCGGCGAATCCAGGAATTGCTTCAAGATGAGATAAAGAAAAAGTATATCTTTGTGAAACAATACACCACCAGGCTGAGCTGCAAAAAAGAATGAAACAGTGAATCCATGGGTATTGGTCTCAAAGAATCAGCCATAAAGTGGTACACAGATGGCTCCAAAGCCGAAGATGGAACTGGAATAGGAGTCTACGGACATCGTACCAAGTACTTCGATAGCCTTGGCGAATTCCCAAACATATTCCAAGCGAAAGTGCTCTGAATAGGTACGGTTCAATGTAGAAAAAAGCTATGGAAGTCGAGATATCTCATCATGTTCGATAGTCAAGCAGCCATTGAAGCTCTGAGCTCAATGTCGACGAAATACTGTCACCTTTTTATGGGTTCCGGGACATTCCAGAGTAGAAGGAAATGAGGTGGCAGACAAACTCGCGAGCTTTAACACCCTTCGTTGGACCAGAACCCTTCTGCGGAATCAGAAGCAGTACTGTATAAGAAAAAAATTGAAAAGTCGAAGCTGAGCACGAATCTTCGAGGTCTCAGACTTTTTTTATATTCTGGTTCTCACGAAAAGGAATATCCTGTAATGTGCAGGGAACATCGCAAGAACCAAGGGAAATAAGGTAGGAATTGGCTAAAATACTACTGGTACATATAATCACAATGGATCGAACGCATTTTTCAGTCTAGGAAAAAATTAACTTCGTATACCAACAGTAACCGGTTGAAAGGACATCTCTTAGGAAGCTCGGTTCAGATAAGGAACACGAATGCAGGGAAAGGGGAGGAAACCTCTTTCCACATACATACCGAATGTGTCACCCTACAGAACCCAAGAGCAAGAAACCTAGGAGCACACATGATAGAGGAGAAAGAACTATCCTACCTGGAACCACCTCATATCCTGAAATTTCTGAGGGACATAGGACTAGAGACATTACTATAGCTATGGAGAACAACCTCTTCGGGCATAAAAAAAGGAGCACAATAGATCTATCAGTTTGCACTGTATCCACCTCACATGCATCCAATACAATCCACATGACATGAACAATCGAACGAAATCATTACTCACAATCCAGATCGGCTCCCTCTTTTGTCCCTCTTCTCAACTTGAGGCTCCTTCTTTTGAAAGACCCTCCTGCTGGAGCAGCTGCAGTGCCTCTACGTAGTATATAGGAAGGTCTAGTGGACTGCTGTTGACGTTTACCATCTTCTCCTTGCAGGAAGGCCTGAAAATGTATCCATATATTCCCAAAACCTCAGAATACCATTCGAGTAGTCCACTGATGTCGTTACGGCTTCACGCAACGAGAAAAATATCAGTCATGCGTCAAAAAAGGAGATTATGATGTTTTCAGAATTATAGTTTTTGACCTAATTGGATTTTTGGCCACTTGTGGATGATCACTCCGACCTTCAACTTCAAGCTCAAAAATGTGTTAATCTCTCTACAAAGTTCTTATATGTTCTTCAAGTGCCGCTAAGTACTTAATCGTAAAGCTATTCTTATATGCATTTTAAAAATAATAATATTAATCAGTATCAAATTCTATCTATGCCTTGTGAACACTTGATGAAGATATTTAGAGTTCATAGAACGAAATGTTTACTGTCCTCATTCGGAGCGACCTTCCACTTCCTAGATGTATTAATTCTCGTAATAATTACTCAGTATTGAATTATATGATGTCCTATCTATGCATCGTAAACACTTGATACAGATATTTCTATTTCATATACAAAAAATTTCACTGTCATAATTTGAAATGACCCTCTACTTTCTAATTGCATTCGTTCTAATAATAATGAATCTGGCCCTTGCGCTCATTAAAATAATTGTGACGCTTTTCAATGTTTTTGGTGTGACACTGAAGTTACCCTGTTCGTCCGTTCACTCATGTGTGCATAACCGTTTATGCGCCATTAGAGGGGTGGGACTCAAGTGAAGCAGTATCCGCACAGGTATACTACTAACGAAAATTTCCGAATTTCATTACCTGCATAGTAACCGTGATGTTGCTGCTCCCTTCAGACTCATTATCAGGCTTGTGAAGGACGCAGCTCCTCTTCCTCTCGCCAGTCTGTCCAGAGTCTTTATTGCCCGCGATCGACTTCAGACTCTGCACGAGGTTTTTTTTACCATGCATTCTTAGTAAAATAATCACAGTTCTAAAATGAGTTCGTTCACGTAATAATATTGCTCAGGATAAAATTAAATATATGACAGTTGATAATGATAATTTAAAATTATTTTCTGGTTCCCAAATTCATTCGTTTTCACAATAATAAATTTGGTCCTCGCGTACATTACGGTGAGTGTGACGCTTTTCAAAGTTTTTGACGCATGTGTGACTCTGAAGTGACCCTGTTTTCCCGTTTGCTCATGTTTGCATAACCGTATATGCGCCATCAGAGGGGTGGGACTCAAGTGGGGCAGTATCCGCACAGGTATACTACTAACGAAAATTTCCGAATTATATTACCTGCATAGTAATCGTGGTGTTGCTGCTCCCTTCAGACTCATTATCAAGCTAGTGGAGGACAGAGCTTATCTTCCTCTCGCCAGTTTGTCCGAAGTCTCTATCGCTCGCGATCGACTTCAGACTCTACGTGAGAGTCTTTTTTAATATGCATCCTTAGGAAAATAATCCCATTGCTAAGATGAGTTCATTCACGTAATAATATTGCTCAGGATCCAAATATATCTACGGCTGGTTGGTACTTGATGATGATAATTTGAAATGACCAACTACTTCCTAAGGTCATTCGTTCTTATAATGATAAATCTGGCCCTCCCGTACATTACGGTGAGTGTGACGCTTTTCAATGTTTTTGTGACGCAAGTGTGACACTGAATTAACCCTGTTTTCCAGTTTACTCATGTTTGCATAACCGTATATGCGGCTTTAGAGGGGCAGGACTTAAATGGGGCAGTACCCGCACAGGTATACTACTAACGAAAATTTCCGAATTTCATTACCTGCATAGTAACCGTGGTATTGCTGCTCCCTTCAGACTCATTATCAGGCTCATGAAGAACGAAGCTTATCTTCCTCTCGCCAGTCTGTCCGGAGTCTCTGTCGCCTGCGATCGACTGCAGACTTTGCGCAGAGGTCTGCGAATGGCCCATGGAAGACAGAGCCATGCTCCATCTCCTATTCGCCTCTCGACTACACAGCTTGTCCCAGGCGGTCGGTTTGCCTTTGTCCATGTTACGAGAGGACTTCGGCAATGTCTGGTACGTTTCTCTGAGGAAGGCGGTGATTTCTTGTAGGAGAACGCAAGCCATGAGTCTCAAGGCCATCGGACACGACGACCCGTACGAATTGATGCTAGCTGGAAACACTAAAGTTGGTTAGTTTCGAGTGAGTTTCATGACGATTGTTCTACCTTCGTCTAGGAAGTCTTCTTCCTCGTCCTGCACCAACAAATCCTTTTGTTTTTGATCGTCGGCCATCATGGCGTTGATTTGCGGTTGGAGGTTCTTGTCTTCGTTGACAAACTCTTCCAGCCGTTGACCAATCGCCTTGGAGAATCATTGATTATTCATCTGATCTCACAGTATAAAAAGTCCAAATTAAAAAAGGAATTCGAAAGGAATACGAAGTCTGATCTATCTTTGAAGCAAGAGAGTGTCATGGAAATATCATCACCAGTTTTTTTATATTGAATCTCGTGACCAAGAATGTGTTCAGAATCGATATACATAGATTGAACATATATGAGTTGAGATCAGACCACTCATTATTCAGTGCAACAATGCAAATTTATAATGGATAGAGTCGTGAAAGATAATTGCTATAGATGGATTTGCAACTTGCCATCAGAAACCCTTGAAATGGACCATATTGGACATATTTGGACATATAAAGCTCAGGTGTGAGAAATTGTCAGGAAAAATACTCATTATTGAGGAACGAGTTCGTATAATGTTGAGAAGATTGAACAACGGACATCGGAGGTGAAAATAATAATCAGTATGGCAGAATATCCAACTGTTTGGGGATTACCAACAAGCTTGAGGCGAAGATACAGAAAGTCGGTTTCAGGGTCTCGTGAATAACGGGTCCACTTCCATAATTGGTTATTCCTAATCAATACAAAAAATTCTTTGGAAGGAGTCAATGGTAATTCAAAGTGAATTGGTGTTCATAGTTAAAAACTCAAAGTCATCTCCACAACTTTCATTCAGATCTTCGATAATTCTGAATAAAAGTTGTGAATATAACTTTGGGTTTTCTTCTAGGATCTCAGGAGAAATTTTGTTTCATTTCAATTTCTTACTTCTGCCCACTGGTAGAACATTTTACCGGCCGATCTCTGCATGATATGCGATCGTCTGACGCCGGTGCTGTTTCCTCTAGCAGGCAGAGGCCCGGACGGTCTGTAGGCCGGTACATTGAACTTCATCCAGGAGGGCCAGAGGCCCTTGTTGCAGGAATGCACAAAGTGGGCGCATTCTAAGATCAAGGCTGCTCTCGCCACCACAGTCGAATGGGGCTAAAATAATTCGAATTGAACAGGTGGAAAACTGGGTTTATCTGACTGACTTACCAAATCCAGAGAAGATGCCAAGAGATGAGCATCAGGCACCGAACCGGGTGCACAAGTTTCCAGGAGAAATGATAACCTACTCATTCCTTGATACACAAGAGTTGTGGAAACTAGCTTTCTTTCTTTTAGTACCACGAACTCGGACTCTCTCGATGTCTCGCCGAATTCCACCGAGTTTTTCCTACTGAAAACTTTAACAAAAACATGAAAACAGTCATCATGAAAAGACGCACTTCGTTATCTTACATCCCCCAGCGGATTCTTCCATGCTGCCGTCCTTCTTCTTGCCCTTCTTCAGTACGAATTTGAATTTGTCCTCCATTTTTCTTTTGGCCTTTTGAATGCTTTGACCTACATTTGTCTTTGTAGGTTCTTTTTGCTGATACTGCTTGAAAGATTGTCTCACGAAGCTCGAAGTGTCAGTGAATGAATCTCCGTTGTCTTGGTTGTCCTGTTAGTGGATATGATTATCAACTGCGAACTAGTCTATCATGGGGTACCCCAAGGGTCAGTCCTTTACCCTATGCAGTTTTCCGAATATGAGCTTTTTTTTCTACTGGTGGGTGAGGAGTTCCCTAAGGATAATCTTCGACCCCCAGAAATTATTGACAACCATAGAATATTTCAGAATACGAGAATTACTCCATGGACCTCGAGATATTTTCAATAGTAGTGACTTCATCACAATTGGATTGAAATCTGAATTTTATTTATGTACCTCATTGTCTTATTTTATGTTTTCTCAACGTGTTTATTTCAAATTCATATTAACCGATGATGTATTCACATTAATTCCATCAAAGGAGAAAAAAAAATCCTCAAAAGATTCACTAGTAGCTATCAACCATCACGAATTTTGTAAATAAAATATATGTCTACCTGTTCATCGTTGGAGGAATTTTCCCCTTTTTTGAACCAGTTTACAAGTCCGCCAAGTTTAGATTTTTTAGCTTTGACTGATAAAGTTGGTTCTAAAGCTATTCCTAGCGCTCTCTCACTCTGCCTAGGAGTCAAAATATGTTTTTTCCTCAGATTTCCCAGAGGACTTTGACTGGTTTTCGGAAGTTCCTCAGCTTCGGTTTCGAGAAGGCTCTACGAATACAGAATTTTTGTTCATCGATTGTTTTGCTGATGATTATTTATACTCACGGCACAAGTGGATGAAGTACTTCTTTTTTTGAAAAGAGATTTCTTTGTCCCTTTGTCGTCGATAGTATAAGACTGAGAATCTGTCGCAGCATCTTGCTGATCTTCCATCTCAGAGGGATGCATGTGCCTTTAAACGAAATTGATATTAGGTTGAAGTTTTTCATGCCATTTCCAATAATTATTTATAACCTAACCTTATGACTCTGGTCGTTTGCACTTTAGCTTCTTTTTTAGTAGGCCTTTCGGCGGTGTCTATCAAAGCACTCAGTGCAACCCTCCTGAAGATGCTTCCATGACCCTCCTTGACATACGTCATCAGCTGTCTTATTTCACAGTACAATGGCTAAAAATATGGCGTATTATGATTTGAAAATTATTGAGGCAATTAATGTGTATCTACTTTCATTTGTGATTCAATTCATAAAAAAGGATCTTTTCAAATGAGTCACATCGAATAAATATTAATCACCCTTCAGGTTGTCTATTCTCGTGTTAATTGCGTATACGAATTCGATCTTCTATTTTATTTCAACTTACGTCACATAGTCAGGTTCACCTTTCTTCATTCGTATACGAATTGAATTCGAACGGTTTGAGAAAAGACCCTGTGATTATTTTTTGAATCGTAAAAGAAAGTGTTTGGTTTTCGAGGTGGAATATGATTGATATTTTCAATATATCCAATACACAGGGTGATTCAAACAGCTCCTTAGAAGTTCTTGGCGAACCAGCCAATGGATCGTTTGGGAAGTTGGGGTGATCGCATAAACGAACCCGCTCTATCCGTTTCTACCAAAAAGTAATTGCAATTTTGATATCTCAAATGAAACAGCCTGTATTTCTTTTTATATTTTGATTCTCTCTGAAGAGCTGATTGCATCAATGTATCAGACTTGGGGTCTATCGAAAATGATTACAGAGATATTAGGTTCCAAAATCGAGATTTTACAACTTTATAATTTGTATGTGTCGAAACTATTCGTCATTGATCGAAACGGTTCACATGCCTCTATATAAACTTTTGATATACTATCTACTGACATTTAATCGGAACAAAAACAGGGTGATCAAAATTCTGAATCTTGAACCACCATGTATTTGTTCCAATAAAATGTCAGTAGATAGTGAATCAAAAGTTAAGATAAGAGCATGTGAGCCGTTCTGACCAATGATGAATATGTTCATCACAAAAAAACTAAAGTTGAAAAATCTCGATTTTGAACACCCTAATATGAATTAGTAGAGATTCCCGCTAGACCCCAAGTATGATGCATTGATGAAATCAGCTCTCCAGGGAGAATGAAAAAATGAAATGAAATACAGGGTGATTCTTGCGAAATATCAAAGCTGCTACTACTTCTTGGTAGAAAATTAGTAGCAGCAGTAGATATTATTTTAGAAAGATAGAGCAGGTTCGTTCATGCAATCACACCGATTTTCAGAAACGATCCATTGGCTTCCAATTACGTCTAATGAACCGTTTCAATCAATCACCCTATATGTACAGTAAATTTCAGATCATCAAGGAATAAAAAAATGCAATCAAGCAATCCTATTGAATAAATTCAAATTTCCTCTCGAGTTAACGATATTCAATATTATTTAAAAATGTTATTTTCATGTGAAACTTGTTCCACTCGTTGATGTACAGAGTGCACTAGCACAGAACAAGTACATTGACACTGGCTCAGTCTTCTCGGTTCAGTGCCGTAGCCAGAAATATTTCTCAGGGGAAGCTCATACCTGATTTTTGGTGATATGTGAGAAAAATTGAAAAAATCAATGCATGATCAAATCTAGGCTCATTTATCAAGAAACAAATACCTAACAAATTGAAGAAGACAATAAAGTGATTATTCCAGATTTTTTGGGATTTTCTATAAAATAAAAATATTAATGTTATTCCAATATACGTGTATTGAGGACAAATCAGATGATTTACCCCAATATGACACTGCGTTTGAAGAATTTTTTTATCAGAGAGTCTAGAAGCAAAATTCACCAGCTTCTCAGTGACAATTTGTATTGAAAAAGGTTTGGAGCAGAGCAATACAAGTATATAGAGAAATATCAAATTTTCACTTAGCTGTGGACGTTTCGGGATCGAATTTGCTCCCGTTTTCGACATAAAAAATGGATATTTATATAGCAAATTCTTACTCGTCTTGACACTCCTCAGTTCTCAGTGACAATTGTCACTATTATCAAGATATAAGGTTATCGCACTGTCCCACAAGCACGTTTCTCAAAACTCGAACTACGAGCGAGCATCTAGCAAGTTGGAAAGCCAGTGGAAATAATTTCTCGACAAAAAATCGCAATTGAAAGTGTCTGTGGACCACGCAAAACACGCTCAGTGCCAGAAAACTCCGAGCTAGTGCGACGACTCGACGAGTGGAAAACGCTATGAATGTAAAAATCGTTACCAAGCTCTCCGGCGTCCTGATCTCCTTGCCGCACTCGACGAATCTGGTGACCAGCGGCTTGAAGCAGTGCGACACTATCCTCCCCTCCACTCCCCGGATGCCGGCCGCTCCGACGCCTGCGCGAAAGGTGCTAGCATCAGCGCGACCGCTTCGCGATACCCTGTCCTGTGACTTATTGCTAGAGCCCCTCTGCCGGTCTGATGGAACATTTGCCAACGTTTTTCTTGACTTACATGATCGAATGACCGCGGGTTATACTAGCGCGAGATTCGGAAATTCAACGACATAATTCCGTGTACGGAGAAATGTATAGAATGGATGAATGAGAAGTGGCATTAAACAGGGTGTCCCTAAAAGGTCTGTGAAAAATCTCAGCACATACAAGGTGTCTCTCAAGTACGAGTAGAAAATTCAGGAGCATGTTGCTGACGTCAAAATAAGAAGAAAACGTCATATAAATATATGTCCGAAAGTTCTTCGTTTTTGAGATAGAGAGTGTCAAAGTTGAATTCTTATTTTTGTTTTTTGTTAATAAATTTCGAAATAATTGTGATATTCGAATGAAGTTTGGTGTGTAGGAGGATTGTCCAATGACACTATCAAATCTTATGTTGGTTTGTCTCTTTCGTGGGGGAGGTGCCACCTACATGTCTTTTGAGTCATTTGAAAAGTCACGTTTCATGGTAGGAAAAAAGATTTCTAGAACACTTTTGTGTGAAAAATATATTCCTGGTAGAGGTCGCTGCGAGCAACTGTTTTCGAGTTATTGGGATTTGAATCAATTGATGCGTTTGAATTATTTCCATCGGGCTCGTTAGTCGCCTCTAAGTAGTAAATATCAGAAAAGATACGCCAGTGCATTTTTCATCATGCATTCAATATTCTCCTACATTCAATATTGCAATATCAGCATGAAATGATTCTTACTTCTTTGCATCTACTTCTTTGGACTCTTCCGTTTCAAAAAATAACAAACAAATGAAAGATTCCCTAATCAACGACTGCCGAATCACCAGACATTCAGAAACCTTTTTCAGCGTCTTATGGAGTCTGGATCCTTTGAAAAAGCTCCAGTGATAGGCAGACCGTTGACTACTAGGACTCCAGAAATTGAAGAAGCTGTTCTTCAGGCAATCGAAGAAGACCCACAGACAAGCACGAGAAAAATTGCGCGAAATCTTACGAGCCCCATGAAAATAATTCAAATGCATCGATCATTTCAAATCCCATTAACTCGAAAACCGTTGCTCGCAGCGACCTCTACCAAGAATATATTTTTCACACAAAAGTGTTCTATGAAATCTACTTTTACTATATTCTACTATAGAACGTGATACAGGTACGCACAAAAAAGTTATGACTTTTCGAAAAACTCAATAGACATAGACATATAGGTGGCACCACCCCCACGAAAGAGACAAACTTACATGAAATTTGATATTATCATTGATAAATACCCGTAGATACCAAACTTTAATCAAATATCCAGATTATTTTGAAATTTATTGACAAAAAACAAAAATTCAACTTTGACACTCTTTATCTCAGAAACAAATGACTTTCGGACATATATTTATGCAAACTTTTCTTCTTATTTTGACGTCAGCAACATGCTCTTGAATTTTCTACACGTAGTTAAGAAATACCCTGTATATCTGAGATCGAAATCGTTACCTTATTCCGAAATTGCTTCGTTTTCGAGATACAGGGTGGTAAAGTTAACAAATAAACAACGGAATTTTCAAAATTTATGAACATTTTTAAAGGTATTACTTCAAAAATTGGTAGTTGAGGGTTTCCTGGGATGCAAAACTCGAATACGCAAACATTTTCACTGTGGCCATTTATGGTTTAGAATGGCGATAACTTTTTTCTCAGTGTAGTTTTTTACTTTTTCCATCAGCAAAATATTTTTTTGAGCATTTTTGAGCAAAAATGTTTGCTGTTATCTTCGTGGATGTTATTTGGTCAGTGAATTAGTAGTGCAAAAAATGATTTTTCAAAATACTTTCTTGGGGTGTTCTTTAGGAATATGTGCTGAGATTTAGTGCAGACCAATTAGGGACATCCTGTAGAACCCTACAGGTTTCGTTATTTAACAAGAACGGAAGTTTCGCTACTCTAACTGCTCTAAAAACGATGGAATTTTGGAAATGATGAGAGAAAAATAATACAGACCAGTTCGCTAAGGAGCACAGCATAGCAACATACACTTGCAAGATTTTATTTCAGCAGTCGAAAATGTTGAAATCACAACTTATTGTTGTAATTTTTAGGGAACAGGAAAAAAATGCTCACATAAACTAGTCAACGCTTGAAAAGTAACAGAGTTTTTATGTATATTTTGAACCCTCACTCAAGTATGATATGTATTGTTAATTTTTCTCTAAGGAACGTTCCTCTATATTTTTTCCTGCAGATTTTATATATGCCAACAGAAAAACAGTGGAACATGTCGAACAATTCTCATGGGCAACATTTATAATTTTTTTAAATGGATCCGACAGACTGTATTTTATTGCATTTTCAGATTCTCCCCGAGGGGCTGATTTCATCGATCTATCACACTTGTGATCTTGCTGCAATTCCGTCACAAAATATTACCAAAGTTGCAAAAATCTCAATTTTTCACATCCTATATATCTCTGTTATCATTTCAGCTAGACCCAAAGTATGATAGATCGATGTGAGCAGCTCTTCACGAAGTCAGAGGTGTACCTATTATCACACCATGTTTGAGGAAACGTTTCATCGCAAAGTACATCGCATTTCCATCACAAATAACATATCGCAATTACGTTGCAAAAACTATATCGCTGTTATATCGCAGAGAACTTATCGGATGAAACTTGAGTGGGATAAAATAACATCCCTCTGACATCGCAGTGACGTCTATGCAACATAGAATGCGATATCACAAGTCACGATTGTAACATCGCTGCGATATATCTGTGAAGTAACTGTGTTTGCTGGGCGATGAGCCTGCAAGAATTATTTCCAAGGAACTTTCATCGTATTCTTCCAGCGTTGACCAGTCCGGTGAAGCAAACATAAAAAACATAAAAACACCTAGAAAAGTATCGGCTAAGTCTAAATTAGTTGGTGTCACGATTTCTTACTCAGAGGCGACAGTAAGGAACTGGGGTCGATGCAATAACCGAGATAGCCGTGGAAAAAGTCCATGACGTCGGCCAGCGATTGGTGCTTGACGTAGTCCTTGAGGAAGGCCTTGAATTGCTTGCCGCTGGCCCTGTTCAACTTGACGAGCACGTTTTGGCATTGCGTGCGCAGAAATTCGGCCGCCGGGCCTCTCTGCCCGTCTGCGCAGCCGTGCGGACAGCCCAGGTGCTTGGACACCCTGAAACGAGAAGCGGGAATTGGGTACAAAGCTTCTGGGAAATGGATTTGGACGCTCCTGAAGTCACGATTTTGATTCCGCTATAGGAGAGTAGGTTGCAAATTCCGACCGTCATCTGATAACGAAATGATGTCTCGAAGGCATATGGAAACATTGTATTTCATCGAACGGCACCTGTGCCAATCACTATCCTGAGCAAAATGATTGAGAAATTGCACTTTCCTGTGCGGTAATTGGCACTCAATTTCGCGATTTCATAACGAGATAAGAATGATGCCATCAAAAGCCTACCTGTGTCTTGACGCTCCGCCTCGCTAATGCAAAATTCGCTCTTCAAACAAAGTATCACTTTTGATCCTAATAAACAATCTACTTTTATTGTCCTCAACAGATTTTCAAAACTCACGGAAGTCTTTTTTCAATAATGCCCCTGTATTTCTTCAAATTTTGGAATTCTAGTTGATATTCTGAAACAATTTGTCTTATGTTCCTAAATCAATTTTGAACCAAGCTATAGAGCTGTGACGATACAGTTCTCAAAATCCCACCAGATCTAGTGAACCTAAAGATTTTGGGAGTCAAACTATGAAATTTCACAAAATTCATACAGTATGTTCGCAAATTTGATTTCAATTCAGCTGTTCCAGAATTAATGTCGAATTTCGTATATTTTCCATGATTCACCTCTAGACGAAATAAATGGGTTGAGTTCCTGAAATAGCTTTCTCTATCCTCTAACGATGCAAGTACGTCTAAAAATGGTTATTGAGAAACTAGCTTCCAGTCAGAAATAAAATTCTGGTATGAGGAAGTTCATTACAAACAACAATAATAAAATAATATAAGGTGACAACTACAACAGGAAAAAAAATCTAGAAATGCATAATCAATCATGTCATGAGAATAGCGACAGGGACTAATCAGTAGATGGCAAAGTATCAATTTTATCCATTTCGTAATAAAATCATATGTTTTTTTAACCCTCCAGAAGTGGCGCCAAGTCTGAGAGACCCGACGCATCTATAATCATTCTTCAATTGTCGACGATCAAAGTCAAATCTTCGTATTCCTAGATACCTTCATATTTTGGTCACTAGTATCTCTACGTAAGGTTGGAGATGTGTATGTGTCGTTCCAAAGGATATATTGGACAAAAAGTCTGATAGACTAGGCGCCACCTTTGATGATATTTTTTTGTTAGTGATAGTGGACGGCATTTATTATCAATTGCGTGAGTTATTTCTTATCATGAAAGATTATTACTTGGTTTTCACTGTTGAAATTTCTAGAAATGAGTTACGAGAGGAAACAAGTGAGATTGCATCATAATATATGTGAACTATCGATAAATTTGATGAATGAACATATACAACGTTGTTTACTGGATGAGAAGGTGAAACTATATTCTTTTAGTGATATTGATGCACCAGGACCACCACCAACCAACCAAGTTTTTCTAGGATCACGAAAGAGTTTTTTTTTGCACATGAGACTCAAAAACCATATTTTACTGTGAAAAGTGTAGAAAAAAATTAACGCCTTTCTCACTTCAGAGCTTGGTGCCCAGCTAGCCTCAATTCACTGAAAAATCACTGAATGATGAGATTTCATTATATGTTTATCGATTTCTGTACGTGGAATTTTTTAACTTTTTGATTTTTTCTTGTGGCAGTGAAATTAATCGATATCAGCATAATTACACAAATTAGTTTTTTTAACGAATCCGATAATAATTTTGAGTATAACGTTCCGTTGCACAATAAAAAGCTTATTTTGAATCATCTCTCATCTCTATTCATCAGCCAAAATATTTGGAATTTTCACTTTTTCGAAAAGTTTGTGAGACCCGGCGCCACCTTTCGTTTTAACAAATAGGGCGCCACTTCCGTAGGGTTAATTCAATTTCAAATTCTGAGGTATTTCTGCAATTTTTTATATGATGTGGTAATTTATTGAATTCAGCTAGAGCAGCGTGAGTAAATTTTTTTTGGCCAATTATAGATGTAGCAGAATCAAGATGAAATAAGTTTGTTTATTGTTGTTTATGATATTATATGAAACTTTAAGAGAATCTATTTTATATAATTCATCCAATGAAACATTTTCTGTTATATCGCATAAAGATCATTTGTTGGGATATCGAATTAGAGACGATGCAATACTTTCATTGATGTCTTATAAAGTGCAGATATTTTACTGAAATAATTTTTTGAACAAGATCCCCAAACGATTATCATATAAGTAATACGACTGAGTATATGAGAATGAAGTACTATGTTTATGACATTTGTGTCAAGTTCAGGACATCTTCGCAAAGCTCTAATGATTGGAGATATTTTTTGCATCAGAGCCTCTATATGCTTGTCCCATTTCAATTTTTCATCAATCCACATAACAAGACATTTATTCATGTATTTCTTTTTGATACTTTAGTTTTGATTTGGAGATTGAGACTAATTTTCTGTTTATTTTTCTGATGGAATATTATGTACTTATTCAGTTTTATTGGTATTCATTGATAAAATGTTTGAATAAAGCCATTTTTCAAATTTTTTCAAATCTTCGTTAATAATATTGTCTAGAATGATGCGGTTTCTGTTTTCGTATAAAAGTACAGTATCATCTGCATATATAGTATAATTACCTGACAATCCAATTTTTAGAATATTTTGAATATATAAATAATACAAGATGGGCCCTAAAACAGATCCCTGTGGAACACCTTTACTTATTGGAAGTTTATGAGACTCTGACATATTACATTCAGTGCTGATTGTCCTATTCGCAAGATAAGATTCTAAAAGATTTTTAACGATGCAGGTACATCTACAAATTTCAAATATCCAACTTGAATTTTTTTTTCACATTTTTACTGCTCCCATTTTCTTTTTCACTTACCTCACTATGGTGTTCATGATGAGCCTGTGCGAAGGTAACGCCTTCTCGGGCTTCTCCGGCTCCCCCAGCGACGCCTGCGTAGAACTGCCGGGCACCTTGCCCGCCTTTTTATCGGGCGTGACGTCCGCTTGGCTGGCAGTACTGCCGGCCAACGCCTCCTCTCTGAGGCACTGCTTCAGCACGCCCATGTCCATCAGCAGCTCCAGCAGGTTCAGGATCACCTCCAGAACTCGCAGGGTGCACGAATGGTGTTCTCTCATCGAAGTCCTGTGCACGGCCTAAGGAGAATCATTCTCATTTTTCACCACTAACCAAACCGATTTTTTTTTCACACCTCAACACGTGTTTCGCTAATTATGTAAGCATCTTCAGGAGAAGATTAAAACAGTTTTAAAAAAGTCACTGAATTCTTGAGAAGTTACTAAATTTGGTTGCAAAAGTGGTGTGGTGCTCTCTTCGCATAACTACTATCGAAACAATTTCATAGATAACAAGAAACAAAGAAAGACTAAGGCCCTCCGCACACGGGTCGATCGGCGACATGGGCGACGCGATTCGAATCGTACATCAGCATCAGCATCTGGATCCCGCACACGGGTCGTTTAGTGGTCGTCTAGAAACGTACGATCTCCTCGTTTTCAGTCTCACGCGATTAGCAAGGAAGCAGTTTGATCGAGTGAATCTTGCGTCTCAATGGAGAAAGTTGTTCAATAATTTTTTCTTCATCCTGAATATTTGTGTTACCTACTTTAGTTCTTTAATTTCAGTAACTAGAACATATAATCTTATGTTTCCAATTTATACTCTCAACTTTAGGAACTGTTTGAGTTTTTGAAATACATGAATCTTACATCAATGTTATTAGTATGTGTTCTTCTGCGCTGACACATTCCCTCATATTTGAATCCATATAATTTATGGCTGGAGCAAGAGTTTCCACTAAATCAATATATGATTCCTTCGACATTCTATAAAATGCCAGAAATTTTGTGTCACTCTCTTGCATTTCACTTGCAGTAACAAAAAGTCGAGTGTGAAAATTTCGTGCAATGTACGGATGCACCAATAAACTTCGTTGTCTTCTTCTTCTCCTGATCTGCCGGTGCCACAAAAACATGAATATGTCCTCCTCGCCATTGGAACTGCTCATTTTTAGCGAAACATTTCTTTTTGAAGTTGCAAAAAATAGAGTAACTAAGTTGATCAGACGCGAGTCGACTACACAAAACGTCGACCCATATGCGGATGACACACACTCCCGTCTCTTGAATCGTACGAATGCAGAAATTGTGACGTCATTGCAATCGCGTCGCCCATGTCGCCGATCAACCCGTGTGCGGAGGGCCTAAATTTCTTCCTGACTTCAGAATTTTCTTCCACACTCAAATAATTTTTCCACTAAAAGCCAATAATCAAACCGATTTTTGGCGCCTCGGCACGTGTTTCGCTAACTATGTTAGCTTCTTCAGGATGAGAGTTTTAATCTTCTCCTGAAGATGCTAACATAGTCGAGGTGTGAAAAATCGGTTTGGTTAGTGGTAAAACAGTGTGTAGTGTATTATCGCGCCAAAGGTTCCAGTCTTCGATATATGCTCATTTTGTTCAAAAATCTTGAAATATGAATATCTCATGAAGTTTCGACAAAGAAGATCTCACATTTTCACCAGAACTAGTGAACATGATGTTACAGAGAGTGAGAGAATTTGATGAAAAACTATACAGTGCGATTGGAGCTATGACGATTTTTGTGGAGAACTTCAAGTGAGCACTAGTATCTTCAAACATACCATATCTCGAGAAGTTCAAAGATTGAAGTTCTCGAATTTTCACCAGAGCTAGTGAACATGATGGTCCCGGATATGAAATTAGAAACCTCATCAGAAATTATACGGTGTGAATAAAATTTATATCTAGCGTGTTTCAAAATACCTGAGTGTTTTTGTTCGATGATCCACTTTGTATTTCACCACTTTATATGTCAATTGGACATTTCATGCATTTCAAAAAAATCATAACGGCTCTGGACGCAAGAATCTCTGTTCGCTGATTACCTGACTAATCTCCTGCCCCCCTACTACCGTCCACAGTAGAATTTTGTTCGTCTACCGCTAGTCATCGGATCATCTTACGCATTTGTTTTTCTGTACATTGTCAAATAATGTAGCACGTTGACGAAACTAATGGAATTGTTCACCTGCTTCTGGTATATAGTGTCATCGAAGTGCAGCAGCAGCATTTCATCTCTGGCCTGTACCAAATATACTAAGACCGTAATAGGGCCGATTTTATCGATGAGAATCTGAACTCCATTATTATTTTATATGGACAATTTTCGGCAATTTTGTCTACTTTGGGTCTGAGATCTTAATCACCTGTAAAACAACTTGGAAATCAATGTCGCCGTCCTTGGTGACGTAGCATGCAGCTCCTGGAGCTTCTGGAACATCTTCCCCTGTGTAAGTGATGTTCGAATCTGTGAGAGACCTGATGAGGCTCGAGGTTCTCTCCTGCCAGTTGCCCAGTTTGCTGCCACAAAGGCTGGCGGCGTCTAGTTGACTGTCCATCGAACCCTGCACGAAAACAACGAGCTGATTATCAGACCTGATAAAAGAATGCAACAGGTTGCGTGTAAATCATGCAACAGGTTGTGCTTAAAGGATGCAACAGGTTGTGCTTGAAGGATGCAACAGGTTGTACTGATAGGACGCAACAAGTTGTGCTGAAAGAATGCAACAGGTTGTACTGATTGCTTGCAACAGGTTGTGCTGAAAGGGTGCAACAGGTTGTACTGATTGGATGCAACAGATTGTACTGACTGGATGCAACAGGTTGTGCTGTAAGGATGCAACAAGTGCTGATGAGGTTATGTTTACCTGACGACGTAAGTAATCAGGTGAAGGTGTGGGAGTGTGCTCAGTGACCGTTATAATCGGGTTCGCCATAGGTTGAGAGTGCCCCAATTTGGCGCTCCTCTTATTTTCCCAGTGGTTTTCGTCGACATATCTAACAGGAGGAATAATCTCGAATGGATTACAATGAATGATTATCGAATGTTCAGAGCAACTTTAATTGTAGCTGTGCAATAGTGTTGGAAAGCTGAAGCTTGTGGAAAGGGAGATAATTATATTAGCCAATTTTTCGAATCGAGAGAAAGTACGTATGATATAAAAGTTGTCTAAGTTCAAAACGGTCAGCAGCAGGTGAAAATACTGAGAAATCAGAAGACAGAGTTCTTTTCATTTCAGAAATTTTGTTGTTGTTGATAATTTCTATGGGTTCTAATGAAATTGACTAATATAAACTCTGAAAGAAGTACATGATACTCACCCTACTGCATTTAGTTCATCTAAAATACAGCTAAGAAAGACAGAAAAAAAGAACACTCTGATAAGACGAAAATGCACATGTAAACACGAAACAATACATTCATAAAACACACGAAAAAACAATGAAAATTATCTGACAATTATTAATTTGTCTACTGATGCAAGAATTATATAATATCATTTTTTTTTCAAATCTTCGAATACAGGCTGTTGAGGAATTGCTCAACTATACTAGCTAGTTGAAAAAGATGCAGAAATTTTTTTTATCTGGAAGTAATTCTACAAATGTTCTCATGCGACATAATAATCAGGCTAGTCAAATGATGTTTCCACTTAAGAGCCTGTATATTCTGCGTGAAAATTACTCTCCAATCAATTATCTAAAGTAGGTAGTGGAACAAAGGAGAGACCAAATCACTTTTGCAACTAGATTTGTTAACTTCACACAAATATAGTGACTTCTGCCTGGATCGGTAACACATTTCGATCGATCAAGCTCAAGCTTCAGGCTTCTGGCACTCTTCCTTCATTCACACACAAATACAACAAGAAAGAAGCGAACAACAAATGAAACCAACATTGTTTTTGTTGTTCTTTGTCGTTTTGAGAAGACTGCCAGCCGACTTGGGTTTGATTGATCGACAGGCGGTGTTACCAATATACTAAGAAGTCACGAAATCTTCAAAAAGTTACTGAAACTAGTTAAGGAAGTGATCTGGTGCTCTCTTCGTGTGACTACTGTCGAAACAATAATTCTATAAATAACAAAAAAAAACAAAGACAGGCTAGATTTTGTTCTGGCTCAAGAACTTTTATCCCAGAATTTCACAAAAAAAAAGAAACAAGTTAAAAACAAATGGAATCAGAATTATTTTTTGTTGTCCTTTGTTTGTTGAAAAAACGGCCAGTCGATATGGAATCACTGACTTCTTGGGAAGTTACTGAATCTGGTTGCAAAAGAGATGTGGTGCTCTCTTCGCATAACTACTATCGAAACAATTTCATAGATAACAGGAAACAAAGGAAGTATGAATTTCTTTCTGACTTCAGAATTGTCCTCCACAATCAAATAATTTCTCCACTAAAAGCCTGTATATTCTACCTGGATCCTTTGGCACGATTTTTTACGCCTCGACACGTGTTTCGCTAACTATGTTTGCTTCTTCAGGAGGAGAGTTTTAATCTTCTCCTGAAGATGCTAACATAGTTAGCCGAGGCGTGAAAATTCGGTTTGGTTAAGGGTAAAGCAGTGCGTAGTATTTTATCGTGCCAAAGGTTCCAGTCTCCGAAATATATATATTCTATGACAATTGCTAACAATCACTCTCGAATCGTCTAAAATAGGTAATCAAAGAGAAACCAGGCCACTTTTGCAATCAGATTCACTAACTTCTCATGAGTTTAGTGACTTCTCCTAATTGTTAACACATTTCGACTGATCAAGTTCAAGTTTCTGGCACTCTTACTCTATTTTCACAAATACAACGAAAAAACAGAAAACAACGAATGAAACCATTAGTGTTCTGGTGCTTTCGTCTTTTGGTAGGACCACTCAAAGAAGTGTCGCCAATCTATTGAGAAAGTTTCGAAAAGTTACCAAATCTAGTTTCAAAAGTGGACTGGCGCTCCCTTCGTATAACTACTATCGAAAAATAGCCATAGAGATAACAAAAATGAATCCCCTACTGGGTCCGAGCAGCTTTCGCTCACCTGAGACTAGGCATACTTTTCCCTTTCACCAAATTTGTTGGCGGTTCGAAAATTTTCGATAAAGTAGACTGCGGCCTCGACAAATGACTCTCTCCTGTATCCAAACTCCTGTGACACTCCTAGAAAAATCGCACGATTAATCAAAAAACTCACGATAATCACACATACGAGAGGAAAGAAAAGAACAGAGATTATGAGAAGAAGAGATAGAGTTGAAAGGTACATACAAGAACATTCAACATTCTTCTCGAACCCACCGACACTTGTCCCAGAGGCGTTTGTTCCCCTTCTTGGCCTATCTTCTCCAGAGCTTTATCGGATTTAGAAAGAATTTTCGTTTCCACGAAAGTCTTCAGATCTGTTATGCCTCTCTTCTTCTTCTTGATCTTCTCGCTGGATGCTCGTTTGTGAAGGGATTCCTCGGACTTCGTCGGAGAATGAACGAAAGGCGACTCTTAAACCATAAAGCATGAATGAACAGCATGTACATTATGAATGTACAACATTCATGTACAGGGTCTTCCAGTATATTTTGAACCCCCACTCAACTTTTTTTTCGAACTGTTTTTTTTTTATTTTCAAGGAATGTTATTTAATGTTTTTCCCCTGTTGATTTTATACAGGGTGATTCACATAACAACCGACATAGGGCAGGGGCATGTAGGGGGTCCCAAAACATGGCAATTTAACGCAACTTACCTCTATACCAAGTTGCTTCCCTAGGGAGTTATAGGCATAGCACTAACAGCATGTCAACTTGCTGGTTAAAAGAAAACTTCCCGTTCATTTTGAAAACACTCAAACAACAATTACTCAATTGAACAACTCACCTGCCTCATTGGTAAGTTTGGCGTTTATTTTCATAGCCAACTTTTGAATTTTCGATGATTTTAAATAACACACCTAGAGCGCGCGTTTTCAGTTATTCGAGTTTTTGATGAAAATGATGAGGTTTTTCGAAAAATTACTAGAGTAAGAAAAGTTTTAGAATTGAATTGCCCACAAAACAAAGCAAAGATTTTTTAAATCCCTTAAGGTTTAACAAAATTATGTTGAATATTAATGGTGCGCCACCCGGTATACCCCCTTTACAAATTTCAATTGAACTCTAGTTACTGTCAAGTAACGCCCTAAATACATTCACAAAGTGTACCAGATTTGGTTGCTTTAAGTTTGAGAATAACGGAGATATTGATTTTTTTCAAAATTTATAACTTCACTTTCAAAGCCTATATCTCCTTAGGAAAGCAACTGGGTATAGAGGTAAGTTGCGTTAAATCGAAATATTTTGGGACCCCCTACATGCCCCAGCTTTATGTCGGTTCTTATGTGAATCACCCTGTATATGCCAATAGGAAAACAGTTGAACATCTTGAAAAAGTCTTATGTATTTTATGGCATTTCCAGATTCTACCTGAATAGCTGATTTCATCAATCGATTATACTTGGGGTCTAGCTGAAATGATAGCATAGATAAAGGGTATAACTTGAAGCTGATTAATAGGATTGAAAAATTCGAAAAGGAATTCAAGAAATATCTACTCCTGTAATATTGACATCTTATCTAATTTCCAAAGTTTTCTCGCACAATTATTTGAGAATCATTTTCAATTTAACTTGAAAATATGATTTCTTCTTGAGTGTGAGTCTTATTTTTTTACTGTCATCTTTGTTTTGTCAAATTTATTCATATATTCACCATATTTGCTATAAACACATGTTTTTTCTTGGGAATAATGAAGTTGATTTATTGATTGATTGGTATTCAAAGTTGAGATTAAGAAATGCAGGGTCATCAGAATTCTGAACGTTTCACCGCCCTGTATTGAAAAACGCCATAATATTTCGATAACTGTGAATCAGAACTCGCAAACACAATGTTTGAAATAATAAATCCTTTGAATTTCGAATGAAACCAGTTATTCATAAAAAAGGCTCCATTGCTCCACCCCGTATACCGCACTACCAAAAAAGTCTGAACACACGGAACGCCCACTAAAGAACTCTGACCAATCGACATTCAGCATAGTTGGGGGTAACCAATGAGATGCGGAATCTTACATGACAGCGCTTGTTCAGTCCACGTGGACTGCATACCGGGAAAGCTCAATAGAACATGTGTCATTCCTTCCTATTTGAATGTAAAGCAAATTGATGATTCCTCGTTCATCTTTTAAAAAGGATAAGTGTCTCAACTGTAAAGGCAATACAACATTTATGTACATACCTGCATGAAGAGAAACATCTTTAGGCTCCGGCACCTCGATGAAATCCTTGTGATTTTCATCGCACTTTTTGGATTCTGTGCTCTGATAGAGAGACACTTCAATTTTTGGTATCGGCAACGAGTTGCTTCTCTTTCTAGGCTGCTGTTGGCCAGCCAATTCGTCACTTATGTCCCTCAATCTGAAAAAAATACCAAATCGAAGACTCTGATGGAACCTCAGAGTAACTAAATAATTAGGAAGATAATTTTATCTGCTTGTTTCCCATGTAGAAGAGAAATCATATTCCTTGAAGTTATTCCTCCCTCTCATTTCTATCATAGATCAACCGTTTTTATAGTGTGACTGCCGCTAAAATTTTCATCCACACTTTTAAATTCAATTATACCTGAATAATAATAATCTTTTAATCAATTTCATCTTCATTAAATTGAACTATCAAGGTGATAATATTTTATTCAACAGTAATTATATACACAACTGGTGGTGATGTTTTGATAACTTTAACTAGATGCACGAATCTTTGTTGCTATAGAAATCTCACGAGTAGACGAAGTCCACGAGTGGGATGTCACAATAAAATTGTTATTGGTTGAAACAACGAGAACGTCACATTTCAACATGTGAAACAATTAATCACGGACATTTTATTATTTATTGATTGTGTGCGGCAATACAGTGTGTCCCACTTACCATGCTCACCATGGGTATATCTTTTTAACGTTGAGAGATACGAGGTCCGTTAAATGACACCAAATGTGAAGTTTGTCGAGGCCAATTATAATGTGGAGAAATATTTTGATGAAATCCTTTCGTTTTTGTTTTATACGCAAAAAACACATTTTGATCATTTTCATGTCTCCTCCGTAACTTCTTTATTTATGAGAATATTCAAATAGGAATTTCACATTCTCATGGCAGTTTTCCGAAGTGATTTCGGAAAAAATATGAAATTAATACCAACTTTCCTAGAATTTGAGATATCAGCACCAACTTTAGTTTTTCAAATGTAGGTCATAGCTCACTATGACTTAGTTACAAATAACTTTTTTCCTCTTTCAGATGATGAGTTGCAGCAATAGTTTTGTGTTGATAACAACGGAGTTATCGTCATTTATACAAAAACAAAAAATTATTTGGAAGCCGCCATCTTGAATTTATAAATTTTAACAAGAAAATCATGATCTCCGACCTCAAAAACCTCCACTTACCAATTTTGAATGGAATCGGACCAAATCTTGTCCGCCATCTTGGAGCAGCCATTTGTTTTTGATTTCAACAAAAAATAAATAACTCCGATTATAATTTCGGTGACAATACATTATGGAATTTTTGTTGAAATTAAAAAAATGGCTGCTCCAAGATGGCGGACAAGATTTGGTTCGATTCCATTCAAAATTGGTTAGTGGGGGTTTTTGAGGTCGGAGATCATGATTTTCTTGTTGAAATTTATAAATTCAAGATGGCGGCTTCCAAATAATTTTTTGTTTTTGTAAAAATGAAGATAACTATCCGTTGTTATCAACACAAAACTATTACTGCAACATATCATCTGGAAGAGGAAAAAGAGTTATTTGTAACTAAGTCATAGTGAGCTATGACCTACATTTGTAAAACTAAAGTTGGTGCTGATATCTCAAATTCTAGAAGAGTTGGTTTAAATTTCATATTTTTTTCGAAATCACTTCGAAAAACTGCCATGAGAATGTGGAATTCCTATTTGAATATTTTCATAAACAAAGAAGTTACGGAGGAGACATGAAAATGATCAAAATCTGTTTTTTGCGTATAAAACAAAAACGAATAGATTTTATCAAAATATTTTTCCACATTATAGTTGGCCTCGACAAACTCCACATTTGGTGTCATTTAACCGACCTCGTATCTCTCACCGTTAAAAAGATACCCATGGTGAGCATGGTAAGTGGGACACACTGTATATCACTATTAAAGTAACCACGGTAACAAGTTCAATTGTCGACTGTGGATTACTGACTACATTCCGAATGCTTACAATATTGAAGATCAATCAAATTTTGTTTTTCCCTTCTGTTGATTACCAATCTAATTACGTATCTAGTGAATCACTAGTAGTTGACAAAAACTGCAATATTCAAAGTATATCTACAATTTCATCTCAAAATCTACCGCTCTTATCTCATTCTTGACCTGACAACACTGGCAAAGACGTATACGGTAGCCGACCGAATCGATCTCCCTTGCTATGTTGCCATTCACACGCCTTATACGTAACGATTGGACTATCGATCTGTAAACTTTTTCGTGACTGATAAATGAATCTTGCCTGTTGTACATGTAGTGCAACGCCCAGTATATGCCGTCCTCCTGCCAATGAGTGATGAAGAGGCATCTCAAAACGGCCACGTCCAAAAACGTAGCAGCCGAAATATCGTGGACTAAAGTAGCAGTTTTACCGACATCTTCCTTTTTGTCCTCGATGGATGGCAACTTGCTGCTGTCCATCGAATCTTTGTCGGTCGAGGAGCTAAAAGTACAGGGTGTTTCATAATTATTAAAAACACAGTCGAGTGTTACCGGTAGAAAAAATATACTCAGTGAGGAAGATTTCGATATATATGTATTTCGGAAATCTTTAAGCCTTTGGAGAATCCAAGAGTGGTGTCCTTTGCTATATAGGGCTGATAGAATGAGCCAAAATCATGTTAGTTCTTTATATAAAAAATGTCTATCGCACTTCGTTACGGAGCTGTTGTTTATGGCAGATATCCCAGCATTTCAGAACCAGTAGTCACAAGAACTCTATATTCGTTTGTGACACATCACGTACGAGCTCAAAATCTCTCAGACAGATTGACGGAAAATGGGGATTTCCAAGATAATTTCATACGAGGGGAGTGTATCAACTTTGGCGTTCGTAATGCCTCTCTACAAAGGAGGGTGTCGCCTTCAAGAGTTAGGTATGAACAGTGGTTTTATACCAGTTTTTTTTTTCAAATTATTTGTGCACTTTAGGAAAGCAACAGTCGTTATTTCAATGAAGCTGTGCTCTTCGAAGGATAGAAACATGTTTTCTTCCATAGATGTGAATCATAATGAATAATATATTGTGCAGTCAAAGGACCATTATACTAATCCAAGTTCTTTTTCAGGATATTCCAGAAGCAATGCAAACTATGGCAGATATCTCATCATTTTTGAGATCCTGTACTCACAAGAACTCTATAATCGTTCAGGACAATCAACTTAGGAGCTATTTAATCTGTCAGATAGATAAATGGAATATGGAGATGTCCAAGATAAGTTTTCACGAACATCATATTCGAATACAGATCATATTTTTATTGTTCTTCGAAAATTTCTTCATGAAAAACGACTTATCGATCATTCAATCAAACAGACGAAAATTTAGTCGACATTGTGAGTATGGAATCACGTCAGGTACCCTTACGAGGAGAGAGTATCAACTTTGGCGTTCGTAATGCGTTTCTACAAAGAAGGGTGTCGCCTTTAAGAGTTAGGTATGAACAGTGGCTTTGTACCAGTCTTTTCCAAATTATTTGTGCACTTTAGGAAATCAACAGTCGTTGTTTCAATGAAGCTGTGCTCTTCGACATCGCACAGTTTTCGTTTATTCCGCCAGTATAGGTATGTCATGATCGAATAATCGCCGTCAACAGCGGATGACATAACTGTCAAGAATTATAATTCAGACTGTTTGTCCAAACTTTTTAGATGAACTATATGGCAGTAGGTGAAGTATAGTACGTAATGCTTGTTGTAAAGCAATTACGGACTATTCCATTCGTGCGTAATATGCTTCTTACAACACATATTACGTAATATACTATTGATAATAAAATGTGCTTGATACGGTTCAATTGATCAGCAGTTTAGTTGTGAAGTTTTGTAGGTTTTGAGCACTTATAGTGTTTATTTTTTGTTCTGAACCTACCCAATTTTTTGCATAGGAGGCTTGGCGCTGGGTGGCTTAGAATCTGACGTAGGAGTAGACACATGGTCTGCTTTCACGTTGTTTGTTCTTCCGTTTCTTCGCATAGCCAACTGAATTATACTGGTTTCAGCCTGAAATAAGAATCAAATAGAATGATGTGACGATAAACTCTATTGTTTGACGATTTTCGAGAAGTGGGCACTATTTTATTCTAATTACCGTGTATATGGAAGGATCCCTGATGAAACCATCAGATTCTTGAAGAGATGGTAACCGAAAAATGACCACGTGTTCTTCTTCGGTGCTGGAACTTTCTTCCGGTATCGTTTCCGGGAATACAGTATCTTTCGGCGAAGAAACCCAACCACTCTAAAATATTTGAGGTTTTAGAGCCTAAGTAGTTTTTGTGTACCAAATTTTTTGTCATTGTTCAAATTGTGAGTATTTGAATAATTGTGTCAATAAAGGATTTCAATCACATATTGCACTCGTCTACCAAAACACGTTCATTTTGCAACTACACTCAGTTCCAAAAAAAGTGACGCACTTGATATTTGACCTATTTTCTTAAAAAAAAACAAAAAATAGTAGACCGATTTTAATTTTTCTTCCAATTGTTGGTAGGTAATGCATTTGTCTTTGAAAAAAAAATGAAGAGGTGAACATTTTTTCAAAGCCTCGTTGATAATAATAATAATAATAATAATAATAATAATAATATTTTTATTTTCCATTCGACAATTGAAAATTGTATTGGATTCGTCAACACAGGTGACTAAAATAGAACAAAAGTAAACACACAAATAACTTAAGACTAAAGAGTTACATCTAAAAACCAAGAACAAAAATAGGGAGATGACATTTTACATTTGTAAATATTCCGCTACAGAATAGAAACATTCTGTCACTAGAAAGTCCTTCAATTTTTTTTTGAAACAATAGAGTGTTTCACACTTTTTTATTTCATCTGGCAATGAATTGTAAATCCGAGGAGCCATTGCATTAGTAGAATTATAATGAATTTTTGTATAACTGAAAGGAATGTAATAGTGATCTTTTTGGCGTGTATTGTATTCGTACCTGGAATCGTTCAGTGTGAAGTTACTACGATTTTTATATACGTATATGCAGAATTCAAAAATTAACAGTGATGGTAGCGTGAGGATTTTAAGATTTTTGAAGTGGTCTCTACAGGATGAGCGTGTCGATATTCCAACTAGAGTACGTATAATGCGTTTCTGCGCAATGAAAACATCTGAAGATGAGGTGGATAGGCCCCAGAAGCGCACCCCGTATCTTAGTCTGGAATCTATTTGGGCATAATATAATTTCAGGAGTTGATCCTCGTTAAGGACGAGTTTGAGATTTCTGAATTGATATGAGTAACAATTCAATTTGGATTGTAGTGTTCGACAGTGATTATTCCATGTGAGACACTCGTCCACTTCAAGGCCCAAAAACTTGACTTGTTGAACAATTTCTACATTATCGCACATTTCTGTAGATATTATCACATCGGAACAATTTTTCTGACGATTATGGAATCTAATGGATTTCGTTTTATCCATGACGATGGTGGTGGAATAACTCGAACCATGATTTATTCTTAATTTTTGACTCACCCTGTGTGTTAATTGAGTAATGGTGTACAAAGTGCTTGCACCCTATACGAAAGAGGCTTCTTTTGCGAGCACTTTGTTTTTTAATTCATTGATTCATCTCTAAAATGTTCCGAATTACAGCTTTTTTGCTGATACCTTACGCTTATCCCACAAACTAAATTTATTGAAGGATCAGAGTACTCAAAATTGATTGAATTGTACTCTGGTATAGGATCACATTGTCTTTAAAAAAATAAATGCCGTTGCCATAGCAACTAATTTGTTGTATGCCTCCATATTTAACCATTTGTCGTTGTGTCATTAATTAAGTGTCTTGTTTATTGACTAAAATTACATGAAATGCCTCAAATAAATCCTGAACAAGTAGCAAGATTAGTTGCGTTAGTAAACGATGGGCGTAGTAAACGTTACGCCGCTCGTGCAGTGGAAGTTCATGAAGCAACTGCTCGTAGAGCAATCCGCAAGTACGAACGAACAGGAAGCACCGCTCGGAGGGTCGGTTCTGGGTCGCCCCCGAAAAACTTCTCCAAGAGATGATCGCTTCTTGAGATTGCGGATTTTACGGAATCGATCAAATACTGAGGTAAATGTTCAGCAAGATCTTCGCCAAATTTGTGATGTTGCAGTAAGTAAGCAGACGGTATGTAGACGTCTAACAAAAGTTAATTTAAAAGCTAGGAGACCTGCAAAAGGTCCCAAATTATTGCCAGAAGATCGTGCTACTAGAAGAAATTTTGTTGAAAATCATGGACAGTGGAATATTCCTGAATGGTCGAATGTCTTGTTCACGAATGAGTCAAGGTTTTGCCTCAACATGCTGGATGAAAGAAAAAGAGTGTGGAGAAGAACTGGTGAACAGTTTGCGAAAGTTTTAATGGTGGGTCCGTTATGGTGTGGGGAGGGATTTCAATGAATGGAAAGACACCCCTTCATGTTTTTCCGGTGAGGCAGTTGATGAATGCCCAAATTTACAGTGACATTTTAGAGCAGTATGTCTTACTTTATGCAGAGTTAGTGGGCAATAATTTTATATAGATGCAGGATAATGACCGACCACACACCGCAGCAATAGTGCGAAACTTCTTAGAAGCTACTGGTATCACCACATTACAATGGCCTGCGAGAAGCCCCGATATGAATCCTATAGAACATTTGTGGGATGAATTGGGGAGAAGGGTACGATCTCGCGAGAGGTCTCCGGAAAGTCTCGCAGAAATGGCAAATGCATTAGTGGAAGAATGGGATCGTATACCAATGGAAACGATAAGCAACTTAATTTCCAGTATGCCTCGTAGATTAGAAGTTCTTAGAGTTGCTAGAGGAGGCAATACACGGTATTAAGCAGTTATCCCAATTTATAATCTTGTGTTTGATAAAAATGTTTCTTGAAATTATTGGTATCAGTTTATTTCATTAGAAAATTGTTTCTCGATAAATTCAGAAAGTTGGTAATCTGCAAGGATTCAGCAAAAAAAGCTGTAATTCGGAAAATTTTAGAGATAAATCAATGAATTAAAAAACAAAATGCTCGCAAAAGAACCCTCTTTCGTATAGGGTGTAAGCACTTTCTATGCCATTACTCAATTAACACACAGGGTGAGTCAAAAATTAAGAATAAATCATGGTTCGAGTTATTCCACCACCTTCAAGGAGGCTTTGAAAAAATGTTCACCTCTTCATTTTTTTTTAAGACAAATGCATTACCTACCAACAAATGAAAAGAGAATTTTTTTTTCAAGAAGATAGGTCAAATATCAAGTGCGTCACTTTTTTTGGAACTGAGTGTAGTTATATAAACAACATTTTCTTCGTTTGTATTCACCTCATCATCTATTTTGGTGATAGTAGCTGTTATTGTGACAGTTGTTGCAGTGGACCCAGTTGTAGGAAAATACTGCTGATGTTCAGAACTAGAACCACTAATACCTTGACTGATCGTGGGACTATCTCGACCCATTGGATTGTCCTGAGATGGTTTCCCTATGGAAAAAAACTTGATGAACGCATTCCATAATATGCGTTTTCCATTTCACAATTTTTTCAGATTTCTTCTACATCAATTTCGATTAGTTAAATTGAGAATAAAATATTCGCAGACTCTTTGCTAACAAATGTAGATAGAGTTGGAATTTGATAAGAATAAATTGTGGAGGAGGACCAAAGATGTAGTATATATACCGGGTGTCCCAGTATACCTGTTCCAATAGATTATCTCAGCCATTTCGAAAGATGAAAATTTGAAAATTACATGATCTACTACAATTTTAATAATTTCAAATTATTATCGAAATCAAAATCATGATTACAAAAATATAGTAGCCTACTGCAATTCGTTCAATTTGAAATTACAATTGTCGTTTTCTCCATCTGATCAAATTTAAAATACGAAGTGATACATCGTTGGAACGGTAATTTCGAGTAGAAATAAAAAATTGCAAAAAGTATACAGGGTGCTATTTGAAATAAAAAAGTTAGTCACTTCCGGTCAAACCGGAAGTGACTTTGAATTTTTGCTTCTCTCAGTTGAAGCTTCCTTGAACGAATTGGAGATCATAAAATTTTCGAATTTTTATTTTCCGAAATGGCTGAGATAATTCATTGGATCAGGTATACTGGGACACCCGGTATATTAGAGTTCCCTTCGTGAATCGATTGTTAGGGCAACTGATGAGGCTTGGCAAGCCGAAACAGTATGCCTTGCATTAGGTTACAATGGATTCACAAGATTCTAGGTTCCTCAGTTGATTATTCTATACAGGGTGTATCTAAATAACACCGAAAGGATTCAAGGGGTGATTTCTTGTGATATTTTAGGAAATAAATTTCCATGAGAAATATTTTTTTTTTATTCACTTCTCAATTGTCTTTTCATCAATTTCAATGAAACGTTGTGGTTTTGTTAATAGTAATATGGAGCTTCTTCTAGTGCAATTAGATTCGAAATGATATGTCCAGTGGCGTCACAGTGGGTATACATTTATCGATATTCCTGATGAATGTCATTGTACAGGGTGGCCAACTAAGAATCCAGAGTTCGATACCTCTGTTGTCTTGAGAGATACAAAAAAAGTTTCGCATTCAAATTGAAGTGATAACCGAGCTTCACATTTCAAAATTTCTTTGAAATGCCCAGGGTGTTCCGTAACGTCAGAGCACATCAAAGCTATGTTTTTTTCATTAGAACACCCTATATTTCATTTCATTTTTGAATTCTCCCTGAAGATCTGATTTCAACGACCCATCATACCTAGGGTCTAGCAGTGAAAGTTACTGACATATAGGGTGTGCAAAATCGAGATTTTCCAAGTTCAGGATTTTTTCTGTCGAAACTGTTCATTATTCATCAAAACGGTTTACATGTCCCTATCTCAACTTTTCACTCACTATCAATTGGTGTTCGATTGAGATTTAATTGAAACAAATTGTAAATTAAGATTTTTTGACCACCTTGTACCAATTTCAATTGAACACCAATTGGTAGTGAGTGAAAAGTTGAGATAGGGACATGTAAACCGTTTTGACGAATAATGAACAGTTTCGACAGAAAAAAACCTGAACTTGGAAAATCTCGATTTTGCACACCCTATATGTCAGTAACTTTCACTGCTAGACCCTAAGTATGATGGGTCGTTGAAATCAGATCTTCAGGGTGAATTTAAAAATGAAATAAAATATAGGTTGTTTATATACATACTGATGAGTTTATAATGCTGCTGATTAAATCTAATTATCATTATTTCCATTAAAAGTCCTTCTTTAAAAACTCAACAAAACACTCGTAATCATTAAGGTATTTACCTACTTGTTGATTCGGATAGAATTTTTGAGATACACGTTCAAAGCAAAAGTCAAATAAAAATGAAAACATTCGTGAGCACAAAACAAATATGCACTAACGGCAAAGAACCATCAGTAGATTTACATTGAAATGGAACATAAGTTTAAATGGAAGTCTATTAAGAATTAAAACTTGATGGATAAGCTCTTCAGTGTCCAGTGTCCATACTCCTTAAAAAATCAGCCATTTATTGATTCGTGTTTAGTTGAAATGAAGCTTCCGAAGGTTTTTATACTATTCATCATTTTCCCTGTTCTTACCAAGGGTCAAGATACTATAGAAGATTTGATTTCTGAAGTGATAACCAGATTAGTCGACGATGGTATTGTATGTGCCCTCTACAGCTTCTCTAGTATCGATAACTTGATCAGCAAAACATTATCAACGACCAAATTTTCACTGGTTTCACTCTCCTTGAACCACTGGATACAAACAGAAACTAATGCAACTTGTTCCGCCTATGTAGTTCCGTTAGAAAATGTAAACTTTTTGAAAACGCTGCGCCCTTTCAGGAGAGTAGTCGTAAGCTTCGTTCCTTGGAAAAAAGTTGTGTTCCTCTACTGCTCCTCAACTCAGTATCTCGATTTTTTCAAAACTGCCATCGACTACTATCCTCTCGAAGTTTTCCTCATAGAACTGATGTCCTACTGTGGCAATTGCACTAGTTTGAACCCTTGCATTGGAAAAGATGTAACAGTCAAATACTTCAACCAAAATCGAACTCTACTAGAAACAAACAATGCTGGCAAAGCTCTCTCCGAAAACTGGACGGACTTGCTCCCAAAAAAGTGGCAACCGAACTTTAGAAAAGATCGCTTCTTCAGAATAGGCGTCCAGCATTGCCCACCATACATCTACCTAGAAAACGCTACGGTGGCAGACGGAATCGAAGCTAGAATCATTGAAGAAGTAACCAAGAATTGGCCAGTCAAGTACATCCTCGAAGGTCCCGAAATCATCAACGACTGGTGGGACGAAACCGCAAAACTAGTAGAAAGATACGAAAGAGATATCGGAGTATGTAGCCACTGGCAGAACAACATCATAGAAAAAAATGTTGACATCTCCTACCCCCACACCAAAATCTACGCCACCTTCATAGTCAAGAAGCCTGAGCCAAAATCAGAAATCATGCTAGTGATCAGCATGTTCCAGGAACAGGTTTATCTAGCCACTTCACTAACGATGGCCACATTAGCGATCTTATTAACGCTGGTTAAAAGAGTCTACAACGTTCTGACTTCTACCAAAGATAGCACTAGCACCGTGGAGCTAGTCATGGACTTATACAGGCTCTTCACTGGTGGCTGTATAAAAATGACCAGGTTCTATAGATTTAGCTCCGCGAGGTTCTTGGTACTGTCCTGGACCATATTCTGCCTGTTGTACGCTACTTTCGGCTCTGCTGGCATCACCAGCGTGCTTACCAAACCGCATTTCGACCAAGTCATCGACACCATAGAAGACATGGCAAACCAAGATATCCACTGGACCTTATATAGCGATATGTTCCAGAAACAATTCGCGTCTCTGGACAGCCCTGTCTACAAGAAGATGGCGAAGCTGTTCAGGCGTGGCAAGACGATGAAGGAAACACGAACGATAGCGATGTTTGCCAAAACTATCCAGAAGCTAGTGGTCTACGACATGGACAGCTATTTGCCCAGAGAGGAATGGAGGTACTATAGGCTGCTAAAGGAGAGCTTCGCTAGCTATAGCGGTTGTTTTATTTTTGCGAAGCGGTCGCCTTTCACCAAACCTTTCAGTAGGGCAACTCAACGATTTTTTGAGAGTGGTATAATTGACCACCTCACGAAGAAGTTTTTTTTGGAGGAGAGGCAATACCAGGAAGGATTCAAGTCGTATTACGAAGTTGACCAAGGACATTTGATTATCGATCTGAGAAAATTACTAGGAGGTTTCTTGATCCTGATCAGCGGACTGAGTTTGAGTCTTCTTGTTTTTATCTATGAACTCTATAGAGAGAACAAGAAAAACTAATACCTGATTACAATGATTCCTGACTGAATACGCTGAGGTTCCAAGCTATGGTAATGTGTAGCATTTAGATACTCGAACCAAAACTGAACTTTACTAAAAACAAACAATGCTGGTGGAAAAGACAAGAGATATCTCGGAGTATGTAGCCACTTGCAAAACATCATAGAGAAAAATTTCGACACATCCTAACCGCACACCAATATTTACGCCACCTTCATAGTCAGGAAACCTGAGCCAGAATCAGAGATTATGTCAGTATTCATTATGTTCCAGGAACAGGTTTACTCAGCCACTTCACTCACGATGGTCACACTAGTCATCTTGATAACGCTGGTCAAAACAGTTCACAACGTTCTGGATGCTACAAAATACAGCACAAGAACCGTGGAGCTGGTCATGGACTTATACAGGCTCTTCACTGGCGGCTGTATAAGGATGACCAGGTTCTATAGATTCAGCTCCGCGAGGTTCTTGGTACTGTCCTGGACCATATTCTGCCTGTTGTACGCTACTTTCGGCTCTGCTGGCATCACCAGCGTGCTTACCAAACCGCATTTCGACCAAGTCATCGACACCATAGAAGACATGGCAAACCAAGATATCCACTGGACCTTATACAGCGATATGTTCCAGAAACAATTCGCGTCTCTGGACAGCCCTGTCTACAAGAAGATGGCGAAGCTGTTCAGGCGTGGCAAGACGATGAAGGAAACACGAACGATAGCGATGTTTGCCAAAACTATCCAGAAGCTGGTGGTCTACGACATGGATAGCTATTTGCCCAGAGAGGAATGGAGGTACTATAGGTTGCTAAAGGAGAGCTTCGCTAGCTATAGCGGTTGTTTTATTTTTGCGAAGCGGTCGCCTTTCACCAAACCTTTCAGTAGGGCAACTCAACGATTTTTTGAGAGTGGTATAATTGACCACCTCACGAAGAAGTTTTTTTTGGAGGAGAGGCAATATCAGGAAGGATTCAAGTCGTATTACGAAGTTGACCAAGGACATTTGATTATCGATCTGAGAAAACTACTAGGAGGTTTCTTGATCCTGATCAGCGGACTGAGTTTGAGTCTTCTTGTTTTTATCTATGAACTCTATAGGGAGTACAAGAAAAATTAATACCTGATTATAATGATTCCTGATTGAATACACGGTGGCAGGTATGGTGATGTGTTTCATTAAAATACTACATTTAAATACTCGAACCAAAACTGAACTCTACCAAAAACAAACAATGCTGGCAAAACAACATCAAAGAAAAAAAATTGACATCTCCACCGCGTGATTGTGCCTACCGCATGGAAATTTGAACAAAGGTGACGTCAAATTTGCTACAGTGTAGAACTTTGGGTGGGAAAAGTTGTCTAACCTCAAGTTTTATTTTGAACCCTATTTTTTTTTCTTAGTGCCATTCGATAGTATACGTCGAGCTTTCTCAGTGTTTGAATTATTCGCACTTATTTCAATGCCACCCTGTATATTATTTGAAGTGCACCAGCATTCACAATAAAGAATTAACATCCCAAGATTTCATTTTGGAGTTTGAAGAAAAGTGGTATTCATCATAGTAGAGAACGATTGAAGAAATCGGGAAAAACTGAAATAAATCAAAATATTTATTGTACAGGGTGATTCACATGGAGCGTTCTCGATACAGTACAAACCCACTGAAAAAGTTACTTACGTCCTACGAAAACGTCACCGAAATGTTGCTTGTTCTTCAAGTGCTTGCCGTTCAGAAATTTCGGCTTCGGCTTACAGTGTGTCACAAAACAAGGGGCATCCGGATGCCTGAACTCCCACATGGCCTGCCAAATTTTCAAGCCGTTTTCCAAACGGAAATTCTGGAAATCCGATTCTTTCAGGTTGTTGCAAATCGGCGCGAAAAGATAGATGAAGAGCTGAAATAATTTCGATAATGATCGAATGTACCTACAGGGTGAGCGAAAATTAATGTATCAGCGCTTTTATATGAAGAGAAGGAACGATGGACAAAATCTAGGAAGGGGTTTTTGAATGGCATTGAGTTGATCCAAATGATTTATTTATTAATCGAAAACATACAGGTGTTGAATCTAATTACGTATTTTCATTTCCTGAAATTAAAACTATTATTAAAATCGTCATTATTGGTAATAACTGTCTTATTCGAGTGAATTGAAAAGATGTTGTATTGCTATATATATTGATGAAAAAAAAAAACGAAAAAGAAAAATAAACTCGATACAAATATATTATGGTATCTCAATGAAATGGGCATTTCCAGTTTCAAAAAATTTGCAGTTTTTTTGTCATAATGTTATGAAGGACCATCCAAATCATAGTCCAGAATTTTTTTTATTTTTTTATTCCAAACCATTGCCTTATAAATCAGTGTCGAAATCGCGTGATTCAAACACGAATATTCAAACGTTTAAAATGTGGTGGCAGTTTGTGACGTCAGGGCGCGTAGTGATTTGATTGGTTGAATATGGTAATGGCGACAGAGGGACGGGATTAGCTGAGAGAAACAACACAGTTGCCAGGTCTTTATAAAATATCTAGATATAATATAAATAGGAATTCAAATAACTGAATCTTGATCAATACATTGCTGACTATTGTTCACTTACCAAGAACTTGAAAATACTAGATATTACCGAGGGTATTATAGGGTATTTTCATAATAATTTTAGGTACACAAATATCCATTGGGATCAGTGTTTTGTATCATTTAGTTGCTATAAATAACTGATTCAGTTATCGGTTAATTCGATATATCTCATGTCATGACTAATACTTATCAAAATATCTCGATATACCAAATTTAAACGTGTTTTAACCATTAACGTTCCTCCTCCCTGGAAAATATAATAACTTATGTGGCAACCATGCTTTATCTTGAACATAACCTATAACCAGACGTGACTCGTCAGTCGAAGCACAAACACGAAAGTAACACCAACACTGTTGCCGAGCCTTTTCCAACGATTTCTAATATTCACTGTACACTAATCAAATTGAATAGTAACTGATGATGTTCTGGATATTTCAGAATCAATTAAATATAACTTGTATTAGTGTTCTCAAATTGTTGCTATCAATACATATTATATTATCTTCTGATGATCAATCTCCTAATCATCCCTAATCAATTGAAAGTACAGTTTATATAGCTGACCCAAAATACCTCTTACGAGCTCATTATAGGTAAATACCTACCTGGTTTTCTCTATGTGAGATAGGTACTGAAATACCCTGCACCATCTAGATGTTAAATTATTTCTTCTTCGTTTTGTCCTAAGAGTTCGTACATTTTATGTAATATGGCAACATCGGAAAACTTTTTATTGATTTTTTAGCAAGCGAGACAACATCATACAACATGACCATGTAACCAATCGAAATCGTTCGCGCGCTGACGTCAACGGTTCCCTCCCTTTAATACTCGTTTGAATTCGTTAGATCATTTTGCCGATTTCAATAATTTTTTCATCTAAGATCCGGCCAAAATTAAAATCCCAAAAAATTTTTACAAGGTTCTTGAGAGTCATTAATAACCAAATATGATTTTTCTGGAAATTACTGGAAATGCCCATTGGATAAATCAATAAATAAATGAATCCATCTGAAGATTCTGATATACTATCGTTTGGAGTTGATTGGAGAAAAGCACGAAAACAGTAAATATATCCACATGATCAAGTGTTTGTGGATATTTGTTGACAAGGACCGCAAATTTTATCTTTTTTTTTATCGCTTGGGGCGCACGAAAGGGCAGAGGTATTCTGGAAATATGAAATATTATATTTTTTCGTCGTAGTCTTGGAATGTACAGTTCAAAGACAGGATAACAAGTGAGGTACGTAGTTTTTGAAAGGTATCAGATTAGTATAGATGTAGTTTTCATTAGGTATTAGATTCAGATAATTTATACGACGCTATAAAAGCAGATGATATTTTATCCTTGCTCATGTAAGATGGAATTAGAGGCCATGGCATCATATCATGAGCACATTTTTATATTGAAACTATCATTGGGCACCAAAGATGTGTATACGACGCTATGAAAGTTCAGAGAACTGAAGATATTTCCCACAAACTACGTACTTAGCCCACTCGCCTGTCTTGGTTTTTCCACACAGTCGAGTTTATGAGAAAAAATCAAGACAGCCGAGTGTTATTTATTTACTTTCTTTCGTTTCTTGTTTTGTTTTCTATTGGCTAGTGATTATCTAGGAACTTGTAGATTTTTTAGTTTTTTCATCGTATCTCCCGAACTATTGAATTCAGAGAAAAATGTTATGCGGATTTTTTGTAGATTATATCAAAAGGAATAATTTTGATTCTATAACATATTCAGATATTTTCAGTTGTTTTCGAGATATTTGGAATTATCTGAGAATAAAATTTTCAACACTTTTGTTCCATCTTCCAATCAACAAAAGGAAAAAATATTTCATGGTTCAGTGAAAGTCGATGAGCTTCATCTATCGATAATCTTTTGTTTTCCAATATATCTTCATGGTACCCTATGGGTCGTTCAAATTTTTTTTTTCATATTGTTCACATTATTTCCTGTACTATTGGGTTTACAGAAAAAATTAGGGGTAATAATTTGTAGGAAATGTTCCATTGGATAACTTTGCACTTCTGATAATTTTCGATTTTCCATTTGTTTTCGATATAATATTGAATTGAAAGGATTTCAAATTTTGATGTTTTGATTTCCATTTGTTTTCCATTTTCCGATAGATGCACGAAAAAATGGTGATATAATAATTTGTTGCGTCATCAAAGAGGCATACGGTGCATCTATTGGTTCAGGAGATATGTCGTTTTAAAGAGAACCGTGTGTTTCGGAAAATCTTCTTGAAAAACCCACTTGGAATTTTCCGACCCTGCTCAATTTCAATAAGCTTCGTCTCTCCCTGATATAGTTTTTTTTCACAAAAAGTGAAATCGATCGGACCACTTTTGCGATTTGTCGAGTGGTTACAAGAAACTTCCGGTGAAAAATCGAAAAAACCCGGAAAACCCACCTTAGAGTTTTCCGTTTCCCTTCATATTTTAATGACATGATATTGTTTTGAGTACAATAAGATATGGATCATAATAAATCATCCTTCAACTTCAATGTTATCAATTTTTGATTGACCTAGAGAGATCATCCTGTAGAAGTTACAACGATGAAACTTCGTATCTAAGTATTCGATGTGTTCCTCCATTGAATGACTACTCCACCAGTAATATCAACTCCTTAGATTTTGATACAGGTTGAATCGAAAAATCAAAATTTGCCATTGAATAACTAACACCCTATATGAGATATTGCGTTAAAATTTTTTTAGGGAACTATTTCAGATATAAATCGAATAGGCAAGTAACTGTTTCGCGAAAACAAATGCCTATATAGCCGTTTTTGGAATTTTTGACCCTTGCAACCGAGCTTTCAACAAACAAAAGTAGGCCATGAAAATCTGATTATTTCAGATTTGTCCACTTTTCCGAAGAGATGTCGTTGAGTACTATAATATTATGGAATTTTTGTTTATGAAAATCGGTTGACGGGTTCCAAATTAGGAGGGTGTTGCTGGTTCAAATCGCACACACTGTAGATGTGAAATAATGTTAATTTTGACTCACCGTTATCGTTGGAATGGAAAAAACATAATAAAATGGAGACGCATGAATGACTCCTCTTTCGAAATCTTCATCAGCACATTCCTCTACCGCGTCCAATATTATCCAGTGCAGAGTGTATAAAAGCTTCGTTTCTACTGCACCCAAACTCTGTATATTCCCATCTTTCATTCTAAAAAAATACAGCCCAAATTATCATAAGTAATATCACGATGTTCTGAATATTCGAGATAACTTTTGAGTGACATATTATACAGTCTGTCCAAGATAAGGTTGAACAGCTTGGGGATCTCGAAAACGGTAGGAGATACGAAGTCGGTTAAATGGGGAAAAAGTTGCGCATTCGGAGGCTCATATCAAGAGCCTTCGAAAATTTTTAAAATTATTTTCAGTTTTTCAGTTATATCGAGGAGAAAAGTGAATTTTTGGAATATCTATTTCATTTTTTTTCTCCGTTATTATAAGAGATACAGAAAAACTGAAGATACTTTTCCATAGCAACTTTTGATGACGTTTAACGTGGTTATACCGATTTTTTTATGCGACGTTTTGTATCTGTAGAACCATCATCAACTTTTGTTTTTTAAATACGGTCCTGATAATTTTTACACAGATTCTGAAAGATTTTTTCATTTTGAATTCAACCATGTATTATACAAGGTGGTTTATGTGTGTTTCGACCTATTTTTAGCCATCATCAATGTTTTTTCGAAATTCCAAAGGAAAAATGCCATCAGTTCCACTTATTTTGAAGGAGAATTAGTTAACACACTAATACCTCATCAACTGGTTTCAATCAACAACCCATTTCATTTTGCGGAAACAAAAATTCTATCCATACAAATTCAGAATATGTCAAGCGCTAAAACCAGGCGATGACGAAAGGCGCAGGACATTCTGTGAGTGGTATACCAGGTATTCTCAAAATTTTGCAGATTTCCTTCGAACAATCATCTGGACTGATGAAAGCATGGTCACAAATCATGGTATCTTGGATAGAAAAAAATACACATTATTGTTCACGAGAAAATGAACATTTATACATTACAGCGAGACACCAACACCGTTTCGGCTTTAATAATATGTGGGATGCAATATTTGGTATACGAATTATTGGTCCTTTTATTTACCATGAAACACAGACTTCCGAACGTTATAAAAATTTACTTGAGAATCATCTTGAAGTTCAGAACTCAACAAGATCCGGTACATAATTCCAGAGAAGTCCGTGCGTTTTTATCCAGAAAAATGGATTGGTACTCATTCTACAGTCCCTTGGCGGTCGCCTGATTTGACACAGCTGGATTTTTTTTAGAGGATATATCAAAAACTTTGTATACGCAAAATGATGAAGAAGAACTAAGGGACAGTGTCATCGAAGCATTAAATAAAATAACCCCAGAAATGCTTAGTAATGTCTTAGAAGCAACTGTGAGAACTTGAGAAGAGGATATCTTTGTTCAGAAAATAATGTTTATCATTTTGAACATTTGTTATGAATGTTTCTGTAGGTATTGTCAAAGTTGAGTTGTTAAAGTATTTCGTATAAGAATTCATCAACAATTTTAAGCGCTCCATTGAATGATGTACTGAAATATTTTTTATTCACTTCTCGGTATTGAATAACTAATCCATCAATGTTTGACACTAAATGATGAGAAATAAGTGGAACTGATGGCACTTTTCCTTTGGAAGTTCGAAAAAACATTGATGATGTATAGAAATAGGTCGAAACACATTCGAATCTCCTTGTATAATACATGGTTGAATTCAGAATGAAAAAACCTTTCAGAATCTGTGAAAAAATTATCAGGACCGTATTTAAAAAACAAAAGTTGATGATGGTTCTACGGATACGAAACGTCGCATAAAAAAATCGATATCACCACGTTGAACGTCATCAAAAGTTGCTACGAAAAAGTATTTTCAGTTCTTCTGTATCTCTAATAATAACGAAGAAAAAAAATAAAATAGATATTCCAAAAATTCACTTTTTTCGATACAACTCAAAAACTAGAAATAATCTTGAAAATTTTCGAAGGCTTCTGGTATGAGCCTCCGAATGCGCAACTTTTTCTCCATTCAAACGACTTCGTATCTCCTACTGTTTCCGAGATCCCCATGCTTTTCAACCTTATCTTGGACAGACTGTATATCTGTATTGACGTTTACATATTCTTTATGTGTAATTGTAACAATGTATTTCCAATCTTCATATACAAATTTGAACTCTGCTTTGTCAATAAGATTTCATCTTGGACAATAAAGCTCATTTGATTTGATTTGATTTGATAATTATGCTTCAGGGTGATCAGAATTCTAAATCTTGAACCACCCCGTATTTGTTTCAATTAAATGTCAGTGTCAGTGATCCCTTCAAAAAAATTGAGTTGATAGATTTTTTTTATAGAATGTGAGATGCGAAGTTTTCCAAAAAAATCCTTCGTTGCGTTTCCATAAACGTCTATAACCTATCATCGACCGTGGATCACTCTATCTGTACCCCGCTCTAAAGACGTACAGCTCTGCTCAGATATAACAGAAATTCATTGAAATGTCTCCTTACCGGTTGTACAAAATCGAGGAAACAGCGTGCATGACATGTGGCAATGATGCCTGGATCAGCCGCCATCTTGGAATGGATTTGATGGCTTCCGTCAAATCGGGTTTCAGTCCTGACTGAATATTTTGCACCAGAACTTTCTCGAATGACTTGCAAGCTTCCTTCAATTCCTAAAAATTATTTTCTTCCCAGTTAGCTCGTTGACTATTGAATTTGACAAAAACTTGAAATGACAGTCTTCAGATTTTCGAGCCACATATAATATGTTGTGTGACCCACATTATAACAGACGTCCTGTATAAATTATTTCAAGAAAATATTTCTTCAGTTGAATATTCATCAACATACTTTTATTATTATATTTTCTACCACTCTTTAGTTTGACTATCTAGAAAAGGGTGTTCCTTTAGTTTTCAAAACAACTATTCATTTCCTATTTTTCTATTCGGCTACCTACTAGAGAGCGTGTTTTTCAGTGTTCTTATATTTTTTGTTGGTATACCCAATTTTGACGAAAGAACCATGATCACCTTTCCCGAAAACCCCTAGATATACTAATTTTTAATAGAATCGTATGATCATTACAAAACCCGCCCGCCATATTGTATCCGTTATATTGAATTTTCCAATTTTAACAAAAGCATCATAATCTCCGTCCCCAAAAACCCCCATATACCAATTTTAAATAGACTCGGATCATATAATTGGAAAACTTATATCCACCATATTGGATCCACCATCTAGAATTTTCCAATTGACGAAAGAATCCTACCCCGAAAACTCCCGGATACAAATTTTGAAAAGAATCGGATCATAATTATAAATCTTGTCCGCCATATTGGATCCGCCATCTTGAATTCACCAATGAGAACAAAAGAATCATAATCTCCGCCCCTTAAAACCCCTAGGTACCAATTTTGAATAGAATCGGATCAAGATTGCAAAACTCGTCCGCCATATTGGATCCGCCATATTGAATTTTCCAATTTCGACTAAAGAATCATAATCTCTAACCCGAGAACCCCTAGATACGATGATAGAATTTGATCATAATAATTATAATAAAACTCGTACGTTATACCGGGTGGCTACGGAAGTATATTGCCTACGGAATATCTAAGTTATTGTATGGAGTAGGTTTGTGAAATTTGGAGCGTCGATATAATGACATATAAGAGAGCTAGAATTTGAGCATATTGACATGTCGAAGTTAACTTCCAGTCTGACCGGAAGTAACATCAACTTTCCTATTTTAAATGGAAACCCTATTTTTTTTCTTCTCGCTTTATTCAGCATTCAATTCCCTTTCTAATGACATATCACAAGTTGGTATCTAACCAGAAACTAGATCAGAAAAAAATTATTATTGAAATTCACCGAGTAGGCCGTGGAAGCAAAATGAAAGCCAAAAATTGAAAAGTTGGCTATGGAAACCATACGTCACTTGATAACAGTTGCTACTACTGTGATATTTTATTTTCATTCGTCGGCGTTATAAAAAGCCGCCAAAAAAAATATTGGAAAAATTGGGAAAAAAACAATACCCTGTAGGTCCATAACTTAAATAGGAACATACAACTGTTTCTTGCCTGTACTATTCAGCATAACCATTCCTTCCTAAATGATATAATAGAAAGTCATTTTTTGAAATGAAATACCTACTCGGTGAATTTCAATAATAATTTTTTTCTGATCTAGTTTCTGGTTAGATACCAACTTGTGATATGTCATTAGAAAGGGAATTGAATGCTCTGAATAAAGCGAAAAGAAAAAAAAAATAGGGTTTCCATTTAAAATAAGAAAGTTGACTGGCTGAAGGACCCCGGTCGATGGCCATTTGGTTTTAACCAATAAAGAACATTTATTATTTTTATTATTAAGAAAGTTGATGTTACTTCCGGTCAGACCGGTTCTAGGTCTTATATCATTATATCGACGGTTCAAATTTCACAAACCTACTCATAACTGAGATATTTCGTAGGCAATACTTCCGTAGCCACCCGGTATACAGAGAACTGCCCAAAAGACGGCCAGGATTGTAACTTTTGAATTATTCTAGATGGGGTTTTGAAAATTGGTGGGTATAGCAAGTATACCAAAATGCTCATTAATTGATGAAACATTTTTTTTTCTATCACACCCAGTTTCACCGGAAACGACCCCACCTTTTGCTTTTTAAGTGGGACACCCTGTATTATATTCCATAATCGGTTAGGGATTATCATGACGAATTCAACGATACCGGGTTTGATAGGGTAATGTACAATACAGGGTGTCCCATTTGAAAATCAGAAGTTGGGGTCGTTTCCAGTAAAACCGGTAGTTATAGAACAAAAATTGTTTCGTCAATTAATGAGCAATTTGGTATACTTGCTGCCCATCAATTTTCAAAACCCTATCTCGAATAACTCAAAAGTTACAGCCCTGGCCGTTTTTTGTGCACTTTCCTGTATGGGATCCGCCATATTGGATCCGCCATCTTGAATTCGGCAATTTGAACGACAAAAACATAATCTCCGACCCCTAAAGCCCCCAGATACGAATTGTGAATAGAATCGGATCAAGATTGCAAGACTCGTCCGCCATATTGGATCCGCCATCTTGAATTTACAAATTTTGACCTCTAAAACCCATTTTGACACAAAATTGCTGTCATACAGAAAATTCGGAAAATTATTCTTATATTGGTACAGGACTGACTCAAAAAACAATGTTCTCTATATACCATTTATTTTCACATAAGTATGTATATGTATATATGGAGGTACTTACATGGTGTCCAGTTGCTGCATGTTGACAGAACTATGGAGAAACCACACATATAATAACTATATATATAGGAAGTACGTATTTTTAACACATACAGGGTCGTGATCCAAATTAAACGTCATTAATTTTGATAGATATAGATGATAGGACACCGAAAACAATACTTTCATAAGGGAACTTAAAAGAAGATTTATCATAATGTTTGGGATCTGTGTTCAATCTAGAAAAAAAAAGTGTGTATTGTTTTTGTACGTGTATGGCTCATTTCTCAATGGAGGTTGCAAAAATCTGACACCCTGCATTAACATTTTCATCACCATAAATGTCCCCCCCTCTAGCTCACTTATTTTTGAACCGAATTAAAAATTTGAAAAATCATCTAAAATGATTTTTCAGAATTTTTTTCCCGTTTCATCAGATAATACAAGGTGCTCGGACCAAACGATCTACAGAGTACTACTTGATTTTTTCAAATGAAACACCCTGTATTCCATTGTATTTTTATATTCTCCCAGAAGAGCTAATTTCATCAATGTATCACACTTAGGGTCTAGCGGGAATGATTACAGAGATATAGGGTGTTCAAAATCGAAATTTTTCAATTTTAGGATTTTTTGTGTCGAAACTATTCATTTTTGGTCGAAACGGCTTTCATGTCCTTATCTCAACTTTTGATTTACTATCTACTGACATTCAATTGGAACATACAGTGTGTCCCACTTACCATGCTCACCATGGGTATCTTTTTAACGGTGAGAGATACGAGGTCGGTTAAATGACACCAAATGTGGAGTTTGTCAAGGCCAACTATAATGTGAAAAAATATTTTGATAAAATCTATTCGTTTTTATTTTATACGCAAAAAACAAATTTTGATCATTTTCATGTCTCCTCCGTAACTTCTTTATTTATGAAAATATTCTAATAGGAATTTCACATTCTCATGGCAGTTTTTCAAAGTGATTTCGAGAAAGATATGAAATTCATACCAACTCTTCTAGAATTTGAGATATCAGCACAAACTTTAGTTTTTCAAATGTAGGTCATAGCTCACTATGACTTAGTTACAAATAACTTTTGTTTTTCTTACAGATGATATGTCGCAGTGATAGTTTTGTGCTGATAACAACGGAGTTATCGTCATTTATACAAAAACAAAAAATTATTTGGAAGCCGCCATCTTGAATTTATGAATTTCAACAAAAAAATCATGATCTCCGACCGCAAAAACCCCCACTTACCAATTTTGAATGGAATCGGACCAAATCTTGTCCGCCATCTTGGAGCAGCCATTTTTTTTTAATTTCAACAAAAATTCCATAACTCCAATTTACTTGAAATTTGGCAGGTGTTCATAATTTCTGTGACAATACATTATGGATTTTTTGTTGAAATTCAAAAAAAATGGCTGCTCCAAGATGGCGGACAAGATTTGGTCCGATTCCATTCAAAATTGGTAAGTGGGGGTTTTTAAAATCGGAGATTCGGAGATCATGATTTTTTTGTTGAAATTTATAAATTCAAGATGGCGGCTTCCAAATAATTTCTTGTTTTTGTATAAATGACGATAACCTCGTTGTTATCAACACAAAACTATTACTGCGACATATCATCTGTGAGAGAGAAAAAAGTTATTTGTAACTAAGTCATAGTGAGCTATGACCTACCTTTGAAAAACTAAAGTTGGTGCTGATATCTCAAATTCTAGAAGATTTGGTATAAATTTCATATTTTTTTCGAAATCACTTTGAAAAACTGCCATGAGAATGTGAAATTCCCACTAGAATATTTTCATAAATGAAGAAGTTACGGAGGAGACATGAAAATGATCAAAATCTGTTTTTTGCGTATAAAACAAAAACGAATAGATTTTATCAAAATATTTTTTCACATTATAGTTGGCCTTGACAAACTCCACATTTGGTGTCATTTAACCGACTTCGTATCTCTCACCGTTAAAAAGATACCCATGGTGAGCATGGTAAGTGGGACACACACTGTATACAGTTTGATTCAAGATTAAGAATTCTCATCACCCTGATGTATCTGTTCCAATTATTAAATGTCAGTAGATAGTGAATCAAAAGTTGAGATACGGACATGAAAGCCGTTTTGACCGATAATGAATAGTTTCGTCACAGAAAAATCCTAAAGTTGAAAAATCTCGATTTTGAACACCCTATATCTCTGAAATCATTTTCGCTAGACCCCAAGTGTGATACATCGATGAAATCAGCTCTTCAGGGAGAATCTAAAAATACAACGAAAAATAGGGTGTTCCATTAAAAAAAACAAAAAGTGCCCTGTATACAGGGATCTATAGATCGTTTGTTCCGAGCACCTTGTATTTTCTGAAGTAGTGGAAAAAAAACTTTATCGAAAATCATTTTAGATTATATTTAGAATTTTGCAATCGGTTCAAAAATAACTGAGCTAGAAGGGGGGACATTTATCGCGAATCACCCTGTACAGGGATATGTCAGCAATATCTGAATCAAATAGGCAATAATCCACTTTTGTGAAAAAAAATCGCCTCATTTGAAATTTATACCTATATCGAGTGATCACAAAAAACCGGAAGTTTTTATTTTCCTCGTGCATGGTTCCATCATTTTTTAACCAAATTTGAATTTCTTGACCTAATTTTCTATTAAAGGACTATTGTAATTAGTGCAATATTTGAAAATTCCATAATTGAAAAAACAAAATGGTGGGGTATCTCAAATATTCGTAATTTACAAAAACCGCTGGCGAATAAGAAAATTAGAATATTTAACCAACTGAACGAAAAAAATCTACAAAATCAGATGAACTGTGTTCTGGAGAGGAATGAAATTTGGGGCTGAATTTCAGTGGATAGGTAGCTCTAAGCTCTTTGTGGGTCAGTTCATTTCGTAAATTTGCTTACCATACATGATGCTTCGTGAAGTTTCCCTAGTTTGGGTCGTACAAACGGCCTAAAAATGTACGGGTTTCAAGATTCTAGAATATATAATAGAAACTCAAATTTCTTACCCCACTTGCTTCCATAAGAATACTTGGATCGGTATTGGTAAGGCATTATCTGCCAAATTTATTTCGGCGGAATTCCTTCTATCTGTATCTGGCATCTTCTAATAAATTGATAACTGCACTTCACAAACTGAAAAACATGGGAGGAAATATAATATAAAATAATGTCTAAAAGTGCAATTTCACTACAGAAACAAACTAAACCTTGCACCACATACCAATTGCAACCAGAGCCAACTCGAATAAAAATATCTCTCAAGAAATAGGCAGCAAAGCCCAAAAATACGCCTCCTAAGATCACAACAAGAAATCAATTTCAATACAGTCAGTTTAGAAATCTTTCTTCAGGAGTTTTCATTATTCCCATTTTCAATTCAGGTGAGTGGAAAAAACATTCTCTGATCAGTCACATCTCATTTTTATTTTCTCCGGATTCTGGATGCGCGAGTTAAATTGAAATTTATCGATTTTAATCCTAAACTTGCGCAGATTCTGTAAGGTATTTTGTAACCATGTAGAGAAACTATTATTTTCACTGAGCAAACACATCAGATACGTGAATTCATGAACAAGTAGGGATAGTTTTCTCCATTATTTCAAGTATTATTAGAAGATCACTCAAATTTGCAGTTTGAATTCTCCGCGAGTTACAACTACCATTTTGAACCGTAAACCGCACGAGCACAGAACACAACCAAACACAGAATACCGGGTATGTGACCAAACACTGATCCACGATCTGACCCTTGTGATCTCGAATTTAAATGAGATCCAAGCGATCTGATTGGCTGATTTCAAAGCTGTCAATGTCAACCATCTTGTAACCAGGGCTGTTCTAGTCCGTACTTTAGTACTAGATTTAGTACAATTCGAAGATGTTCAGTACCAAAGTACTTTTTGATGAAATCTAGTACTAAATTAGTTTTGAGATCATTGGGTTCACATTGATGACCAAGTGAATGAAAATGAATGGTTCCAGTTGATTTTGCTCAAGAGTGGTAATTTTTTCCATTTTGAAAATATTGAAAGTACTTCGATCAATTGAATTTCATTTTTCATTTCGATATATGCATATGGTGAAATCATCCCATTCATATTATTTGTCTTTTCGGCGTCTTGAATTTGTGAAAGAAAATTATGCAAACACCTCGGGGCAGCAAATTTTAAGAAATCTGAAATTCAGTACTAAATTCCCAATTCTAGTATTTTTTCGATATACTATCTAGTACTATATATTTTCGGTCAGGAACAGCCCTGCTTGTAACTGACTTTTCAATAATTTCGTTCCTGTCCTTCACAGTTTTCGTTCCATTCTGTTTCAATCTCGTATCGTATCGTATGATTCTCGTTGAATTTGCTGGAGGAGCTGGTTTCTTTGTAGATTTTAATTATTTTATTATTTTTTGAAGCTTTAACTGCGCTAAACTTACAAATATAAAAGTAGGACTTGTAAGTACAAAACAATATCATACTTTTTAACAAGTTTCATGCGTCCAACAAGTGTTGGAAGTTTTTTTTATTTTCATGCACTTTTTATGAACTTTTTTGTGCTTTATCTGAAAGTGCCGGAACCGAAAGCGTGGATTTTAGTAATTGTCACGCTCACTTTTCAGGAAAATGGCAGACGAAAACAGAATCAGATCTTTCAAGAACAAAGGCAAAGATTCAGAGGTTAGTATAATCATGTTGTACACCACAAACTCCCCATAATACTATAACTTTGCTTAGGAGATGAGGAGAAGGCGTATAGGCCAAGCTGTAGAGCTTCGAAAAGCCAGAAAGGAAGACCAATTGCTAAAGAGAAGAAACATATCCACTGCTGAGGAACCAACATCTCCTCTCCAAGAAAACAACTCCACCTCCCCCATAGCCATGACTGCTGAGGAAATCATGTATGGTAAGTGCCAATCTGCATTTCCATCTAAACTGGATAATTTGCTGTATGAAAAATTTTGGCAGGTATGATGAATGGTGATGAATCTGTCCAGTTCCAAGCCACATTGGCTTGTAGGAAGATTTTAAGCAGAGAAAGGAATCCACCCATAGATCATATGATAAGATTGGGAGTTGTACCAAGATGTGTGGAGTTTTTGGGGAAAATGCATAAGTGAGTATCAAAATAACTTCAAAGTAATAACTTGCCTCAAAAGAATATGAACTTGATGATGATATTTATCAATTTTCTATCATTTTTGTTTGCTTTTCCAGTCCTGCCCTTCAATTTGAAGCCTGTTGGGCTTTAACCAATATTGCCTCTGGTACTTCTGAACAGACAGCTGCTGTAGTACAAGAAGGTGCCATCCCACGTCTGCTGCAGCTCTTGGCTTCCTCTAGGGTGGATGTGGCTGAGCAGGCAGTGTGGGCCTTGGGCAACATTGCTGGAGATGGACCTGCCACCAGGGACATGGTAAGAGATTTCTCCAAATTTTAAATAAAGGTTTTTTGAGTTTTATTCTTATTTTATTCTTGATGATAGATGAGATTTTATTGCTACTGGTAGAGTGTGAATTGAAAAGGTCCTGAGTGCCAAATAAAAATTGTTGAAAGGTGGTAAGTGACAAATGAATATTGGTGAAAAAGTAGTAAGTGACAACTATAAAAATACTTGAAATCAGTGGGTATTGAAATTTGGAAAGAGAAAAGGAAAATGTTCTTTTTACTGAGGAGTAATATGTACATCTCAAGAAGAACAAGGGATATATTGAATAATACCCCAATATGTTTCAGTAACAAATCCATTGAATATACAAATGTAAGAACATTTTTAGGTCTTTATATTAATGAACAATTATCATGGCCTCTTCATATACATAGATCATTTGAGGAAAAAATTAAATCCTATTGCTTTATAATTATATAAAATTCGAAATTTCATTCCTGTTAGATACCTAAAGATTATTTCTGTCTTATTCAAATTCACAATATCTAACATCTATTTGGGCAAGTACAAATATTTCACATCTGAAACCACTCATGAAATTACAAAATAAAGCAATAAAGTGCATTTTCAATTTCCTTTTTTTTTAGAATCAACTGTTAATCTATACAAACCTTAAGACTTGCTGAATCTAGTTTCATTATATAAACTCAAAATTTGTTGTTTCATTCATTTTGTCAGGAAGGAATTTTAATGAAGTTAATAGAATTCACGCCCATGAAACAAGGCAATTTAATTTATTGATGGTAAATAATTTTTAGTCAAATTTTGGTAAACAATCAATATTCCATAATGGAATAATTTTACACTCCTTACCTAATGAGTTGAAAAATATAGAAGAAGCAGAAAAATTTTAAATCAATTTCATGAAATATTTGCTCAGTTAACTTTAATTCCATATCTATTAATCATTCCCAATTTGATTACTTGAAATGGATCATAATATTTTCACTTTATATTATTTTACTTTTATTGTGTTTTCTCTACAATGGCCTTGACACACAGCTACATTCCTAATTGGTGGCCAGTATCAATAAATTTTTATTGAAAAGTATTCAAAAAACATTTTCATATGAAATATTGACTTTTCACTTTCATTTTGTTTTTTCAGCAGCCCTCAGATTTTCATCTAGGTCTATTGTTACATTTTAACTTGAAAATATTGAAAAAAAATATATTAGATACAGGGTGGCCCACGGTCGATGGTACCTTAGACGTATACGGAAAACGGTACATTGGATTATCCTGAAAATTTGGTTACTCTAATAAGCGTTTGTGATCTAACGATTCAAAATATTTTCAGCGAAGCAGCGTTGCCACTTTTACCAAAAAGTAGCATCATCTTTGTTATTTCAAATGGAACACCCTGTATTTCATTGCGTTTTTAGATTCTTCTCGAAGAGCTGATTTCATCAATGTATCATACTTGGCAGGAATTATTACAGAGATATAGGGTGTTCAAAATCGAGATTTTTCAACTTTAGGATTTTTTTGTGTCGAAACTATTCATCATTGGTCAAAACGGCTTACATGTCCCTATTTTAACTTTTGATTAACTATCTACCGACATTTAATTGGAAAAAATACAGGATGGTCCAAGATTCAGAATTTTGATCACCCTGTATCTGTTCCAATTAAATGTCAGTAGATAGTGAATCAAAAGTTAAGATAGGGACATGTAAGCCGTTCTGACCGATAATGAATAGTTTCAACACAAAAAATTCCTCAAATTGAAAAAATCTCGATTTTGAACACCCTATATCTCTCTAATAATTCCTGCTAGACCCCAAGTGTGATACATTGATGAAATCAGCTCTTCGAGAAGAATCTAAAAACGCAATGAAATACAGGGTGTTCCATTTGAAATAACAAAGATGATGCTACTTTTTGGTAAAAGTGGCAACGGTGCATCGCTGAAAATATTTTGAATCGTTAGATCACAAACGCTTATTAGAGTAACCAAATTTTCAGGATAATCCAATGTACCGTTTTCCGTATACGCTAAGGTACCATCGACCGTGGGCCACCCTGTATATTATAAACATGAAAAAAATGGATATACAGGGTGATTCAGGTTTTAAGGTACAAACTGAAATGGATGAGAGATCTCATCATTTTAATCAAAAAAGTGTGTATAAATATGTGTCCGATCTCGTTCAGTTGCGGAGATACAGGGGGTCAAAGTTCAATTATTTTTTTGTATCAATTGGAATGTCTCACACATCTGCAGATATCAATTTGAATTTTGGTTTGGTCAATACTCTCTAGAAGGTCATCATATGAAGCATTTCAAGGACGTTTAAAATCCACAGGGTAATACGTTTTAGATATATTATAAACATGAAAAAAATTAATATACAGGGTAATTTAGGTTTTAAGGTACATACTGAAATGAGTGATAAGATACAAGGGGGTCAAAGTTTAATTATTTTTTTCTATTAATTGAAAGGTCTCCCTCACTTCTGAATGTATTAATTTGACGTTTAAAATCCACAGGGTGATACGTTTTAGATATATTATAAACATGAAAAAAATAAATGGATATACAGGGTGATTGAGGTTTTGAGGTACAAACCGAAATGGGTGATAGATATCGTCATTTTGAACAAAAAAGTGTATAAATGTGTGTCCGATCTCGATCAGTAGCGGAGATACAGGGGGTCAAAGTTAATTTTTTTTCTATTAATTGAAATGTCTCGCTCACTTCTAAAGATATCAATTTGAATTTTGGTGTGGTTAATACTTTCTAGAAGGTCATCATATGATGCATTTCAAAGATTTTTGAAATCCACAGGGTGATACGTTTTTGAGGATAGCGGCTTCATTATTCCCCCAAACTTTTTCGTAGTACGCCTCAGGCATCGTCCTATTACAACTACTTTCCTGGCTATATGCCTCGACGAACATTGCATTATATCAATTGAACACACACGTAAGAATGAAAATGAAAACTTCTGAAGTTCAGAATTTTTCATTCATTTCATTACCTTTGATCAGTAAAAGGTTTCAAGACTACTAAATACCATTCCTACCAAGATCTGTAAATAGATCTTATGCTCAAATGAAGCTGTTGAATTTCATGGTGCCCTGAATAATTGGAATAAAAATTCAACAATAGTTGGCCCTTCAAACAGCAGCATTTTGTATTGGGGCAAGTATCAAATTTTGACTGGAAAATATTTGAAAAACTATCCCATATTATTGTATTGTTTCATCCAGTAGAAGGTTGTAAGTGCCAAAAGTGAGAATATTTGAGACATAACAGTATTTACACTCGATAGTATATATTATGTCCAAGAACATCTTTAACACTTTTATTTTGTTTTCAGCTGCATTATACCTAGAGCACTTGGATTGAAAAAAACTGTTAGTTTTAAATTTGCATTCAAATCTAATCAGGTATAACTTCTTTACTTTTATTTGACGATGTTTACGCCAGTACACCATGACACTATGACATCTAATGAATCACAATCCAAAAGCCATATCAACCATTCCTCAGGATTATACAATATCAGATAATATGAGTCGAACATAACGCTGATTCACCCATACAAAAGTGTATACCGAATGTACCTATTAGATTTACCGGCATCTCAATAAAAGTATTAAATAACAAATACACCAATATTAATAACAATCAACAAAAATAATCACAATCATGATTTCATCATCTTCGGAAAGATGATGATGATAATTAATATTCCTAGCATTAACTATAAAATAATCGATAAGTTGAGGCGTTGACAATATCGAAAAATGATAGAATAGGAATGCTCAATTTATATTTTACTGAGATTTAAATAAGTCCTATGTCCAATTGAACCTGTTGAATTCGGTGATGTCATGAATTGAAATAATAACCTAATCATTATGAGGATTGCCATAATATAATTACAAATTTTGAAGGCAAATGAAATTCCCAACCACTAAAATCTGAGATGTATCCAAAAACATGTAATATCATCCTAACAGAATTTCACACTTGGTACCTTTTTGCATTCTTTTTGTCTGATGGTTGTGTGAATAACTAGGTACCCAGTTATTAGTACCTAATCCTCTTTCACACAGTAGTGATTATCCCAGGTAAAATGACATGCATATTTTCCATTTGGCACTTGAACCTTGAACCCTTTTACCATCCTGATGTCTGACTCAACAGGTGCTGAGCTGTGGAGTGCTTCTGGAGCTGTTGAAACTCATCAAGCCAGATACATCTTTGTCCTTGTTGAGGAACACTGTGTGGGCCATATCCAATTTGTGCAGAAACAAAGTAAGTTGATGGTCCAGAGAAATCTAATATTTTTAAGAATAGTATTGCATTTTATGTTTTGTTGTATGGGTTGAGGCTTTTGTTAGTTTGGAATAAGCCATTTTGATTCAAAAATTTAAAAAAAAAGTCTGTTGGAAAAACAGTTGACGTTTGGAAGAATAGTCCAAGTCCTGAAATCTAATATATTCTGCATGTACAATACACGTATTTTTTTCTGTAACGGATAAAAGACCATTTTATATTGAATTAATTCAGTCAGAAAATTATCAATCAATGTGAAATTTGAAGTAGGTAGGCTGTTGTACTTCTTTGGACAATCCGACCTGCGTAGCTAGGGAGACCTTTGAAGTAATCTATACTAACATAAGAGAAAAGATTTGATTGTTTGTTTGTATTGATTTGGCTCCAAAACTACTGGATCGATTTGGCTGAAAATTGGTGAAGAGGTAGCTTGGAACCAGGAAAAGGTTATAGGATACTTTTTATCCCGGTACCATTAGGAAATTCAAGATGGCGGATCTAATATAGTGAACGAGTTTTGTAATTGTTGTCCGATTCTATTCAAAATTGGTATCTGGGGGTTTTCGGGGTCGGAGATTATGATTCTTTCGTCAGAATATGAAAATTCGTGCGGGATTTGGAAATTCAAGATGGCTGAACCAATATAGCGGACCAGTTTTGTAATTATAATTCGTTTATTTTCAAAATTGTTACCTGGGGTTTTCGTGATCGGGGATTATGATTCCTTCGTCAAAGGTATCTGGTGGTTCTCAGGGTCGGAGATTATGATTCTTTAGTGAAAATTAGGGAATTCAAGATGGCGAACCCAATATGGCGGACGAGTATCGTAATTATGATCCGTCTCTCTTCAAATTCGTTATCTGGGTGTTTTCGGGGTCGGAGATTATGATTTTTTTGTCAAAATTTGAAAGGGCGGGATTTGGAAATTCAAGACGGTGGAACCAATATACCGGACGAGTTTTGTAATTATATTATCCCGATTCTATTTAAAATTTGTAAGTGGGCGTTTCGGGATCAAAAATTATGATTCCTTCATCAAAATTAGGGAATTCGAGATGGTAGATCCAATATTGCGGACGAGTTTTGTAATGATGTTCTGATTCTATTCAAAATTTGCATCTGGGGTTTTATGAGTCGGATATTATGATTCTTTCGTCAAAATTGGGAAATTCAAGTGAAATAAAAGGAAGTTGAAATAAATGGTGGTTTGAGAAACTGAAGAAACACGCTTTTATAGATAGCGAAACTAAAAAGAAGTAGAAAATAAAATAATAATAGTGTCTTGATGAAAATTGAACTGAAAAAATTTATTATACAAATAATGTATATAACAAAACACCGTTTGCGAGGTCTGCTAGTCGAATATATGTCAATTTAATTCTGTGTTTTGATTAAAAGATTGCAAACTTAGTGGTTGTTAAGAAGGTTTTTGAATAATATGAAGTTTGAAAATGTCTGATTTCAAGTTTTCGCTGGAGTCCACCGGAGTTGTAGAAGCAGCGAAAATAGCTTCACAAAAATTATTGCCAGCTAAATCGCGGAAAATTTATGTGGACTGGAAGATTAAAGCGACATAACGCTCTATCAATTTTTGCAAATTCGGGATAAATTCCTTGACCCATTCTCATACCAATGAGGGTGACGTTTTCAGTGTCACGAGTTAACGCTACTAAAACGTGAGGTCAATGTCAAAGCCAAATATTTCAAAATTTATCCGGATAGCCCTAAAGAATGTGGCCTGTTTTATCGAAAATATTCGAAAAAAATCATGTGAAGAATATTTTTGAACAAATAGAAACCCCAAGTTATGGAAAAACTTGGGCATACTCAATACTCATGCAGACTTGCGTTTTTTTACTCTCAATGAGGAACTTCACGACTTCTTACATTGACGGAGAAGAAGATATCATAGGAAGAAGCCCCATTCGAATATTTTCTCATTTCTAAAATAATGAATCCCGAATTTCTTTTGAAAGAATCCGGCGCCCGATTTCAATCTGGTCAAGCCGGCTCTGCCCACTCTTGCCAGACTGCTTCACAACGCGGACCGTGACGTACAGGCGGACACCTGTTGGGCCCTCAGCTACCTCACCGACGGTCCCAACGACAGAATTCAAGCCGTCCTCGGTACCGGCCTGATTGACAGGTGAGAAATCGAAAAACGTCGATGTGTGTACAGGTGTGCTCGTTCGAAACGGAAATGTCCGTTAGTTTTGAGCACAACTGTACATATATTTTTTATTATACAGGGTGTTAGTGACTGAGTTTGACACGCCGCAAGGGGCGATTGCTTGTGATATTTTAGGGACTAAACTAGATAAAGGCGACATAATTAATCAGGCTATGTTGGCAGTGCTGCAGAATTTCATGTACTTAACATGGAGTCATTAAATGGTTAGTGTATTTCCCGGATTAACAATTTGTGGTTATCAACGAAATGTCCGCTAGTTTTGAGCACCACTGTACATATATTTTGTTATGCAGATGGGAAAGGGCAAGATAATTAATTAGGCCATGTTGGTAGTGCTGCAAATTCTCATGTATTTATCATCAAAATAATCAAATAGTTTGTGTATTTCCCGGATTTTCAATTTGTTTGTGGTGATGAATGAAGTGTCCGTTAGTTTTGTACACCACTGTACATATATTCTTCAATTTATAAGCAGATGGAAGAAGGCAACCGAATAAATATGGCCATGTTGGGAGTGCTGCAAATTTCCATGCACTTGTCAAATATTTTGTGTATTTCCTGGATTTTCAATTTGTTCGCCATCGTTTTATGATCGTGAACCTAGCTAGAGAATGAAACATATGTACAGGTCTGTCCATTCAGAAAGGAAAAGTTTTTTCTGAGCACCACTTTACAAATAGATTTCATTATAGACAAACCAATGGAAAGTAACAAAAATATTAAGAAGGCTATTTATCAATACTTTTCTTAAATAATATACCTTGGAATGAAACATTTTTGACAGTTTTTCTCTCCACAACTGTACTTTTTTTTATGATTACATTTGAGAAGCCGACTTGAGGTGACAAAATGAAAATAATTTATGTTGGCAATAGGGCATATTTATCAATCTTCAAAAAAAATTTAAATACGAATTTGATTTCTAGATTTTTGTTTTGTTCCTTATATCAGCAAACAATGTGCCATAGTCATTATGTAACAATGAACTTGAAAATTAAGTGAACAGGTATGCTCATTTATAACGAATGCTTCGTTTTCTCTGAGCTTAGGAATTTTCTTGGGAAGACCTTTTTACTAGCAGGTCAATGCAGATTGTACAGAATTAATGAGTCAATAATCCCCAAAAATGTCAAAAATGGTATCAGCAAGCAAAAGTAAAATATGTAGGTACAGGTATGCTCATTTAAAATGTAAACTGACCACGTCGGTTTTTTCTTGCCACCACTGTACATATAAATGTTTCAAGAGCATGCCAACAATAATAAGTATTTCGGCAGCGATTTTTCGTCCTTATTTCAATAATAAATCAATGATATGGCAGGTTGGTCCAGTTGCTTTACAGCGAAGAAAGCACAGTGTTGACGCCTGCGCTGAGAGCTGTTGGCAACATTGTAACCGGCAGCGATCAGAAAACCGACATGGTCATAAATGCCAACTGTCTGAACGTTATGCCCAAATTCAAATATTTTGTGTATTTCTTGGATTTTGATTTGTGGTGATAAAAGTTTGCCATCGTTTTATGATAGTGAACCTAGCTAGAGAATAAAACAATAAAACATGTACAGATCTGCCCATTCAGAAGGGAAACGTTTTTTCTGAGCACCACTGTACAAATATATTTCATGGTAGACAAACCAATGGAAGTGACAAAAATATCAAGGAGGCTTTTTATCGATACTTTTCTTTAATAGTATACCTTTGAATGGAACATTTTCAACAGTTTTTTTTAACACAACTGTACTTTTTTTACGATTACATTTGAGAAGCCGATTTGAGGTGACAAAATGGAAATAATTCATGTTGGCAATAGGGCATATTTATCAATCTGCAAAAATTTAAATACCAATACGATTTTCAGATTTTTGTTTTGTTCCTTATATTAGTGTCATAATCATTATGTAAAAACGAACTTGAAAATCAACTGAACGGGTATGCTCATTTATAAAGGATGCTTCATTTTCTCTGAGCTTAAGAATTTTCTTGGGAAGACCTTTTTACTAGCAGGTTAATGCAGATTTAACGGAATTAATGAGTCAATAATCCCCAAAAATGTCAAAATCAGCAAGCTTATCATTTGCAGTCGTCCTATACTATTACACATAAAAGTAAGATATGTAGGTACAGGTATGCCCATTTAAAATGTAAACTGACCACGTCGGTTTTTTCTTGCCACCACTGTACATATAAATGTTACAAGAGCATGCCAAAAATAATAAGTCTATTTCGGCAGCGATTTTTCGTCCTTATTTCAATAATCAATTAATGATACGGCAGGTTGGTCCAGTTGCTTTACAGCGAAGAAAGCACAGTGTTGACGCCTGCGCTGAGAGCTGTCGGCAACATTGTAACCGGCAGCGATCAGCAGACCGACATGGTCATAGATGCCGGCTGTCTGAACGTCATGCCCAAATTCAAATATTTTGTGTATTTCTTGGATTTTGATTTGTGGTGATGAACGTTCGCCATTGTTTTATGATAGTGAAACTAGCAAGAGAATAAAACATATGTACCGTTCTGCCCATTCAGAAGGGAAACGTTTTTTCTGAGCACCACTGTACAAATATATTTCATGGTAGACAAACCAATGGAAAGTAACAAAAATATCAAGGAGGTTATCTATCAATACCTTGAAATGGAACAGTTTTGATATTTTTTTCACCACAACTGTACTTTTTTTATGATTATATTTGAGATGCAGATTCAAGGTGACAAAATGATAATAATTTATGTTGGCAATAGGGCATATTTATTCTTCTAAAAAAATATATACGAATTCAATTTTCAGATTTTGTTTTGTTCCTCATATCAGCAAAAAATGTGTCAAATCATTATGTAAAAATGAGCTTCGTTTTCTCTTAGCTTGGGAATTCTCTTGGGAAGACCTTTTTACTAGCAGGTTAATGCAGATTGAACATAATTGATGAGTCAATAATCCCCAAAAATGTCAAAAATGGTATCAGCAAGCAAAAGTAAAATATGTAGGTACAGGTATGCTCATTTAAAATGTAAACTGACCACGTCGGTTTTTTCTTGCCACCACTGTACATATAAATGTTACAAGAGCATGCCAAAAATAATAAGTCTATTTCGGCAGCGATTTTTCGTCCTTATTTCAATAATAAATCAATGATACGGCAGGTTGGTCCAGTTGCTTTACAGCGAAGAAAGCACAGTGTTGACGCCTGCACTGAGAGCCGTCGGCAACATTGTAACCGGCAGCGATCAGCAGACCGATATGGTCATAGATGCCGGCTGTCTGAACGTCATGCCCAAATTGTTGCAACACTCCAGATTGAACATTGTCAAGGAGGCTGCATGGACCGTTTCCAACATTACTGCAGGTACGTGAAAAATATATGTTTGAAGAAGTTGTTGGAAAATTGTACTCCTTGATATTTTTTCCAGGTTTAAGATTTTTTTGTATCTTTCTATACACACGGTGTAATGGAATCCTTCCTTAACTGTTTCGTTTTCAGAGATATGAAGTAATGTTGAATGAAAAAGTTCTGTGAAACGACCAAAACTTCTATTTAGTGAAGTTGTTTCATATACAGGGTCATTCGATTTTTCAGAAAAGATATCAACTTTGAATATTTCAATGGAACACCCTATATAATTTACGACATGTAGATAAAGCTTTTTTTTTCTGATTTCGAAAATATATGAGTTGCATTTTTGGATGAAAAATAGTTGAGTTATGAACCTTTATTTCATAAGTTGAATATAGTGGGCTTTGAAATAACGTTTATATATTGTTCAAGCTCCATGGAGATGTCAAGGTATTGTTTATTATGAATTCGAAATCATTCAATCTCAATACAAAGAAATATGAATAGACAGTTTGAATGGAAGATTCGGTATTTTGGTAAACTTTGATAATCAATAACTCAATTATTCTTCATCCAAATATGCAACTCATATATATTTTTGAAATCAGACAGAAGGGCTCTATCGACATGTCAGAAAATATATACGGTGTTCCATTGAAAATATCAAAGTTAATGTCCTTTCCGGAAAAACGAATGACCCTATATATGAAGCAACTTCACGAAATAAAAGTTTGGGTCTTATCAAACAACTTTTTAATTCAAAATTTTTTCACATATCTGAAAACAAAAGAGTTAAGGGGGGGGGTTCCATTTTAAGAGGCGCACCCTGTACTTAATTTTAACTGGAGCAAACAAAAAAATATGCAATAAGTTGTCAATTTTGTAAACTGTCTTATTTTTCTAGGTTTATATTTTTATGACACAGGTTGTTATACCTCCAGTTTTACACTCACTGTATTGAAATAAAATTGATGAGACGTGCAATCAATAATATCGTTCCCATGCTGAATATACAATCTGGTTAACGTAAAAAAAACGTGAAAGAAACGTCTACTATTTGTAACGCATGCGTCAAAACTGTAGAAAAACGCGAAGAAACGCAAAGAAATCGTCTCATATGCGTCACACTGAAATTAACGTTAAAATACTTTGAAAGCGTCTTCTTCTTATTATTATTTATTGGCCTCTTGTCCCGTGAGAACATCCAGCTATGTTGTATTTTGAAATTCGTTAAAAGTCGTTTTTTCATGAAAGAATGTTCAAAGAAGAATAGAACTTACGAAATGGATTTAAGGAGTGACAATTTTGAAGGTAATGGCTACTTATCTCAAAAATCTTCATATTTCATTAGCCTATCTGCATATCAAATGTAGAGTTCTGAAGTGAAGTTTCCTACAAGCGAATAAGGAGTTCTTGCAAATACAGGTTCTGAGATTCTGAGACATCTGCGATCGTTTGCATTGTTCCTGGAATATCCTAAAAAAACACATGAATTAGTATTATGATTTTCTAATTGCGCCATGTGAATATAATATACAGATATGGAAGAAAACATGAGTCCACCCTTCTAAGGGCACTGCTTCATTGAAACAACGACTGTTGCTTTTCTGTAGGGCATGAATAATTTGGAAAAGGACTGGTATAAAACCACTGTTTATACCTAACTCTTGAAGGCGACACCCTCCTTTGTAGAGAGGCATTACGAACGCCAAAGTTGATACACTCCCCTCGTAAGGGTACCTGACGTGATTCCATACACTCACATCAATTAATGTCGACTAAATATTCGACTAAAGAATTGAATAATTTAGTGAATCGATAAAAGTCGTTTTTTCATGAAAGAATGTTCGAAGAGGAATAGAACTACGGAATGAACTTGAGGAGTGACAATTTTGAAGGTAATGGTTACTTATCTCAAAAATCTCCATATTTCATCAGCCTATCTGCATATCAAATGTAGAGTTCTGAAGTGAAGTTCCCCACAAGCGAATAAGGAGTTCTTGCAAATACAGCTTCTGAGATTCTGAGACATCTGCGATGGTTTGCATTGTTCCTGGAATATCCTAAAAAAAAAACACATGAATTAGTATTATGATTTTCTAATTGCGTCATATGAATATAATATGCAGATGTGGAAGAAAACATGAGTCCACCCTTCTAAGAGCACTGCTTCATTGAAACAACGACTGTTGCTTTTCTGTAGGGCATGAATAATTTGGAAAAGGACTGGTATAAAACCACTGTTTATACCTAACTCTTGAAGGCGACACCCTCCTTTGTAGAGAGGCATTACGAACGCCAGAGTTGATACACTCCCCTCGTAAGGGTACCTGACGTGATTCCATACACTCACATCAATGAATGTCGACTAAATATTCGACTGAAGAAATGAATAATTTAGTGAATCGATAAAAGTCGTTTTTTCATGAAAGAATGTTCGAAGAGGAATAGAACTACGGAATGAACTTGAGGAGTGACAATTTTGAAGGTAATGGTTACTTATCTCAAAAATCTCCATATTTCATCAGCCTATCTGCATATCAAATGTAGAGTTCTGAAGTGAAGTTTCCTACAAGCGAATAAGGAGTTCTAGCAAATACAGGTTCTGAGATTCTGAGACATCTGCGATCGTTTGCATTGTTCCTGGAATATCCTAAAAAACATGAATTAGTATTATGATTTTCTAATTGCGTCATATGAATATAATATGCAGATGTGGAAGAAAACATGAGTCCACCCTTCTAAGAGCACTGCTTCATTGAAACAACGACTGTTGCTTTTCTGTAGGGCATGAATAATTTGGAAAAGGACTGGTATAAAACCACTGTTTATACCTAACTCTTGAAGGCGACACCCTCCTTTGTAGAGAGGCATTACGAACGCCAAAGTTGATACACTCCCCTCGTAAGGGTACCTGACGTGATTCCATACACTCACATCAATGAATGTCGACTAAATATTCGACTGAAGAAATGAATAATTTAGTGAATCGAAAAGTCGTTTTTTCATGAAAGAATGTTCGAAGAAGAATAGAACTACGAAATGAATTTGAGGAGTGACAATTTTGAAGGTAATGGCTACTTATCTCAAAAATCTCCATATTTCATTAGCCTATCTGCATATCCAATGTAGAGTTCTAAAGTGAAGTTTCCTAGAAGCGAATAAGGAGTTCTTGCGAATACAGGTTCTGAGATTCTGAGACATCTGCGATGGTTTGCATTGTTCCTGGAATATCCTAAAAAAACACATGAATTAGTATTATGATTTTCTAATTGCGTTATGTGAATATAATATACAGATATGGAAGAAAACATGAGTCCACCCTTCTAAGGACACTCTGCTTCATTGAAACAACGATTGTTGCTTTTCTGTAGGGCATGAATAATTTGGAAAAGGACTGGTATAAAACCACTGTTCATACCTAACTCTTGAAGGCGACACCCTCCTTTGTAGAGAGGCATTACGAACGCCAAAGTTGATACACTCCCCTCGTAAGGGTACCTGACGTGATTCCATACACTCACATCAATGAATGTCGACTAAATATTCGACTGAAGAAATGAATAATTTATTGAATCGATAAAAGTCGTTTTTTCATGAAAGAATGTTCGAAGAAGAATAGAACTACGAAATGAATTTGAGGAGTGAAAATTTTGAAGGTAATGGTTACTTATCTCAAAAATCTCCATATTTCATTAGCCTATCTGCATATCCAATGTAGAGTTCTAAAGTGGAGTTTCCTAGAAGCGAATAAGGAGTTCTTGCGAATACAGGTTCTGAGATTCTGAGACATCTGCGATGGTTCGCATTGTTCCTGGAATATCCTAAAAAAACACATGAATTAGTATTATGATTTGCTAATTGCGCCATGTGAATATAATATAATATACAGATATGGAAGAAAACATGAGTCCACTTTTCTAAGGGCACTGCTTCATTGAAACAACGACTGTTGCTTTCCTGTAGGGCATGAATAATTTGGAAAAGGACTGGTATGAAACCACTGTTTATACCTAACTCTTGAAGGCGACACCCTCCTTTGTAGAGAGGCATTACGAACGCCAAAGTTGATACACTCCCCTCGTAAGGGTACCTGACGTGATTCCATACACTCACATCAATGAATGTCGACTAAATATTCGACTGAAGAAATTAATAATTTAGTGAATCGATAAAAGTCGTTTTTTCATGAAAGAATGTTCGAAGAAGAATAGAACTACGAAATGAATTTGAGGAGTGACAATTTTGAAGGTAATGGCTACTTATCTCAAAATTAGCCTATCTGCATATCAAATGTAGAGTTCTGAAGTGAAGTTTCCTACAAGCGAATAAGGAGTTCTTGCAAATACAGGTTCTGAGATTCTGAGACATCTGCGATGGTTTGCATTGTTCCTGGAATATCCTTAAAAAAAACACATGAATTAGTATTTTGATTTTCTAATTGCGTCATATGAATATAATATGCAGATGTGGAAAAAAACATGAGTCCACCCTTCTAAGAGCACTGCTTCATTGAAACAACGACTGTTGCTTTTCTGTAGGGCATGAATAATTTGGAAAAGGACTGGTATAAAACCACTGTTTATACCTAACTCTTGAAGGCGACACCCTCCTTTGTAGAGAGGCATTACGAACGCCAAAGTTGATACACTCCCCTCGTAAGGGTACCTGACGTGATTCCATACACTCACATCAATGAATGTCGACTAAATATTCGACTAAAGAATTGAATAATTTAGTGAATCGATAAAAGTCGTTTTTTCATGGAAGAATGTTCGAAGAGGAATAGAACTACGGAATGAATTTGAGGAGTGACAATTTTGAAGGTACCTAATGGTTACTTATCTCAAAAATCTCCATATTTCATTAGCCTATCTGCATATCAAATGTAGAGTTCTGAAGTGAAGTTTCCTACAAGCGAATAAGGAGTTCTTGCAAATACAGGTTCTGAGAATCTGAGACATCTGCGATGGTTTGCATTGTTCCTGGAATATCCTAAAAAAAAACACATG